CTTTGCTTTCTTTCGTTACAAACGCTGCCCCTGCATCTGACTCTAAACAACACTATTCTGGTTTTGCAAAGCACAGAGGTCTGGTCTTACGGAAACGGTGACGATAACGATGCAGAAAATGTATGGCGCTAATGAGCCCACCGGATACTATTCGATCTGAGTACGATTCGATTTTGGACGAATTTGCAACAGCGTTTGATAAGACCATTCATACTTGTAAAATCTTAATGATCACATATTTGAATAGTCATATGTTTAATAACATGTTGATTTCAATGGATTTCAAACTTCCTTGAAGGAAGTAAAGCGAAGTCAGCTCAGAATTGTAGTGACGTAATTCCAGTAGGGCGATTGTCTACGATTTGAAGGCGATTGTCTACGATTTGAAGCCGATTCGTATTTTATTCTGACTAGAAGGCTTTCAAAAGCACTACATTCCTGTTGTTAGTATTCTTATGATTTTTTTACGAACATGAATCAGGATGATGATGTTTGTTTAGATTTCATATGTAATTTCAATTTCTTCAAAAATCGGATCGCAAGAAGATCGTATAATGTGCAGTGTGCTTTATTTAAGCAGTGATTAACTTGGATCTGATTCATTTTCTACAGAAAATGAATTTTATGGTTATCTTCAAACGTTATAAACAGCAGCCCTTCAGGGCTCGGTCACAAATGACGATAGCTATAACTTCAAAATCGAATAGAATAAATTTGTTAGGTGAGACATTATAACATTGGTAGTCACGACCCTTTTCCTTCTTAACAATAAGGTCACTGACACAGATATTTATAGTATACTATGTTATGGTTAGCACTTAGCAGCATCAACGAAAATCTCCAATTATGTTAACTTCTTAACAAAGTACTATCAGCAAGCACAATAGTTTCAGGATTGTTAGCTTTCTCCATTAGCTCATTATTAATGTGGCAAAAATGATTAATATTCTAAGCAATTCCATAAATTCACGAGGAGCTTTAAAATCTTCACAGTTAATAGGCAATCGCGCATAAAGTCACAAATTCTTTTTTAAAAGTATGTGTTCAGGCCGGAAGTCTCGTATTTTCGAAAGTTTTAAAGCCTTTTGTGCGTTGTATATTCAAATTGCAGTACTATATATTTGTCAACTTGGAAACAGAAAACAACATTTGAAAACAGGGATTAATATTGCATGAATACGCATTGCGTTTTGTTGACATGCAAAGGCTAGGCCCGAAAATGCCAAAGAAATATGACGTATCGGTTTTCATATCGATGTGTTATTCCGCGATTATTGATGAGCTCAGAATCATGACACTCGATAATTCTTATAACCATCCCTCGAGAACGCATATAAATAATTAAAACGATGAAAGGAAACAACAAAAGCAATAAGCCTAAAGTGAAAAGAGAGTCCACTTAACCCGTTGACTACTGTTTTCCCTATTTCCCATAGGCTTAAAACAGGGACTACTCGGTTCCAGGAGGAATGGGTTAAGGATGGTTGAGTTCTCTTGCAGATAGTGAAAAACTGAGTGTCAAATTTGAAAGAGCATACAATTTAAATGAAAAAAATCATCTTTGTTTGAACAAAATCGGTTCAAAAACGGCTGAAATATCTATAAATATAACGATTTCTAATATTTGTGTATCACCACAATAATTCAATTATTTGAAAAAGCCGTTGAAATACGAAATAGCGCCTTTCACGTAGTATTTCAGCCAATGCCAATGTTGGCTCTTTTTTGGCCTTTTCGTGTTGGTTATTTACGCACAACTAGTAGGCCCATATATTTTTATTTTTAATTAATTAATTAATTAATTAATTAACGGTCACCATATCTGTTTGAAAGTGAAGCTGAATTGGTATGATCGTATTGGCTAAATTCCACACATTTTGGGGCCTAAAATTACCTTCATAGCAATTTGAAGTCCTAAAAGGGCACTAGAAATGTCATAGATAAGAATAAGAGCAATAACCATGCACTTTTAAGGCATTTGCGGTCTGAAAACAGAACTCAACTATCCCTTTAAAGAAAAAGTTGAGTTCTGGTCATGCGATTGCATTGTGAAAGAAACGGTGTGGAATCGATCAGAAAAGGTTGATCATCTAGCATATAAGTATTGGTGTTTACATTGATGGAATCATCAAAATGACAAGAAATTTGGACCAGTCTTGGTAAAGTCACAAGCACTGTACACATAAAGATGTCTATGGGACTACACAAACATGTGGCGTAAAAATCCGTCCCGATTTTTATGCTGCTGCATTCCACATTTAGAATATGAAGGCATTTGAAGAGCCATGAACTTCCAAGAACTCAACCTTCTCTTTAACCTGTTATAATATGCAGCTTATTATGGTATGCAAGCTAGATGTTTTTGCATATTGATATTTGAAGAAATAAAAAATAAAATAATCCTTTTCATCAACGGTGTACAAGAGTACACGTTTGATTGTTTATAAATCGCTGATAGATTCTGATCGGATTGACAATTTGTAAAGTTGAAACATATCCAATTTATTTGGAACAATTTTTGTTGTAATGCCATACGAATTATGACAACAAAAATTGTTCAAAGCAAACAAAAAGCGTTCTTACGACGTTCATAAAAACGCCCCGGGAAATTTCAATTTAAAATCATAATATTACACATTTTACATCCGCCATCGATGAGTGCTCCCTGGAAAAAAGATACAATTTCTTTGAAGTTCCTTGCCTACATTAGGAAGAAAGAAGCTAGCATGCAAATCTGGGAGGAGATAGAAAATTATTCTGGTGCATATGCAGGAAGACAGCTTCTCGTGATAAAGTGAATTATTTACAGAGCAGCTTATGGTTTTCGTCATAAACCCCTTGATCGGGTGAAAATTGAAGTGCGCGCCATTTCAGAAATGAGATTTTGTTTGCTAACCGGGTTTCATATATCCATACATCGAGTGGTTTAGGGGCATAATTTGTGTCGTGTCGATTCGTCCAGAGAAAAACGTGCACAGGTATACGGAATGAAACAGGTTGGAAGCGTGGGGAGGGATGAATTAAAAAAATATTTAGAAAAAAACTCCTAGTTATTATTAATGAGACTGGTGCAAATGGTTCTTGGAAGACGAAAATAATCGCTTTTTTGATCAGTTACGTGCAATTTAACCACTCTCCATTGTCATGTAAACTCATTTTGTGGCACTGCTATTGAAAGGATTTTGAAAAGATGCCAAAGCCAACATCAAAACAGACATAGATGAACATCATGTACATTTTTGTTTGGTTCGGAAAACTGGATTTCATACAAAATCGATTCCATTGACCAAATACTGTAATATAGACCCAAATACATAGGCATTTGAATTTTCATAGTGTATGATAACAATCGACAAAATCACTTTTCTTTTTTTCAGGCCAAGTAAGGTCTCTTTTGATGGATGTACGTAGTTTATATCCATTTCTATTAATAGGCAACATTTCAGTGCACGATATATTCATGTTTTATACATACTTCTATCAAAAAGAGTTTCAAATAACGATATGTAGGTTTGCCAAAGGCTTGACCTAAATATGACAGTTAATGAATGCAACAGGCACAAGTGAATAACAGGTGAAAGACAAAGTTGGCTTCCAGGCACTTGGAAAAGGAACATCCATTAATCTCAATAAATGTGTAAACTAATCTTTGATAGACACCCGCATCCTGGGCAGCGTCTCACGAAACCGTCATAAGTACAAGTTCACCGATATCCCATTGAAATAGTTGCATTAAGTTTAAACACGCGTTTCAATGGGATGTCGGTGAACTTGTACTTATGACGATTTCGTGAGACGCTGCCCTGTATGGTAACCACTGAATAGATCTCTAGACATCGTAAAATACCCTGCATATTCTGTTTCAATGCATGCACGCATTTTTCTCTCCATAGAGTACAGAAATGTGACGTCATACTGGCCAAGTTGTCAAGGTTGCTGGCTCCAAACATTTTTGTGTTAAAATTTTGTGTGGTGATTACACCAGTCCGAAACATTGAATTCACCCTGCTCCAGCCCGTTGCTTGAATGATTTCAAAGCGAACCTCATGAGCAGGCGCAATTGTTTATAATCAGTAACCTGGACGACAAGCGAATGTCACGTTAGCACTTAAGTACTCTACAACCCCTGGACAGCGTTTCATGAAACCGTCAAAAGTACAAGTTCACCGACATCCCATTGAAACGCATTTTAAATTTAATACACGCATTTCATTATGATTTCGATGAACTTGTACTTAATGACGGTTTCGTGAGACGCTGCCCTAGTTTTAAACTATTTAATACACTTGCTGTGCATAATGGCATCTCTAGGGATGGAATTCACGTTGAATATGTTTGTTGCTGCAATCCCTAGCAATTCTGTGACATGTTTTAGAGTTGCCAAGAAAAACCCTGTATAGGAAGTATCCATAACAATAGTTAAGAGGTCAGAGGTGTGTTGTCTGAGATGGCCTTTCGGTACAATGTGCATTTAGTACTTCATGGTCCAGTTGTAATAAGTGCAGTACTCGGTATTACATATAACGCATACATAATTAATTCAAAACATTACGATCAAGAATGTGAAATGTATTGTATGTGGGTGTTTTTTTTTTATAATTGTTTCTAATCCACAGCTAAGGGAAGATGATCATCGTCTATGTACTATTTAAACAAGAATGACCTTATTGTTGGACGTCAGTAGTCAATAAATTTAGTTGGTTAACTTCGAAGACAAAAAGGCATTAAAGTTATCGTCGTACTATTTGTCTTTGTTCACTCTTGTATCATACGTAGCTATTGATGATGGATGGCTAGCCGATTTTGATTCTCGTGTTCCTGTGTATACGGGGGTCGATGGGGCTATTCGTCAACAGAATAGCGAATGTGGTAAGTTGTTTACATCAATTTAACCCTATAAAATCACCGGTGCCAGAATGGAGGTAAGTTAATTTTGTTTGCTTTCAACCGAAAATGATTTATTATTTGACTTTTCTTCTTCTCTGACATTTCGGGCTAAAAAAAAATGGGAAACACATGTACATAGTAAAGAAATAATTGAGTACATGCATTGATTTATTTATGTTGTTTATGACGAATAGAATTGAAAGTCAGTTAATAGTTGGCTTACCTCTTACCGTTTGTTGTTGTGGTGTTTTTCCTAAGGGTGTAGGGTTACATTGTCAATCCCTGCCATTCGTGTGGTATCATTGGGGAATATCTTTACGCATTTCACTTATTCACTGGTAGACTATGCTGGTTGATTGGGGATATTTTAGTTGACCGAGTGCCATGCGATCGATAGCCTTTGAGAATGTAATAGAATAGAATTGAAAGTCAGTTAATAGTTGGCTTACCTCTTATCGTTTGTTGATTTGGTGTTTTTCCTAAGGGTGTATGATTACATTGTCAATCCCTGCCATTCGTGTGGTATTATTGGGGAATATCTTTACGCATTTCACTTATTCACTGGTAGACTATGCTGTTTGATTGGGGATATTCCAGTTGACCGAGGGCCATGCGATCGACAGCCTTTGAGCATGTGGAGACCGACAGCCCTAGGGATCGACAATGTCGGCATTCTGCACCCCCAGAAAATTTATTAGAGGATGGACATCTGCCTCATGGGCCGCCGCGGCGGTCCCAGAGGAACCCTTTGATAAGTTACCAGAAAGTTTCCGAGACCGCCATTAGGGACTTTTAGATTTGCGTGGACTGATACGTGTGACGTCCATTGAAGGCAGTGCATTAAAAGGTCGTCGATCGTAGCAATCCACGTTGTCGTTGTGCAAATCCAGAAGTCCCTACTGTCAGCCACGGTGGCCGACAGTTCCGAGTGCTATCTGTCACCCGCTTTGCAAGTGTTTTGACATTTGGTTTATGCACCTGGTGATCAATAACTTGTAAATCCGTTGTATTCCTTCTTCCCTTTTCCGGCCCTCTAGCATTGTCATCCTATCCAGAGGGTTGTAAATGTAAGGAGCTGACCCATTTAGATTGTTCTAGGCTCAACCTAACACAAGTTCCCTCCAACATATCGTCCAATGTGACCAAACTGTAAGTATGAATTTAATCATATTAACTTGTCTCATTTATTACAACATCATATATACCAGGCTATCAAATCTTGAATTTCGTTAAGAAGAAAATAGGTTACTCATTATATAAAAGTAGGTTCTATGACTCTTTTTATTCCGCCAGTTTTGGAAACTGCGACCTTGTATCCAGTTACATTTGCAATGCTTTCAACAATAAAAAGCTTTTGTTTTAAATAAGAGTAAAAACATTTTTTTGTCATTAAGGCCGATGTGAAATAATTTGTCCTTTGTATCGTGTTTTCTAAAACCGATGCTTAGAAGTCTATGATTATTTCAATCGAATAATCAAGAGAAACAACCTACATTGGATATTACTGTATAAATGCTTTGTTTTATTAAGTTCTCCTTTTCTATCCCCCTCTCTCTCTTTCAAGAAATTGATCATTTCGCTACCTTAAGGGGGTTTTAGCGATATTACAAATAAGTATCAAAAATTTATATTCAAGGGCCTTTCCTTCTTGCCTCCTAAACTAAAGCGGAAAAACTAGAGCAATTGATTTTTCAGCTAGTGGCACGATCGAAGCTGCCGAGGTAAACTATTTTATGAACATGATATAAAAAAAAAGTACGTGCAAACTGAAAATTAATCACCGAGCAACGTTTGTGTTTCAGGTGATTTCAGTCATCATTGTGTATTTCCTCCAGGTATTTATGCCTATTGTAATTCATATAGAAAGCTAAGATTACTAGTAGTACATGGCGAAAGCTGTTCTTGAAGTTAAATCTCGAAAACTGTTGTTTCTATGTTTCCGGGGGTCGTCGTTTCATGAAACAATCAAAAGATCAAGTCCAGCCTCGACCATTTGAAACACGTGTATTGCATTTAACACGCCATTCAATGGGATCGCTGTGAACTTGAATGTATGATGGTTTCGCGAAACGAAGTTTAGGTAAGTTTTAGATAACACGCCTGAAGGATATATCCTTGAATTGCCTACTCAATATTTTCCATGACATTGACTTCCTCTTTCACAGATTTTTGAAGTACAACAATATCGAAAGTATTGACGCAGAAACATTCACCAACATGTCATCCCTAGTCTACCTGTAAGTAACGGTACCTTGAATTTAAGGCAGTGCAAAGCGATTATTAAATATCAGGAATTCAGTTCAAATGTGTTTTCATCGGTGCATCGAATTATTGTGAGACAAAATCGATAATCAGGTTTCTGCAATCATGCAGCTGTGAATCTTGAGTGAACAACACAAAATAATAATGTCGGACTAGAAAGAAAAATTCCCCTCAGAAGATTTTGGTTTAAAATTGTATGTGCGCGCAGGCACATCCATGTCCCATCCCCCCCCCCCCCCAACACACACACACACACACATTAATTTATACATTTCGTCTTTGCTATTTTTACGTATTACAATAAGCGCAACTGATAAATGAATTTTTTTTTTGTTGAATGCATGGGAACGTGTATTATCAAACTGATATTGAAAGCCAATAGAAATCAGTTTTAATCGAATGTACTGTTGCTTGTGATTTTTCTTTTCTTGGCAGTAACCTGATGGGAAATCAACTCACCGAGATACCTTCTGGATCCTTTAAAAGTTTACATCGATTGTCAAAGCTGTAAGTAATGCCAACATACTATAAGGAGGTGTTTTTTTTTAGGTTTTTTTTTTTTTTTTTTTTTTTTTTTATTTGGGGGGGGGGGGTGTTATTTACTTTTGAAAGCTTCCAGTGTAATTTTTTCGTAATTTCGACTTGTACGTCAGAATTTAAGATAAACAGGAAACGCCCTGTTACTCAATTAACAGGAAAGGATAAAAACTAATCGGTCATTTTTCTCCACAGTTTAATAGTTTCAAAAAACATCAGACATTGTAAACTTCACTTAATTTGATGGCATAATGATCTAACAATTTCATTTGTAACACCTATTCTTTTGATCTGTTGTTGATGTATTTTTCTTTGAAATGTTACCATTCACAATTCTTTAAATGATCCTCTAATGAGACGAAATACACGCATAAATATGAAGAAATACATTTATATATAAATATAATTTGACAGAATTTTGGAATTTAAGACTATACTTACCATAAAGGCAAGTCATTAAATATGGCGTGTGATATGGCGTGACAGCCCAGATGCGACATATGAAAAGGAACCATGCACCGGTGTACACTGGTTACACTGGAGCAAACAAGCAGGGTTTAATCTGCAATTTAATACAGAACAAACAATTAGCATATCCTGTATCAAATTAAATGTACCCTGACAATCCTAAGCCATCTGTCACCATACTAACGGAAAACAAACAATGACTTCTTCCCATGCAACAATTACGTGCAACACTGACTCACTGACAACTCAACATTCAATGCATTCATTGAGTGCTCGAAGGCCTCATTCATGTTACTACAATATCACGCATGACCGTGCACCACAATTACGTAACATACACTGTACACGTGTGAAATCTTTCACGTGAACGACTCATTCATGTCATTATTTTATCACCTCATTTTAGTTTCATAAACTTCATATTTCATCAAGCTATCTGGCTATAAAGAAAATATAACTCATACATTTCAAGATAACGTAATAATTTCTACTTACATCATCGGACTTGAATCACAAATTAAACGAAAACATAGGCATCTCTGGCCAGCAAACTTTCCCATGACGTGGAGAATTAGCAGCACACGAAATTCTAATAAAAGAATGAAACGCCGATAATACCAAACAACAACAACAACTACGCCCTCAAGCGGCCAAATCGAAACCCTATCTATAAAGCGGCGCCTTTTGACCGATAATTATACTTTTTTTAAGTTACATATTAGTGTAGATTAATCCCCAAAGTGGTGGTAGCTTTCGTCTCTTTGCCTTCAATAATATAGATATAATGACTGCTATGAGAGGGATAGTTTTTTATAGGTTCAAGGGGACGTTACATCCTACTATAATCCCAAGGCGTGCCGAGGGGTGATAGCAGGACGTAACGTCACCGAGTGCCTATTAAAACAAATATGCCTTAAATATTTAAGCAGTTTTTATATCTTGTATCACTATGAACATGACTGACAAAGAAAGCGGACAAAATATACAGTTCCTCAGGTAGACAAAGGAACATCCCTTCACTGCTATTATGTAAAAATGTGTAGAACAGGTGTCACATGCATATTCACCTTTTTACATAATAGCAGTGAAGGCATGTTCCTTTGTCTACCTGAGGAACTGTATATTTTGTCCGCTTTCTTTGTCTGTCATTTTCATAGTGTATATACCGAATTCACAACAAATCTACAAAGAATTCTTACATTATCATTGTTTCTTGGAAATCTGAGACATTGTCTGTAAATCTTCACTTGAAAGTTGCCTGAATGTTACAATCATTCGGGAATCGCACACAAACACACACTGCACTGTATTTTGTATCCACGCTCGCACAAAGAGATTTTTGTTCACATAAACCAATGGGGATCTCACCAAAATGTAATTAGCGGCCCGTTAGCCGGGGCATGCGGGCAACTTTTAAAAGACTATTGACCGGTAGGCGGGCATGGCTAAAATCATGACTCCAATTTTTTACCAATTAAATGGCTAGATTTCTAAAGAGAGAATGGAATGATCATGTAAGATTCCAAGAAAGTATTTCAAAACACATATGAAGGATATACATTTTGCGTGGGAGCACTAAGAAATGATTGTAATTGGAAAATATTTAACCATACATTTCTATTTTAATCGAGATAATGAAGATGCCCTTTTCTTTCATATTTTCCACTTTCCTCCTACTGTCTGATATCAGGTATTTGTCTGAAAATAGAATATCGAATATACACCGAGAGGCTTTTCTTGGATTAAGTCACCTGCACTGGCTGTAAGTATGAAACTGTCACCATGATTTTGATTAAAGCGTGACAAAAAAAATAAGAATGCAAATGACTAACGATGCACGATATCATTCAAAAGTGACAACAAATACGTCATATTTTGTTTTTACTACAATCTATGGAAAAATGATTATGGGAAGATTATTTTTTTTGTATCGGTGTTTTGGAAAATGTTATGACATATATTCAAATGGAAGTATATATAAGAACAATTCTCATCTATGGACTTTCTTTCTCGAGAATGGTATTGAATATGTATGGCATTATACAAGATTAACGATACTTTTTGTTTCCTTTGGTATATTTTCAATCAGGTTTATGAACAAAAATAAATTACGCTCAGTTGCACCAGGCACGTTTCTGGGTCTCGAAAGGTTATATTGGCTGTAAGTATATGATATATTATTAACCTTTCTTGGTGTGAGATGTTTTGCTGATGCTAAACGTGTCTTATTTTATGAGCAGTTGTATTTGATAACTACACGCACATTTGAACAAATAGTGTAAACACAATTCAGTTTTGTTAATGGGAGACGTGCTCTCTCTCTCTCTCTCTCTCTGCCTCTCTCTATCTCTGTCTGTCTCTCTCTCTCTCTATATATATATATCACTCTCTTCTTCCCCCATCTATTACACACTCTATACACACCTATATATATTATATATATATGTAGGTGTGTATAGAAAAGACAGATATATATATATATATAAATATAATATATAATATATATCTGTCTTTTCTAACCCTTCCCCCTCCCCTCTCTCACACACACATATACACACACACTCTCTCTCTCTCTCTCTCTCTCCCGCTTCTTACATTTCTTTTTGTGTAGCTAATGAATAGTTTTTATAAGAGCTTCAATGTTCACGAACAGTGGTTTACTACACTGGGTAAAGAACTCATGAGATTGTCATATTGATAATTTTTGAGATTGAATGTTCTGATGAGGTTGCCCCATATAAATATGTCTAGAATTTAAATCAATCCTATTTAGCAAACTAGTTGACTTCTTCCTGTATTGTCAGCTGAATCTAAAGGTAGAATACGGGACTACATTTTATCTTACACCTTAATGTGTTCATGATTAAATGTTTGGTTTTACCATGGACCCTACCACTACTTGTTTCTGATTTTTGCTTGTATGTTTGACTCTTGAATTGTAATGTTGCAGTTGTTTGTCATATACATTTTTCTTTGTTATTAATATGTTTTGATAGTCTTGTATTGGAGAATAAAAAGTACATAAAATGTTGCAAAAAAACCAAAAAAAATACATTTAAAACACAACGGTATTTTTGTAATCAAATAACATGCAAACTTTCTTTTGACAAAAGATAATAAAAGGTATGTCACTTTTTTGTAGAATAATGTCACGGCAAGTTCTAGTTTTCCCTTATCAGTTATCAGACCTTAGATAACTTCATATATTGTTACTCGTCAACAAGGCACACACAAAAAACATCCTCTACAAGAATGCGGATTATTTTCCCTAGAGCACTCACTGATATGATAAATGATCGCTTATAAGAATAATTTTTCATTTTACCTTAAGGGGGAGGAGAGACGTGATTACCGTATTAAGAGAAAATCATATATTCATCGAAATTTACACAATAATGCTATCACGAATCAAGGAGATGGCTTTCTGTTCACCTTGAGCCGTCCTCTGTCCTCTCAAATGTCAACGGACGGATGGATTGAATGATGACATGACAAATATATTTCCGGTTAACGAAGGTCGAGGACTCTATAGCGGTGTTGGGTGATTCGGGTATAGGTTTTGGAATGATTTTTCTTGTTGTTTGTTTTCCTTTAGTGTCGATTGTGTATACATTGCAGAAAATTCCAGAAGCCCATACCCATGTTTTATTAAATGGTTATCCCCGGCGAGATTTCGGACAAAAGTTTGAATAATTGAAGATTTAGATGACCATATATACATTTCATTTACCTAAACTGTATTTAGTTTTTAAATTGTTAGAGTGGGAGTAAGAGAAAAAGTAGTAGAAAATACAAAAGTAGCGGGGAAAAATAAAAGTCCGACTAATAAAGGTTTGAATCCGAGAGTTAATACGAGGCATATTAGCATTTAGAATGGCCAAAACAATAAATCTATTTTGACGTTAGATAAGAAAAACCCTGGCAACTTTAGCAAATGGAAGAACTACCTATCCCCAAGGAAAATGATAAAACGTATTGTCTTTCTATTTCTGTTTTGTGCCTAAAACATTTCTTAAATTGTTTACGCTGCTTTTTCAAGAAGATTACTATTTGAGCCGTATTTAGGTTTCAGCATCACTCAGATTCTTATATAAACAATTACGATTGAGACAGAGGCGGGTTGAGAAATGCGACAGTTAGGACTAGCGCGCGCTCGAAGGCGTTATACGTGCATGCTTTGGGAATTGGTGAGTTATGTATTGCGGAGACCACGACCCCTGGGCCCTAATATAAACTTAACACTGCCACGGGGAGAGGAGGGGGCGGAGAAGGAGGAGGAGGAGGAGGAGGAGGAAGTAAAGAGAGAGGATAATAAGAAGCACACCGAAATTCTCTCGGAGACCACAATCGAAAAAGAAATCCATATAAACTACTTTCCCCATGGGCAACTGCGGATTTTTAAAAGCGGAATGGCATGTAACTTAATAGCACAAATTAACAGTCGATAAGAAGATTTAGGGGAAAATGCACTTTCCGAGAAAATGTCAAGATTGCGTTTGTTTTTCTTCTTCAATTTATTCGTCAACAAAAACCAGTGTCTTGGTTACCAGGATGCTTGATATTTTTGTAATGGAAACCCATGTTTTTCTCAGGATGGAACTTCAGAAAGCTTTTATCATTTATCTTTTTTCACTGCGATGAACCTAAAAAAAGACTTCCTTAATATTCATCATCAGAAGAAACAAATACTTTGCCACGCCATATACAGAAATTCCCTACTCTTTAGACCTTTAAAACCGACTAAAGACCTACTTCTTCAACACAAAGTAGATACCCAGATTTTTAGCACCTGTACTTACAATTTGTATAATTCATGTAATTTTGTTCTTGTTTTATAATATGTTCTTTTCTACACATTTTATTTCAATCTATGCATATTTTCTGTCTCACGTTATCATGCTTACTTATTAACTTTTCTTTAAAGGTGGTTTTGTCTATTTACATGATGCAAAATCATTTAGAATGTCAATCTCGCGTTATTATCTTTAATGCTGAAGTTTTTCTTTATAAGTTATATATTTCATGTAAAGCGCTTTGAAATGATAAGTATGTTAAGCTCTATAAGAATCTTAATTTTTATTATTAATATCATTATTGTTATTATTTTTTTATAATTATTATTGTTGTTATGATTAATATCATTCTAATTATCATAATTTAATTGCCCTGCTTATTCTACCCATAATCGAATTAAATCGTATCGACGTAGCGTATCGGGAAGTTGACGTCCAACAACTAGATAATGGAGCATAATACTCATATTTTTTCACCTCACTCTGCTATTTATGTGTAACATATCCGCACTCTGTTGGGGAATAGGGTAGATTATTTACTCTGTGATGATTTGCCGCCATGCCGTAGGTGGTTCGAGGTGTGAAAAAATAATCTGTTAAACTTTTGATCTTCAATGCCCCAGAAATGCTGATTTGAAAACAGTTAAGCTTTGTGATTAAGCATTGGATTTGTTTATATAAATTGTGAGTTTGTGTTATTGTATTCTGGAACTTGCCCTCCCCATTTGTTTTCTTCTCTCTGTCTCTCGCTGTCTCTAAGAATTAAGCAGAGAGTTTTATCATTTGAACGGTATTTTTATACGGACCTGAACGATAACGTTTTTTTCCTCCTAAATGCGGTTAGTTTACATGGGTTGAAGTTCAACTTTTCAAAGACAGTGTGCAGACGTTTGTAGATGTATTCGACGTGTAACAATCAATAATGCATTGAATAACTTACCTGTTGGGAATTTCAGTTATACATTTTACCTCTACAGGCATGGCAGGCGTGTCTGTGTGTAGGGGATATACATGTGCGTGCGTGTGCGTGGTGTTCGTGCGCGTTAGTGCGTGTGTGTGTGTGTGTGTGTGTGTGTTTCTGACTGCGTGTGTTTCTGACTGCGTGTGTGCGTGCACGAGTGCGTGAGTACGTGTGTTTATGTGTGGGTGCGGGTGTACCGATGTGTGAATGGGACAGTGTAGAATGCTTTTTAAGTAAATTTATCTTGAAAATTTAGTTTAATTAAATTAATTTGTGATGAAGGACTCCAATAAAGAATAAATAAAAAAAAACATATAGATTCTTTCTTCTTTTCTTACCTTATAGGTGATCTTGTAGATTTACAAAGAGGCAGTGGGTGTTCATCCTGTTTTAAATTATAATCTTTTAACGTTTTTCTTGCTTCCAACATACTTTTGTTATGTCATACCCATGCACTGCTCCTGTCTAATAAAAAAATAATCCAATTTAGCGGGTAGTTTTTCACCGTTCCATTCATAAATCAAATATAATTCCATCATCAAATTACCAAACTCTAATTGGGTCGTTAAAAATACTTTAAAAACCCGAGGAAGAGAATTATACCTATACGAAGGTAACGTACATTTTAAACTTGATAAGTAATAACAGTTTAATAAAGCACAAAGTGTAATCAGTATCATTATGTAGAAACATGTTTGCTTATCAGCGACGCCATTTTGATGTAGCTGATTAGATAGTTCTACCGTATTTCATTGCTAAGTGAATGAATTTGTCATGTTTGGACGGTATTATAGATGAGCCTCTTGGCTGAAGGATAAATTGTCTTTGAGGAGAATGACTTCTGATTAAAAAGTGGGTATTTCAATCCTAGCAATTACTGCCTAATCTTGACCACAATCTGTTGCTGACATATTAACTAAGAGAGCTGTTCATGCGCTCTGATACCAAAGAAGATGATGTTATCAAGATCCAGTTTGTTCTCCTGCCAATGCATTTTATGAGGCTGTTATGTATTTGACATGGAATAAACCTAATTGGAAACAGATCGATCTACAGTAATGAATATAACGTGTCGTCATGGACAATGTGTGTATGTACTGTTTTCATGTTCTTCTTTACCTGATCATTAAGAAATCAAAAACATGATTGCAGATTCATTACCAGTGAACCTACGGGGCTAGGATTTTCGGCTTATATCACCTAATCGTAAAAAATGGCGCGACGAATTAGTTTCGAACTAAAGATCTATTTTTCGATCACCATGACCATCGCGTTTCCTTATGTGTGTCTAAAGTATTTTTATCTTATATTTTTTGTTTGCATCTCGACCCATTTCATGATTTTCCGCTGCTTCCTCTTCGTAACCTAATTCTTGTCTTGATGCTTTGTATTTCCCAGGGATTTGCGGGAGAACGAAATACGAGACCTAAACGACGGGGAAGCATTTCAGGATCTCCTCTCGTTAGCCTGGCTGTAAGTTTTTAGCTTATAATAAAGGGCGCAGATGGTATCGTATAATTTCTTAGACTTTCTCTCTCTCTCTCTCTCTCTCTCTCTCTCTCTCTTTCTCTCTTTCTCTTTCTCTCAATCTTTCACCTTTTCTCTTTCTCTCATTATCTATTTATTGATTTACCTGTTCATTTGTCTACACAGTATATCTTGGCCTTTCTATTTACCCCCTCCCCCCTTATTTTCTCTCTCTCTCTCTCCCTTTCCCTCTCAATCTTTCTCTCTCACCCATCCACTCCCATCTCTGTCTGTCTGTCTGTCTCTCGTTCTATCATAATTTCTCGTCCATATTCAAGTACCTCTGTTGTACCATACGTATCTCGTTGTTCTATGACAATTTTTCAGAAAACGCAAATAACTGAATCAAATTACAGGTTTGCAGACAATATTGTGTCAGTTATATTATGTCATGAGGTAAAAATGCTTTCACAATAGAATTCTTCCAATGGGAATATTGTATTCGTTGCACTAACATCAATTCTACCTACTAGAATAGTATCAACCGTATACCTACTGGAATAATATCAACGGTATAAATGGCAGGGACAATGATTCCTCCAACAACTTGTCACCCGCTTTTATTGATAATCCCCTTAACCTGCTCATGGCAAGAAACTGACGTCATTTCCATGTCATTTTTTGAATGAATACAACTATCCCACTGGATAAATCTCTTAAATAGCGTTAATTGCACGTTGAAGGTCATTTCGATTATGAATGATATTGTGAGGTGATTGTGATTCCTAGATTCCTACGATGTAGATATTTCTAATACTGAAGAAATTAAACTACATTCAATCAAATGGAGTATTAATGTCGATATTTTACAACCTATAGAGTCTGAATATGATACACTAAGAGGCATAAAAGGTACGTTCAGGTATTTTCTTTTCTGGACCGTAAGTCAAATCAAAACGAACCCAAGCTCTCTAATCTGTTTTGTTGGTGTTTCCATTATACTACACAATTCAAAATCTGTATGAGCACAGATACACAACAACAGAGTTAAAAATACATCATATTCACGGCAATTGTAAGTAATGTACAGTTTCCATATAAATAGTGAAGACAATGCATCGTAATCTGAAATCAGACCACCGACTAATATCGGTTTCTCATTTATTTCCAGGGACTTCGAGGGGAACGACATCAGAGGCATAACCGCCAATTCATTTGCCGCAAATACATCTCTATTCGTGCTGTAAGTTGTTGATAGATATTATTCATAGTGACCTTTGCGAATCATTGTTAAGATTAATGATACTGCATCATAATTACAGCTGTCGTGCCTGTAGACTGAATCGTTTTGCACACTAATTTCATTTGTATGGAGATACCAGTTAAACTGTTGATGTGCGCCAATGTAATACCCCAAAAAAGCAAGCACAACATCAAAAAGAAAGAAAAGGTTTTTTTATTATTCATCTAGAAAAGAGAGAGGCAAAGAAGACCTTGCATGCAAACATGGCGAATGGCGTAAATATAATAACAGCTGAAGTTGATTTCATTTGTATTCAAGTTGTCACGAATCTTTCGATCGCTCGCTGCTTGTTGTGACGAAAATAGAAGCAATCGTATGTTAATCTTGTTTTCATCGATTTTGAGCTGGGTATTAACAAAAGTAAACGTAAATCAAATTATGGTTTAGAATATGATCCGCGGCCTAAAGTAAGGAGATGAAATGACAATTTACGATGCCTATACATTCAGCAAATAATGGAAAATTATTTTCTGTCCTATTTGAACAAAACTTGGTGAATAAACAAAATCCTAAATGCATATAATGATAACACAATACTCTATAACTAATACACCGTCATAATACATGGATTATAAGGATAACGGCAGCATTTTGATGATGAAGAGTATAAACGAAAGAAAAAAAATGGTTGGCGGAAAAAGTGTGAGAGACAAGACTTTAGTTGTTTGGCCAACTCCACTTTCGTTTGGCATGAACATGATGAAGACGAATCGGTTTAGGAATTCAGGGAAATGTAATTGAATAAGTGTTCTTTATAATATACAAAAATGATGTTTGCAAGAGCATTAGTGAATGTGCACAGTAGGATAATGAACAAGACTCGTCGAGTTCATTGTCCATCTCAATGTGACTTAACCAAGTACAGTGCATTGTACGAGCTAAAATCCTGTATTATTTGTTGTATAAGATGGGTCTACAATATGAGTAAATAGTCAAGAAATTGACGGTTGCCGATGCATTTCCCGTGCATAAAGTAAAAATTAATGCACTCACACGTGATCCATTTCGATTTTTCTCTTTAGCAACATTCTTGAACCCATTGTATAATAAACAATAATGTACTCCGGGATAACTATTTTGAGGGATCCATTCGTTTGTTTATAGCAAAGATAGTATTTATAAAGGGTTACCATGGTTATGATCCAACTCTCGTAATTAAAAAGAGTACAGTAGCTGGCCAGTCAAATGTACTGGATTTGTAAACATACAAACAGAGTAAATTCTGGGACTACAATACAAGTATATAATTTTGTCAAAGCATTTGGCTACCGATCACTTTTTTTGTACTCTTTAAAATAAAAATAAAAGATCTTTAAAATCAAAAAGTTCTCATCTCTAAAACTAAGGTCAGGCAAATCTGTATTAATTTGTTATGATGTTGGATATGTTCACATACACGTGTTCTGTGCTTCTATTAATAAATTCTAGAGGGGCCTGTTGTAATACCTTGCTTCTTCAAATTTAAGGGGAAATGGAACCTGGCCCAGGAAAAATCATTCGGCAAGGCTCCATATGCTGTATTGCCAAAAGGAAGAGAAGCTGATATCCATATGCAAGGGCTGTTAATGTACCTGTATATGCGCAAAGTGTGAAAGGATTGGAGGCGGAAATTTCTCAAAAAGGACATCTTGCCCAGGGGTTCTGAATATGTAATGGCCTCTTGATATTTAGAGGCTCAATAAATCGTGCAGAGTAATATGAAGAAAGGGTGTGAGAAGGTGGGTGTGTGTGTGTGTGTGTGTGTGTGTGAGAGAGAGAGGGGTAGAGTGGGGGCATGGTATAGAAGGATAAAATGGAGTGCCAGTTCAGATAGGCACTGTCCCATCCAGCAATCAAGATATTCATTACGCTCAAGGTCAAATCCTCTTCTTCTGCAAATCCTCCGCATCAATTCGAAGAAGGATCAACAAAATATAACTGTTTCAAGTCCCACTTTTTTTTAATAATCTCCCATTAAGCATCGTTACTGCTCCCCAGTGGGATCATTTAAGAGAAATCTCAAGACTTATTTGTTTGCTTTGTAATTGTTTTATGACAAGGCGTTGTGTGGAGCTGTGTGGGATGTGAACGAGGTTGTGTACTGTATGAACCAGGCTTGATTCATTCATGTGGTGCACAGCTTTTTGAATAACTTTACACAGCTTTACACAACAAATTTACAGTGTATGTACTTGGAGGGCAAAATACTTATTCTGTTTTATTTACTAATGTAAAGTGCCATGAGTATGTTTATGTAAAGGCGCTATATAAATATCAATATGTATGTATGTAGGATACTTTCCACCTCCCTCAATAAGAATGAGACTAACTTTTTTGTTATTAATAGTGAAGTCTTCTACAGCGCTCATGTCTGGCACATTGCCACTCCTGACGCTTCATTATTATCACCCCTGCGTTAGCACGACCGACATTACAGCGCTCGAGCATTTTAAGAAATTAATTCTTGCCCGGTACCCATTTACCTAACCTGGGTGGAGTGTGGCAAATGTAGATTATCATCTTGCCAAAGGACAATATCGCCGCTTCGAGACTCGAACCGCGAACCATGTAATCAACATCCTGGTGGCGTATCCACTAGGCCAGCGTTTTTTCAACCGGGGTGCCGCAGGACATGTCTATGGGTGCCGTGGGAGAAATTCAATTAGTCTTTATCTATCAAATATTTCAGAATAACGTCTTTTACGTGTTAACAAAATATTAAAAACCGCTATACATTTTCATTAGAAAATGGCACTTTAAAGATAATAAAGCGTTTTTCTTCCTCGCTCGCTTCGATCCCTCGCAACGTTTAAAAACAGGATGATTTCAGGCAGCAAAGTGCTTAAATACTCCCATATTTGGGCAACGATTTGCCTGAATATACATCCATTCGACAACAATGTGCTCGAATGTCGTGATATTCGGTAAGCAAGCTGCCCATGTGTTAGGTATTCCATTGTTCAGAAGAGTCAATTAACACTTTCTTTTTGGTTTTGCATTCAAACAGTGTACTGAAGAATAACAATATTCGGACAGTTGACAGCGATTCCTTTACGTCTCATCGAACTCTGATTGAGCTGTGAGTTTTATTAAATTTTTCCTTTCTGTTCAATGGCGTTCAATAGCACAGGTAAATTGGATGTATGATAATTGAAGCTGAAGTTAATATTAATAGCATAATTTAGGTAACTGTTTACCATATTTACATTGATATGAAATTAGGCATTACTAATGTGTCTTCAGTGACTTAGAAACACATAATTATTATTATTAGATCATCGTGAAGTAAGGCATGTAAGAAAAGACTTTTCAGTAGGCAAGATAAATGATTATTTTGCGAATATTGCTAAATTGACAGATATAATCTAGAATTAATTCCTTGTTATTATTCCTTGTCACTGTTATTATACTTATGACCTCCATTGTATTGCATTTTTACGGACTTATAGACACTTATTTTTTATTTGAAAAAGTCGTATAGAACCTTCAGAAGAATGTATTCTTACAAGTCTACTATGAGTTTTCAAACTATGCCTTGCTTAGCACTGGAAATTTTATTATTTCAAAGAATTTTTAAAAAATCGATAAGATTATTGTGAAATTAAGTTAAAAGACCGAATGAAAATAAATGTACTTAAAGTGTCGAATGTTAAACTTACATGCATGAACAGTGACCAGTGAAAGACGGCGTATGAAATTACGTTGGAAAATATACAGGCATGTTAGGGGGTGTGAACATTTTATATTATTTTGGAACCTTAAAGATACACTGTTCATGCACGGTATGCATATACTGGCCACGAAGAAAGATAAATGTGTACTAGACATGGAAAGTAATGTGTACGAGAGCTTAAACAAATAATGCAGGTGGAAATATCCTTTGGGGAAAGACTGAAATTACAAACCCCATTCAATATATAGTATATTATCTATCCATTCTGGGATGACCTTCTCTTTCAACAGATGGTGCACAGTATAAGATTCAAGATGGTCTTGGTGGTGACTTTGATATGTATTATTACCAGTATTGCTGTAATTATAACGATTTTGATAATGATCATGATTTTTCCTCTTATTTAGTGATCTTTCAGACAACCAGATCCTACATCTACCGATGGGACTCTTCGACAATCTCCATATTCTCGAAATATTGTAAGTGATGACGCAATAGAGGCAGGACCTTTGTAGGTCGGTTCATTTCATTCTCGAATCTTTGAGGATTGGGACCAATATTATTGAAGTTTGAGGGGAAAAGGGTTTCTAAAAGGAATAAAAGTATACATATTACAGTATAACATTATTTCAATGAATAAAACTTGTTTGCTAATGGTTGATTTTGATAATACCATAGTACCACTAGATATAAGAAAAACCTCATCCGCTCCCGTCTTCAAAGCTATGTCGAAGATGCACTTGTTTTCAGAATCTTTTAAATAGTTTACCACTGTTTAGGGTTGTGGAAAAATTAGCACTGTAAGTTTGTTTGTTTTTCATCAGAGCGCAGAGGAGAATACCTTTTTAGTAGCTGCGCTATACAAAATTAATCTAATTATCTTATTTCCTCTCCCATGGTTTAATTGTATTTCATGCCGATTGTCCATCCCCCAGAGTATTAATGTCTGTCATTTCATTGTTCTTGTCTTCTTTGTCTATTTTTTTTTCGTCTTCTATCATTTCTTCCATTTCCTTTATTTCCTTTACCAAGCCACGATTGAACTTTTGCGTTATTTCCATATTTTGCTTTGTATGCTGTAAAAATACTAATTTCCGTTGGTCAGATATTGATGTCGTATTTGCCTATACATAAAGTGATGAAACTGCCCCGCTGGGAATACCCGCCCACTATGTTTTTTACTCCCTAACTCCCTCTCTTTCTCTCCCTTTCTATCTCTCTCTCTCTCTCTCCCTTTCTATCATGTCTCTCTTTCTTTCTCTGTCTATATGTCTGTCTGTCTCTTTCTCTCTATCTCTCTCTCTGTCTGTCCGTCTCTCTCTCTCTCTCTTCCTCTTTCTTTCACAATACTTTCGGTCTTGATTTGTCTATTTCATTCTATACCAATGTCATGTTTGTGGGCGTCAGGGGGATACCTTCACTCAGCAGAGCAAATTGTTATTCGCGCTAGCAGTACAAATTATTATCAGACCTGATCAGACCACCAATAACATATTATACTTCCGATGTTGTATTTCTCAAGCGACTTCTCGCTTAGCAGTTTCGGGTAGCAATTACCTGCGTGGGTAGGTTGGTACCGAGGACACTCAAAAGAAACTTTGACGACAACTCACAAAAACGAGGACGACCTCGATTCGAGAACTCGGTAAATTGTTTAAAATTTGCATGGAAGAGGCAGGTCCTCGGTTATGCAGTAAACTTTCAGAACGTCCTCGGTATGGTATATTTCTAGAAAAATGTGTGTCCTTGAACATGTTAGAACAAACCGATGTGTATCATGAGTCCCGTGTGGGTGTGCGCGTTTGTGTATGTATATGCGTTTAATCGGGACCCATTGGATCCTTTGCTGTTAGGGTGTTACTATTTGGTTTTTCCACCCCATGAGTAACATAAAACCGAACGAATGATTCTCTCTAGACGTGTCTAATTAAGTTTGGGGACTGATCTTTGATATCACTGTCTGAGAGACGCTACTCGGTTTCGAATCGGGGTCCTTCAGGATTCATTCATAGAAGAAGACAGAGAGCCGACTCTCCCGCTGGACCAACTCATATCCTTCGATCTGATGAAGCCCTGCCGAAATTAATTTACTACTTTCTTCATCTCCATACTCTCAATGGCTGATATCTCCAATACAAAGGAAGAGCAAAGGTCAAGCAACATGAAGAAAGACCGATGTTAACCCACGTGTTGGTCACTGCAGCTCGAATATGAACGCTCACGTACCAGATGGTTGTCGGGGATAAGGTGTTTATCGAAAATAATTCGCAAGAAAAGAAAAGGATGTTTATTCAGATGAAAATAGTCGGACATCCAAACACTGGATCCGATGACAACTTATTAATGTTCTTAGACATAAATACAGAAACCGATTTTTGTGTGTAGAGATAATAAGAGTGAGGTTTTCAATACATTCTGCATTCACGTCTGATTCCAAGCCACTCCAAGATCATCAGACATTGCTATTGCGTTTTTGTTTTTTTTTTTAGCCTGCTTGTTTAGTGTGTTATTTCTTCACATAGCTCACAATATCTTTATTTGAGTCTATAATGAAGAAGAAAAAAAAATCAATTTTTACGTTTTGTTAATTTGTGTATTTTTCCATGATCATGTTTTGTTTTTTCATTGCAGGCGTCTTCAGAACAACCCTTTAACTTCGATTCCTACCGAATTGTTCAATTCCTTAGGCAGCCTCATAGAATTGTGAGTGAAACGACATTATCAAAAGAAAAAGAAATTTCAAAATCCCTTATCGATTCTTCCAATAAGCTATTCACCACTGAAATTTATAGTTACTTTCATGAGGACAGCGCGCCTACAGCTGTCATTTGGTATTAATTTGCACTTAAAAGATATTGACATTTTAAAGTAAAAAGAAAGTGGCATTAAGGTACTCGTGATTAATCTCGACTTAGGTTTTGACCATAAGCTCATCCATATTGATTGATTGATAGAGAGACTCTTTGATTTCAAAAGAAAATTATATTTCTAAATCCCTTATCGACTGGAAAATCCCACTAGAATAGTTTTCTTCCTTATTCACCGCTGATATTCACTGTTACTTTCAAGAGGACAATACGCCTACAGTTGACATTAGGTATTCATTTACACTTAAAAGATATTGACATTTTAAAGTGAAAGAAAGTGGAATTAAGTACTCGTGATAATCTTGACTTAGGTTTTGACTATAAACTTATCCATGTTGATTGAGAGCGCATAATGTGGGAGTAAGCTCTGTTGAAAAAGGATTTGATTTGGACATTACATAATTCATGAGAAGTTTTACATTAATTAGTCAATATTTGCCATATTACTTTGTTTTTATTGTTATTTGAGGTAGGTATCTATTTCACATTTCGATATTTTGATATCTATCTCAAATCAACGAAAAGATAACATAAATAACTTTACTTTACAATGTAAGAAAAAACAAACAAAATACAAGTCATTATTATGTTTGCCAAAAGGACATACAAAAATAACGCCATTATTTTGATAGACTTAAACCATCGACTACTGAATTGTGTAGGTCCCATAGGCTATAACACAGGGACCACCAGGTTCCCGTTAGCAAAGGGTAATTTGTCTTTGTTTTCTTTCAGGAATCTAACCGGAATTATAAATTCTAACATCAGTGCAGAAATGTTTGACAGTCTGACAAGTCTGGAAAAAGTGTAAGTCGGTTGTTTAAGAGCGTATTATATATTTGTGTGGTATATTGATATCAACTTTTAATGCCACATATTATGGAATGTCAGTATCATAGTGATTTAGTCTTTTCCTGCATTAAATGAAAGAGCAAATGAACGTACATGTCGTGAAATTGTAACAATTGTAATGGTAAAGTATTTAAAAAATATAGTTATTCAACATTGATTGAATTCATCTACAGATATGGCAAAGGCTTTACTTTGCTTTTTAAATGAGAATTTCACGGTTTAGGAAACTGGGAGCTTCTTCCGAACAATCCCACAATTTCCAGCTCGTAAATGTGATAACATTTCACCCTTTGTGAGAACCTTATGGCCTGGTCACCACAAACCCAGGCCCGATGCATTTTTGCCACGACACGACAGAAAATTTGACTTGCCGTCGTGAGGTAAAAATTGACATGCACTTTTTGTATTCGACAATCTTTTTGTTTTGGTATCTATGCCTTGTGGCTGTCGTGCGATAAATATCCTGTCATGGATACCAAAACGAAAATGTTATCGTCAAACAATAAACGACTGTCGCAAGACTGTCATACGACTGATTCACGACTGACAGTCGTGTGACAGTTGCAAGATTGTCTTTCGAAAATTATATTTTGTAAAAGGCTGACATAACATTGCAAGTCTGTCGTGCGTTAGTCTTGCGTTAGTCTTGCAACATATTTTTGTTTGGAGGCATCCTGGATACAGACTCGGATTCAATTCGGGCAGGACTGTTTCCAATTTAAAATCTCGAGAGCAAATGGCAGGCAACGGATCAGGCTCATTATATATTCGGGAGACGGACGCGTAAGCGTCCCACGAGTAAATCACGACCTGATCACGTGGAAAACATCACCGGACAATACCCGACAACACACGACGGTCTGATTTGCGACACACCCACGACATAATTTATGACACGTTCCCATCGCAAAACCATCTTTAATGTGTCGTAGCCCTTGTGAAAACTCGAAATACATTTCGGGCATGTTGCAAGATCTGGCCACGGCAAATATTGTATGTTGTTGTGGCCAAGGCTTTAGTCATTCAAGAAATGGGCACAGCCTTAGATCACAGTAAACACCACTAAATGTTACTTTCTCGTACCATACTCAAACTTCTATTTTTCACCAATAGCATGATTATGACCGTCTACGTACCTATTCAATATTTTGATGGCATTGTACAAACATTCTCTATTGCAGCTTACCTCAAAGTCTATTAACATTTGCATGTCTCTTTGATTTTCCGCGTCTTACAGAGAATTCGGGAAGTTTGAGTACTGTCGCTATGCCCCTCACGTTCGTACATGTAAACCGCACTCCGATGGAATTTCGTCGTTCGAGAACCTCTTGAAAAACGTGATTCTACGAGTTTTTGTATGGACGATAGGAATCATCACCAGCGTGGGTAATCTAGGTGTACTGGTCAGCCGTGCTTTCATGAAGGCAGAAAATAAAGTCCATACGGTCGTCGTCATAAATCTATGCAGTAAGTTCATTTAATTTTGTATATGTAAAACAACAAGAAACATGCGAAATGCAAAGTTATCTTGACATCTTTAGGACGTTTTCACATTTTCTTTTTTTAATAGAGCTACATTCATCATGTTCATCGTTTGATCGGGGAAAATGGGATTCTAATATTCGAATTTCAATATCTTCGAAATTATTTTCACTTCATAATCAATACAATTTATGAACATTCAGAAATGGTATGCTTGCTATAATAACTTCCGATTGTCCCCCGCCCAAAGAAAAAATCATTTAAAGTTGGTTAAACACATTGGTCAATCCACTTGTTTGCATTCTGTAAAATTACTGATAAAAAGAGCCATTGCTCTAACATTTCTAAAGAAAGATCAATAACCAGTGTTTAGCCGACAGAAAATACCACTATTATCGTCCCCCCCCCCCCCCCCCCCCCCCCAAAAAAAAAATTGTAGTCAACTAATAATGTGTAATTCTTAATAAACATGTTAAAATATAAAGTTACCTAAGCATAATATTTCTGTTGGCTACGCACGATACCTAAAGCCATAGATAACCATGGTCATATGGTACACTAGAATTTCTTTTTGGGGTTACCTTTCCCCCGGCAATCGGCGTAAGCTTTCAGTCTATATATATATATATTAGATTTGCTTTTTTTTTTTCTTATCATATCACCTAAAGCCTAGTATACATGATACAAGAAGCCTTGACCGCTCTGCCTTGCAGTATATTTATCCGAAAAGACAATATATGTATTATGATTTAAATGCACCAGTAAAGAGTTTTGCGTCCGCTTGCAATGATTACTTATGAACTGTGCTCTTTTATATACATTCGAGTACAAAGAAGAGGAATTTGCCGACCCTTCACTTTTCATTATAATCTGTCGCGAAAAGCTTATACATGTACAATGATTTGTTAAATATGAATGACACATGTTTTTAGCGGTAATACATTATCCCCTTTTACTTTCACAATTCATTTCAGAGAGAATTTTTCTAAAAAAGGACTTGATAACAAAGAAGTATACTCATTTGTAGAGAGATGAGATAATTACCAATTCCAAAGCAATCATAGTTGATATCTGTAGCGAGCCTTCCAATCTAAAATAAGCGCCATAACCGGTCTCGCTCAGATTTATAAGGTCATTTCTATGCAAAGTGATATAAAAACCAAGAGCTATTTATATATATATATATATATCTAATCCTCCTCAAGATTATACAGCTTGTGCGTTGTGGAGCATAGTCCTTTTCCCCACATGCTCTGATCTACTGCATTTTTCTTATGCATGTTAATGCTCATACTTCTGAGAAGTGTGTGTGATTCTTTTTTCTTTATTTATTACTTCTGCCTTCTTTTTGTTCTATTTTGAGTAATCAACACATATACAAGCTCTGCTTTTAGTGGATCTTTCTTTTCCTTTAAAAATCGACTCTATAATGATATGCTTACATGTTTTTTTAATCCTAAAATGCCTTGAATATTTATCGACATGTAATATATAACAACATATAACAATATAATATTATTTAATGATGAATTAGTGTTATTTTCTATGTTATATTGCAAAAGTCATTTGATATTCATTTGATGTAAGCATCTTTGTCATGTTTTGATTGAGTTATGGAAATGTAATTATTTAAATTGAATTCAATTGAATATAATTCCTGTCAAAATACCTATTCAATTAGGAGATGATTTATGACTATTTTCTGTTTATAAGTGACTCTCAGTGCCATTAAATCGTAGTCATCAATAAACATGTACCGCTCTTTAATATTGAAGACAAAAAAGGGAATAAAACGCAATGGCATATTATTATTGCGAATATGTGGGTATCATCATTTCGAGAAATTGAACACGGATTTATTTTTCAGGAAGATATTCACTATAAATAAATCGTGATGCATATACGTTGTGAAAAAAAGGAATAGTGTAAATCACACCACCAAGAAGTATTGTAGATAAACCTTGACGTCCGCATTTAAAGATTTTTATCAAAGAATGGGTTAAATCCACTTATAGCTTTTTCGATCAAATCAAGGAATTTTAACATAGCACTTTCCCTTAGCAGTTATCATTATTTTTTGCATATTTATTTTTTGAATCTAGCAACTGTTTTTTTTTTCATACAGTTTTATAATATTGACTTTTGTTGATTCAGTGCCATTTTGAATGAAGATTTGCGTATGTACACATGTGTTCAAGTGTGTGCTATAAGACATAATGCAGAGAGTACGGACATAACAGTGTGTGGTAGGGTTTTACAAAAAAAATGAAGGCGAGAAGAGCCTATCTAGGATTAATAAACCCACAGCTCCCACCCCCGGTGAGATTCCAAGGAAATAGGTTTTCTCCTAATTGTCTGCCCCTACTTGAGAGGACTAACAAGACTCCCTAAGCCCTGTTACTGACAGACAAACTCATAAAATATTAATGTTTAGTTGAAACTTGGTTCCCATCCTTCAGATAATCCTTGATCCACCTGTAAATAAGCTATTTTGTTTTTTAAAACTAATTTCTAAACTAATTTATCTTAACAGCTGCAGATTTTCTGATGGGTCTTTATCTGCTCATCATCGGGACACATGACGTCAGGTATCGGGACAACTACAATCAATATGCACTGGAATGGACCAACAGTATTACCTGCAAGGTGTCGGGACTCTTAGGCATGGTGTCCAGTGAGGTCTCAGTCCTGACTCTCATGTTCATATCTCTGGAACGCTACTTCATCATAGTATACCCGTACAGCTTTCAAAGAATCAAAGCAAGACGAGCTATTCTAGTTTTAATCTTCATCTGGATCATCGGGACTATTCTTGCTGTATTACCCATAATTCCTGTGGCGTATTTCGGGAACTTTTACGGGAGTAATGGTGTTTGTTTTCCGCTTCATCTTCATGAACCCAAAATGAAGGGCTGGGAATATTCTGCCTTTGTGTTCCTGGGGATCAACACAACTGCCTTTGTTGTGATCGTTGTCTCGTATACCGGTAAGTAACTCAATATTACATGATGAAAGTAATTACAATCACCTTTTTTTTTCAATTCATAAACCCACAAAATAATGTTGCGATAGAAAGGTTGTTTTTAAATAAAGGCTGTTGGTGCATCATGAATATTCTAGAATCGGACGCTTTGATATTTTCATTCATAACGGAAGACATCTAATAGATGAAATGGTTCTCCCCAGATCTGTCAAAAGTTTCCCGAGCCGGACAGTCGAACCCGCGCTTCCTCATTCGCCATTCAACAAGCATGACAAGGTTTAATTAAACCATGTAGTAGGTCCATGATTAAACCATGGTTCTTGGTAGGTCCATGTTTAAACCCACACCTTTGGAGGAACCGGTGATGTGACATTTTCGATCACCTTCAAATCATTTTTTAAGGGGATGGGGTTGTTTATTTGCTTGTTTTTATTTCTATGTGTCTGTTTGTTTTTCAAAGGGTTGGGGAATCTGAAAACTGCTTGATCTGCTGTATTATCTTTTACTTAGAAAGCTGATACATGTACAGGTCCGTTTCGCAGTAGCATTGAGCATGGGCTTGTTTCTCTCTGAACTATTATGCAAGAGAATCTCTTCAGGCGTGAGGCTGGGTTGTTTGTGTCTAATATTTTGAATACTGGGTACAAAGTTCGAACTAATCAATTGTATTTGAGTGAGGTTCAACCATTTGATATAATATTCCTGCTATTTCCGCCATCTCATTTGTATCTCCTTACAATGATCATAATAAAGAGGGACAATTCAAGAAATTGATATCCTTATACACTATCACAAGTACATTATTTCATCCTATGCATGAATCTCAAATGAAGGTCCGATACTATTCTTCTCCCACACAGAGTATCTCCCTATCATCTTAATTTTGTTGTATTGCTCTGCACTTTAATGGCTGATTCGTTTGTCTGTCTGTCTGTCTCGTATGTCTGTCTGTCTCGTACGTTTGTATGTCTCTCTTTCCATTTTTAGATTTCTACCTATGCCCTTATTTTATAGCACTCATCATTTTTTCCTGATTCCATCTTTTTCTTCTTTTTTCTGTTTTGTTCTTATTGTTATTGTTTTGACAACCTAATAGTGTGGTACGGTATGTCACTAAAACAACTCACGTAAGATTTTTGTGTCAAAGTTGATATTTTTTGCATTTTTGGATTCATTGGGGTCCAAGCTATCAGAAATTGATGGGGTTCAAATTTTCCCGAAGACACCAAATTTCCCTATTGCGCGTTATATATGCCATTTTGGAGCCCAATATGGACCCCCAGGAAATGAAGGAGGGGTCCGAAAATCCGAACCCCATCATTTTGGGCCAATTGGGACCCTTTTGAAGCCAAAACAGCAACAACAAAAAATTAACTTTGGCAAAAAAAACTTACGGGATTACATACCATACCGCACTATAAACGTGCTATAAAATTACAGGGGAATGATTGGCTCACTTATGACGACACGATGATCAATATGCCGTCCCACTTGAATGGCGGCCTTAAATATTGTGTCTATTTAAGCCTTCCCCCCCCCCCCCCTCCCCTCTCTCTCTTTCTCTCTCTATCTATCTATCTCTCTGTCTTTTGTTTTGTCTCTCTGTTCGTCTCTCTCTCTCTCTCTCTCTCTCTCTCTTTATCTATCTTTTTCTCTTCTCTACCATCATTCTCCAGGTAAGAGACAAAGCATAAAGCATAATCGATAAACATACCCTGCACCAAATTGATTGTGGTTATGACTATGTTTGGAACGTAATTTGTTTACATGTCACGTGACGCTCGTGATTTATCATGTAGCAAATAAAATCAATACAGCATTTATTTGTAAAGGTCTTCTAAACTCGGAAGTAGAGTCAATGTCCTCTTCAACTGAAACAGGCATTTGTTTGATCATTTTTACTTCTAACATTTTTAACATCATTTTAGCATTTCCAATTAATATCACTGGACTTAAAGTGTTGAATATGATCATACTCCTACATGGCTAACCCAGCCTAAACAAACTGATACGAACAGAAATACGACTATAATATTATATAATAATCATATTCATCTGGTTGTTAGAACATCTCAATCATTTCATTTGATGCCCTTACTCTAAAACATGAGATATAGTTGAATCTTTGCTCCTGTATCTCACTGCTAGTGCCATAATATAAGTTTTAATGCAAAGTTTCTCTTTTTTGCAATCGTCTACAAGGAAAATGAATTCAAATCAAAAGAATGACTATTTTGCTTGGTTATCACTGTTTTGAGGCAACCAGACATACATGCATATAAGGTTGCCACGACGAACCTTGCGGTGAATGATTTTCGATCACCTTTCAAGTTTTCACGTTTTTACCCCGTTTCTGTGATTTGATATTTCGTGTCGCTATATATTATGTACAAAGAGTTTTCTGTAACACATTTTAAACATCATAAGTACTTTGAGGAGTTGCATCCCCACCTTCTTAAAATCAAGATCCATCAAGATTTCCCTTTTTTTGTCTATCAATCAATTATGTCAGGGCACCTTCGTGGTCGTTAACCTGATCCCCGGGTCTACTAAGTGATTCATAATGAAAGCCAGAACCATTTCGTACCGCGACAAATCCATGTATAAGCATGTATTCCCAGTGGCGTTTTATTCCTCTTCGTATTACAGTCTGCTTCGCGGCAATTCTCATTACCATAATTACTGCAGATTTGCCAGGCTTCCGGAAATGTCAGAATTTTGTCAAACGGGGAAAAAAGGAAATATTCCATTACATCCCAATAGTTCCTTTTCTTAATTCTATTTCAAGAATGCATTAAATTGGTCATGCTCTGACACTGTCAGTGATGTTAGACTCGTCTTCCGCAGTTTCATTACAGAAACTTTACATGACACAGAGATGATATCATTATCCATTCCTTATGCATTTTTTTGAAAAAGAGATTTTATTCACTTATTTCTCATCCTCTCTCTCTCTCTCTCTCTCTCTCCCACTACCTCTATCTCTCTTGCTCCCCCTCTCTCCCTCTCTCTCTCTCTCTCTCTCTCTCTCTCTCTCTCTCTCTCTCTCTTTCATTCCAGTTTTGGAAGATATCTGATTCACATGTCACGTCAAAGAGCGCGTCAATCACTGACGCAGTGTTGCGTGAGGTGCATGACGTCTCGTGTGCAACCCACATAATGCATCATTAGATGTGACGTCAGTAAACCGGGGAGAACTACACGTTAACTCATGTCATTTAACTTTGAATGGAAAACAAAAACAGTGTTACTATATATACATTTTATTTCCAGATCACCAACCCCTTAAGCAAATAAATCGATATTATGTGTTTCCTTTTGCCAGGTATGTTTCTTAGCATACGGAGGACAAGAAGAGCAGCGGCTCAGTGTGGAATGAAAGGAGACATGGCGTACGCTAAGCGTTTCTTCTTCATCATTCTCACCGACTCCCTGTGCTGGCTGCCCATTGCAATCCTTAAAGTGGTGTCCCTCAGTGATTTTGTTATTTCCGGTAAGTAAATACACTAAGGTAAACGTATTAATCACTTTTGAATGTAGAGAGAGAAATAAAGGGCACAGGGGTTAATATTGAAGAAACGTTGTTGTCTGCTTTAGGTCATTAGCATACATGCGATATATTGCTTGGCGTTTTTCCTACGTTTCACACACCCAGCTTGACGTAATGGGTTTTCAGTTTATTTGTTGAAATTAGACAGACCAACACCACCTTCCCTTTTGTCGTTTGGTTAGGCAAGCACTTCACAGCGGTGAGCTGCTTCATACGGAATAATAATAATAAGCCCTTGCTTAAATCCATGTCGGGTTGATGTACCTACAGCGTATATTTAATGCAGAGGAGAGCAGTGATGACGTAATAGACGTGTAACTCTGCTGCAAACAATAATTAAACATTAGGCAATTATTTCCGAAGTTGAGCTGTAATTAAATAATGCCATGATGGATATAGTTCGGCGGCCGCACTTTCAAGTTATTAGGAAATAACGAGCATAATTAGCCTCGAAAGAATAGTCCATCGCCATAACTACTGGCTAATTCTCTCTACACTTTCGATATTTTGCCTACAAGCATGCTTCTAAATCCAATAATTTGTACGACTGTTTAATTCAGACCTACCACTGCTATATTAAGAGGATTTTTTTCTTCTTCAAATTACTTATAAGCGCTCTTTCATGATATTAAGAGTAGCTTAAATCTAATCATTATTCTGACATTCGCTCATGGAAAAAAATATATATGTCAGTTTATTGTAGTTCAGTTTGTAATTGATAACAGTTATCATTTTTTTCAGTCGCCTCTGGTGATTAAAAGACTTTTTCTTTCTTTCTGTTAAATTAAAAACAGTGAAACAATTAGGTCATTTTTCAGAAGATATGAAGGGATAATAGGAAGGTAAAGTAAGTACCACTGCTATATTAAGAGGATTTTTTTCTTCTTCAAATTACTTATAAGCGCTCTTTCATGTAATTAGGAGTAGCTTAAATTTAATCATTATTCTGACATTCGCTCATGGAAAAAAATATATATGTCAGTTTATTGTAATTCAGTTTGTAATTGATAACAGTTATCATTTTTTTCAGTCGCCTCTGGTGATTAAAAGACTATTTCTTTCTTTCTGTTAAATTAAAAACAGTGAAACAATTAGGTCATTTTTTCAGAAGATATGAAGGGATAATAGGTAGGTAAAGTAAGAACCACTGCTATATTAAGAGGATTTTTTTCTTCTTCAAATTACTTTTAAGCGCTCTTTCATGTTATTAGGAGTAGCTTAAATCTAATCATTATTCTGACATTCGCTCATGGAAAAAAATATATATGTCAGTTTATTGTAGTTCAGTTTGTAATTGATAACAGTTATCATTTTTTTTCAGTCGCCTCTGGTGATTAAAAGACTTTTTCTTTCTTTCTTCTAAATTAAAAACAGTAAAACAATTAGGTCATTTTTTCAGAAGATATGAAGGGAAAATAGGTAGGTAAAGTAAAAAGGTGAAAAAGATTGCATTTTCTTTTCTATAATATATGAAATAAATCTGTGCCCTCTCCCCCACCATTTTTTCCCCGTTGTGTATTTCAGAAACTCTGTACGGCTGGATCGTGGTCTTCGTACTGCCAATCAACAGTGCCCTGAATCCCATCCTCTACACCATAAGCACCACGCCCTTCGTGATGTGGTTCATGCGCTCTATCAAGAGAGGTAAATGGCCGACAGCTCGTTGCTACATGGGCCGTAAAATTGACATGTCAGAAGCCAGAGGTTCGTTCCCTCAATTCCTATTCCACCTCCTCCTCCTCCTCGCACACTCTTTATAGAAGTGGAGTCTACACCATCACAAACATAGATGTAGTTGCAATCTTCACCTACTAACATACAAGGCTGCGAGGATGGGAGTTTATGATGTTAGGGAGCGTTTGGGTTTGGTTCCCTAAATTCCTTTTCCACCTCCTCCTCCTCCTCCTAGCATACGTACTCTTTAGAAGTGGATTCTACGTACACCATCACAAACATAGATGTAGTTAGATTCAGCTTGCAATCTTCACCCACTAACAAACAAGGCTGCGAGGATGGGAGGTTATGATGTTAGAGAGCGTTTGGGGTTGACTTTTGCTATCCCGAACGCCCCCCCCCCCCCCCATCTCCCCGGTAATCGTCAATCTCCTAACATTTCTATACCCAACATGCCACATACAGGCATTTTAAAATACGTTCGTAGATAGCAAAAATACATAAAAGTACAGAAGTGACCGTGGGGATATATTTGGGCTCCTTATAGCCAATGTTAGCCATATTCCGTCCGAGAACATTTGGTGAAAAAGTAATAATCACTCGAATTTCCTTTGGGAAATCACTAGACACGTGAAGGTAGGTGTTGGGTGCTTCCCTTTTAATATTTCTCTCTGCTAATTCCAAACTGTTCGGCTCATTTGAAATCTGATAACGGTTGACAAAATCAATATTTTGAATTTGCGTCAAATAAAATCGTTTTCTTCTCTCCTTTCTGAATTCAATTAAGAAAGCACATAAACCACAAAAACGCGTGTCTAACTTGTATAACGAAAACACAAAAACTAACGGTTTTAAATCAATGCGTTTCATCGCAAATTGCAAAAAAAATACTATGACGCCTCATTTAATATCAGTATTAATTTCATTTTATCCATACACAAAGTGCAATATCATAACTACAGTTTTTACCATATTTACTATTTCATGCATGTCTATATATGTAAACTGAAACCTAGTCTATACGAAACCATATTTCTTCAGCTAAAATAAGGCGAGGAAATAGGTCACGATATGATCTTCTAAATCCTATGACGACTCATTTGATATCAGTATTAATTTTTATTTTTCATATACAAAAAGCAATATCATAATTACAGTTTTGACCATATTTACTATTCCATTGCATGCCTATGCAAACTGAAACCTATAGGCTACCAAACCATATTTCTTCAGGTAAAATAAGGCGAGGAAATAGGTCACAATATGATCTTCTAAATCCTATGACGACTCATGTGATATCAGTATTAATTTTTATCTTTCATATACAAAAAGCAATATCATAATTACAGTTTTGACCATATTTACTATTTCATGCATGTCTATATATGTAAACTGAAACCTAGTCTATACGAAACCATATTTCTTCAGCTAAAATAAGGCGAGAAAATAGGTCACAATATGATCTTCTAAATCCTATGACGACTCATTTGATATCAGTATTAATTTTTATTTTTCATATACAAAAAGCAATATCATAATTACAGTTTTGACCATATTTACTATTCCATGCATGCCTATACAAACTGAAACCTATAGGCTACCAAACCATATTTCTCCAGCTAAAATAAGGCGAGGAAAGGGGTCACAATATAACCTCCTAAATCGGATTGGGATGCAATCAATTTAAAAACCTTCCTGTTTGGATTATTAAAAACAATGTCAAGTTTATCCAATCACATTTACGAACATCATAACAAAAGAAATAGCAAATCGTAAGCAGATCAGATTTCCATGTTCAGCGCTTTGGCAACTTTCTTTCCTTTATGTTCTTTCCTGATCTTAATCATTTATAGCCTTACATGTTCCGACCCAATATTTTAGCTGACACTTTTTTTTATTCAACTAACTTAGTATTAATTTACTTGCTTATGCATGCAACACCAGCATTTTGATTATGCATTTTAAAGTATGTATCAATAGTATTTGTTTGGATTACAATACAAAAGCATTGGTACTTGTATTCATGTATTAAATAAAGTATATGCGATAATGCTACAAAAGTCCACAGGAAAGTGGTCCCCCTTCTTAAAGTTTCTTCTTCTTTTCTTTTGTGGCTGTTTATTTTTGAGTTTGTTTTCCAAATGGATCCTTTTTGTCCGAGGTATTTTGGCTGAAATATAAGCAGAGTCTAAATATATGAGGGAATTTCGAAGTTCAACTGCACATATTCGCGATCGAACAAATCTTTAAGTTCGATCTCAATTTGTCATTGAAAATGACGAAATGGCAAAATAAGGACATACGGGGAAAATGACGAAATGGCGAAATGAGGAACTACGGGGAAAATGACGAAATGGCGAAATGAGGACATACGGGGGGGAAATTCTAAATTTTAGCGCCTTCCCTGTCCCACTATCACGATATTGAGAGTTGTGACCTTTGTCTCTTCCCTATATTTCGAGCTCTTAAACGTGACAGAAATTAAGTCCTTTGATAATTGAGTAAATCCATCGATATGGCCTTGTGTGTGATGTTTTTTTTTTTTTTTTTAATTTCTCTAAAAGGAAAGAAGTAGCGTCGAAATTGATTTTGAAATTTTCGCTCCTCAAAAGAAAAAAAAGGCTAAAAAAATTATTTAGACTGATCTATGAAAGAAGTAACTTTTTACACGGTGGGTGTATGTGATGCAACCTGTGGCACGTTAATCCTCCTCCTCCACCTCCACCTCCTCCTCATCCCCCTCATTTTAGGCTTCTACTCTTTTCCCTTCTGTTTATTCTTTTTTTCTTCTCCTTCTCCATCTTTGTCCAATTCTTCATGTTCTTTATATTCTTGTTACTCTCCTTCTTCTGCTTCGTCTTCGTCGTCTTCTCCTTCTTCTTTTGTTTATCTCCTCGTCTTCTTTTTGATCCTTCTCCTTTTTCTTTTGTTAATTTCGTCTTTTTCTTCTCCTTCTCCTTCTTCTATTACTTCTTCTTATTCTTCTTCTACTACTTTTAATTCATTATGGTCTTCTGTTTCTTTTCCTTCTTCCTCTTCGTCGTCTTCTACTACTACAATTACTTCCACTTCTTCACGTCGTTCTATATCTTCTTTTAAAAACGTCTTTTGGATCTCAGGCAAGGCACAGACAGTTTAGACCCAGCAACAACAACAACAACAACAAATTATGCATGCATTATTTATTACGTATAGACATAAGTGTATCAGGCAGGTGTATATAGTGGATCTTCCCCCTACCCCCCCCCCCCCCGACATGTGAACCTGCAAACTTTCAGGCGAACGTTATCTCATATCCTAAAGCAACAAAATCGATGGTGTGCTTTTCCTTTATCTTTAGAACATCTTGTTTTCTTTTACAGGAATCAATTACAAAGACCGTCAATAGATTAGTGCGCTATCCGTCAATTTTGTTTTCTTTCTTTTCATTTATCTTATATATTTATTGTATGCACGCTTATTCCGCCGGCTGGTAATATTTCAGAAGGTAGACTATATATACTCGCGTAATTATAGACGACAGCTCCCTAGCGAAATTTGCCATTAGCAGGTGGTTTTACGCATAGTGCTATTATAATGGGGAGGTTTTTGTTGACATCGGAAAACATGCGAAAGTGATATGGAAGGAATCGTTAGTCAAGGGTGATTTTGAAGTCAAATTGAATTTCCAACGACTCTTTTGTCAAAGTGATCTGCTTGTTTCGAATGTGAGGATAAATCTTGGAATTGAATTATTCCTTCTCTTTAAAATAAAAACAAAAATATAAGGGAGAAAGGGTACAAATAAACCAGAGCACATTCTGAAAGGTCGATTGTGTGGTAGTCCTCGTGGGAGAAATGCGGTGGATTATGGGGCTGTGGAACCATCAAATTAATTTTAAAAATCACTCTTGCTGAATAACAAAGCTGAAAGCATGGCTATAACGGACTATCTATAAAAACCCACGAGATAGAATAGCCTTAGCCTATATATTCCGCATTAAAATGGAAGTGTTTCAAGATTCCCATCATGCGAACTTCCAATGACGTAGTGCACACCTGCCATGCCACCCCCCCCCCCTCTCTCTCTCTCTCTCTCTCTCTCTCTCTCACACACAGTCTCTCTCCCTCAATCTGTTCGTGTACGAAATTAACCACAAAAAATTATAGATTATTATGGTAACAGTTTTTCATGTTTTCACCATCATACTTCTTTTTTCCCATTTTCTCCTCTACTAATTTTCTATCACTTTCCCCTTCATGTATACCATTAAACACGAACTTGCCATGTTTACATAATCCCAGTACTTCTATCTCCCCCTCCCACCTCCTTTTGTTTTACCCCAGTTCCCTATTACACAAATAATATGCAGGTCACAGTGACAGTTGTGAAGGCTATACCTAATACACGAAACTGCCAAGTTTTACAATTACATTTTCCCCCCTCTTTTCCTTTACCGCCCGCCCGCTCATCATTTTTGTTTTTTCCCCTCTTCTCCGATTACCAAAAAATGTAGGTCGCAGCGACAGTTCTGACGGATATACCTCATATACGAACTTGCCAAAGCGTGCCTCCTGTTTCTCCACCGGCACCAACGGCCCGCTCGGGCTCCAGCTCGAATCCGTGTCGTCTGTCTCCACGTGCTTGCCGTCGGTGTCGGCGATGATGACGACACCGCTGAACGTCATCGACGAGTTGGCTTCCCCAGAGACGCCCCCGCCGATGAACGGGTTAAAAGACTGTCGACGCCGATCGTGTGTCTAGCTGATCTTATGGAGTGAACACGTATGCAATCGAAAACGACAATGAACATGCCTCGGAGAATCTGAGGAATATATTCATGTATTACCATGATCACGTACATTCAATAAAGGCCCTACTGCTGTGAATTCGAGGAGCAGATATCCGATAACAAGTCAATGCTTTCATCATAACACATTTAACAACGCTTGATTGGCAGAGTGAATGCTCTTCATCGCTTTATCTATTCATTCTGCAAAATATATACCTGTTTAATGAGGATGTTTCTCCTGGATCCATATGTTGCGAATAATATAAACTTTTTAGTGTCTTCACACGGCATGTCTACACAGCCGATTCTTAAGCTTTCCATCTATTCGTTTCTTAATTTCAACAAAACAAAAATGTTCGGGAAAAAAAATCAATGTTGTCAAAAAAGGATGTGTTACAACAAAATCACCTTTTTGCACATTATGAAGTGGATTATAAAATTATACAGCTGGAAGTGGGGTATGCTCATACCCTCCCCCCCCCCTCCCCCCCCCCCCCCTGCCCCCCCCCCCCCCTGCCCCCCCCCCCCCCCCCGCATACACCCTGACAAATAAAAAACAATTATTGTTAGCGGCATTATAGGCAATGTATGCCTTAATTTATTAGGGGTGCAGAATAATGGTTAACTTATTACCAAGAATAGTCTGGAGAAGCTTATGCGACAACTGCCCACCCCACCCCCCCCCCGGCCCCCATCCTTCTTTATATATTTGTTTGTACTTGGGTAAGCCATTCTTGTGATTGATGCGAAAATTGATCATTGATTCTTCATTTGTATTCATCGGAAGTTAGTGCTTCAGCGCCAAAAGTAGAAACCGAACTGAAACAGAACTTCTTACTTCTGATTGGAGGCAATACCGCTAAGAGAGTGCTGACGATGCCACCGTTCTGGGCAACGTGTTCTGAAAATTGTGTGGACAAAACATTCAAATTAAGCTGCTTGAACTTTTGGCATTTGGCTCCAAAATCGGACTGGAAATCGACACGGCTGTTCAGTGATTGAATGAAGCATTTGGTTACAATAGAAATTATACAATAAAGAAAGGTCAGCAAAAATATATCGACGATCTGATTAAAGAAATCAGCTAAAAACTGTCACCGTAAAAATGTGAAAATGCCATTTACATTGCCAAAAATGTAATATATCAGGCAAAACCATGCATAATTGTTATCCTATTAGTATTATAATGTTGTAATGCTGTTGTTGAATGTGTAGCAAGTTGTGAAGTGCTCTACACGCTTATATTTTGCACATGAATGTCAATAAATACGATTATTGTATTCCGTAACAAAGCTATCCAAAGACAACATTTCCTAACCACGACCTGCGAGAAATCGATAAGTGCTCCAGGCAGTGCTCCAGGGGGTAATTACCAATGACGATAAAAGAGAGCAATTTTGCAACTCAAGATTACTTTATGTGCATCATGCCATTCATGCTTAATGGAGTGATTGCAATGCACTAATGGAGGAGGGCGGCCTTTATTTAAAGTGCCAGTTCAAGGATTGACTGGATGAATAAAGCAAAAGTGTGTTTTTGTTTCACAATTATGTTCTTTGATATAATTATGTGCCTATAATCGTACATATCAATGTCTTTTTGATCTACGAAACTAGCTGGATATAATGATATAGTGAGTTGTATTTTTTGAACATGTTGAAGGAGATAAATGCCCACCAACCAACCGTGTGCTAAATAGCCTACTACATGTACTATCAAAAATGGAGAAAAAAGTTTATCAACAGTGATTAAACATGTCTATGTCGCTTATTTCAATAAAATTCGCGCTCTCCCCGAGGAGGAGGGAGGTCTTTTTTGCACCCCTGTGTGCTCTTTGTGCTACGCCTTACAAGCTATATATACACGGCTGCATTATAATTTTGTCCTAAACCAAAGATCTGTTTTATTTGTGAAAATGAGGAGAGTCATACGAATGATACCATAGCTGCTCTTCCCAATTCATTTATTTGTGTAATTCTATAGTTCGGCAAGAGGAACTTGATATTGTGAATATCGGTTCCGGAAGTATTCTATGAGAAAACGGAATACGATATTTGTTTGCTTTCTTTTTCAAATGTTACGAAAATATCACATCGCCTTCAGGGATTTCACTTTTATTGATCGCAACCACCGAAGCAAGTAGCTTGAAATCAAAAGGGAACGAGTGAGAATATCTTGGACCTTTTTTTCTCAAAAAGAGCCTTCTTCAATTTTTGAAGGAGCCTCTACAAAGTCATTGTTGCATGTCGTAGAAATTCACAATATTCGTGATGTTCTTTTAACCCATTGCTTACTTGAACTTGGTGGTCCCTGTGTTAAGCCTATGGGAATTAGATAATTCAGTAGCAAACGGGTTAAGAACAGATGTGTACATGACAAATATAAGAGACTCAACACTTTTGAAATCCTGAATTAAATGTCACATGAAAACACTTAGTGACCAAGAAAGAAAATTGGGCCATTAATTTTGTATACATTGTTGAATTTACCGTCAAATCAATCTTTTAAGGTAAAAATTATGTAATTTAGTGCAAAGTTTTATCAAATATTTTAAATCAGAAGCATAATCATGTACAGAGAGTTTCGTCAACTTAAAGTGTAGAAACAGGCAACAGAGAGTGTCTTTTGAGGAGGGTTGCCATTTTTTAAAATATGACTTGTCCAGGGGTTTCGTGGCTAATTTTGTAAATGCTTCATAGGACATGATCAAACTTTAGATTACGAGTCAAATTTGCCGACGCACCTTTTCCGACCCTCCCTGCATGATTCTCTCAGACAGTAGCTTTTAATTTCTATCTGCCTTTCTGTCCCCATTTCTCTTAATAGTAAGTATACACTGTGCATACTATAACTTCTGGGTATACAGTATATGACAGAGCCCCTTTCTACCTTGTATTTGAACCCTCGTGGTAATATTCTGCTAATGGTAAATGTATTTCTGTTACATTTGTGTTAAGCAATTTAGTAATATGTAAGATGTATGATTCCATTGTTGATACGACTCACCAGTGGCGTACGCAGGATTTTTTCAAGGGGAGGGTTTTCAAATTGGCCCAAAATTTCGCAACGACTCAGCCAGCCGCTGAAAAGGCCGGGGGAGGGGGGGGGGGGGTAAGCGTACACTTTTTTTGTATAAGAGTCCCAAAAAAAATCGCAACGATTCAGCCAGCCGCTGATTAAGCGGGGGGGGGGGGGTAAGAGGACACTTTTTTTTTGGGGGGGGGGGTCTCGAAATTTGACAAATTGACATTTTGTCCAGTTGGGGGGTAAGGTCACCAGCCCCCTGCGTACGCGCCTGCGACTCACACAGAATTACGCGAGTATGATAGGCCTACAGTCTATCTTCTCATTTACGAACAGTACTACATCGATACTAAGATAATATTTAGACATTATTACCACTGTTACCCCTATTACTATTACTACAACTACTACTACTCCTGCTTCTGCTGCCGCTGCTACTACTTATACTACTACTTTGCTACTACTACTACTACTTCTACTACTACTATACTACTACTACTACTACTACTACTTTTGTTACTACTATTACTACTACTGCTACTTCTAAATGGGCCTTGTAGTAGTGATACGCAGTCGTATCAGTAGTAAACTATTACTGTGACTACTACTATACTACTACTACTACTAATACTATAATACTAATACTACTATTACTAACTTATACTACTACTACTACTACTTCTTCTTCTACTACTACCACTACTACTGATCAGAATGCGTACTAATACCGGTAATATGAGGCATGTTGATACCTGTTGACACTGCTACTATTAATAAGCAAATAATTACCGTTGGTGAAGGTGATGGGACAAACTATCACTTCCGGTGCGATCTGGATGTAGCTATCTTTCCGAAGCGAAGCTGAGGAAAGATAGCGTATACATTCTGATCGACGAGGAAGTGATAGTTTGCCATCGCCTGAAACCAAAAGGTGATTATTTGCTTTATATTCCACATCTAAAACAATTTCACTACAAAAAGAAAAGGACGTGTATGCATCTACATAAAAGACACCCAGGCCCAAATTCACACCAAAAAATTTAAAAGTTTAACCCAACCCTTGAGGGTATGGTGCGCGCATGTGTTATCTTTAATTGCGCTCAGTAATGCGCGCTTCATTACGCCTGTTTTAGTGCGCTTATGGATAATCTTCAGTGAAAGTGCGTTGCCCTGTGTAGATAGTACCTCTACCTTCAGTGAAAGTGCGTTGCACTGTGTAGATAGTAGTACTATCTACACAGTGTAACGAACTTTTTGCATCTCCCATCAATAATGGGCGAACTATCATTCATCACGTGATTTACTTTTGACCAATCGCAGAGCAAGATTCTTAGTATGTGGAATATAATACCATTTACCATTTACAATGAGAACTGGTGATACTATTGTTACTCTTACTATTACTACTATTATTACTATTTCTATAGCTAAACGACTACATTATATAATACTGCTCCTCCTTCTCCTTATACTCCTATTTACTGCGGCTACTTGTATTTATAATAATACTACTACTACACTACTACTACTACTACTGCTACTAATATTACTACTACTACTACAACTACCAACATCTCTAACACCGCCACTAGTACATCGACAACCACGCCTCTTTTAATAATAATCCTACTGTTGTTGTTATAAATACTGCTTCAAAGTATGCCTACAGCTGCAACTCATATTAATTCTTCTCCCACTACGGTTACTAATACACTATACTTATGCTAATTATACCACTATACTGCCGTTGCTGCTGCTACTACTAATACTACTACTGCTGCTGAAACTACTTCTACTACTATTATAACTACTCCTACTGCTACTACCTCAACTACTACTATATGAACTACAACTACTATTACTACTAATATTAGTATTACTACATGCTTCTACTACTTTTACCATTACTACTAAACTACTACTACTACTACTACTACTACTACTTCTACTGCTGATGATGACTACTACTCAAGACGTTAATCTACATTTGCCACTCTCCACCCATGTGTTTAAATGGGTACCCGGTAGGATACGAACGTTAAGGTACTTTGCTCAGCATTGTGAGCGTCTGTGAATTGGCGTCTAGCTGGAATGCTCCCCAGGGAGTGGAGAATGTGCATAATATTTTATGTGCGGGCAAGCCTGAAACCGATCACCGAGGTGGGTAATAATATTCATGTATCTAATAAAGCGCCAAGACACATTGTCGATGTATTAATTGCTATATAAACATGGGATATTACTATGTATACCTGCACATAATTATATCATATTCCCTCCCACATTCTTTCTTAACTGGGACAAAATGAGATCGATCTGATAAGCGAATATTTTCAACTTGATGTGTGCTGAGAATTATAAGTGGCTAATTGCAAATTTTTCATTCTTTGTATTCATTGTTCGGTGAAAGCCGAATGCAAGTAATTAATGTAGGCCTATTTTTGTTTGCACCATACCGTTAGAGTATTTTACCGTGTTTTGCTCGAGTATGATGTTATCAATGTATGATGTGCCTGATGTGCTCCGCACCGACAATCACACAGTATTCTCGTAGTTTGTAGAATTTAGCTGGATAGATAATGTTTGGTATCTTCAATCTAAACCAATTGCGTATTGTTCCAACACTTTTTCAAATTTCGTTCAGAGCGCCAATTGTAAATTTCTGCTGAATAAGCGATTGCGTGGTACGTGAATATCTCTCGGCGGCGGGCATGGTATATAAGCAGTTCTTTTTGTTAACGTGCCCAAAAAACAAATACAAAAATCGTTGACAGTTTTTACATTTTGTATGATTTCATTTCATTTTGCCAAATATCATTTCATCAAAAGCGACAGTAGAAAGCCAACGCACTGTATATTGTAACCACTAGTAACAATAGTGCGTATTGGGTTAATAATAGCGCTGTAGTCTTTCAACATTTTTGTTTCATTCTGGTATTTCACGCTGTTATCTAAAATAGTATTCTAGGCACACCTAACACACAATACCTCTATAAATACTATTTTGTATTCCGACCATATATACTGCGACCAAAATGCGTGTCTACGTAAACTGAATACTGCTCTCGAAACCAGTTACATATCAACGAGTTCTTCGAATTATTAAATGTGTATATTTCATAGAAAGTATATATATTTTTGTTTTATTACTGAAAATAATTATTTTAAATTCGCTTTATTGCAAAGCATCACTCCTGATACATAATACACATACATGTACATGTATATTCCATATTACGTATGCCGTCGTTGCGTGGTCATATTATAAACCCGATTTGGTTATTCTGCCCGAATGATGTAAGCCAACAGTGGACCAACTGACTTAATTCCTATTCGAGGGACGTGGTAAATGAGCATCGATGGGTTACCACACAGCACTCTCTTTATGAACCCAGTATCTACTCGTTTACTATTCTACCACTGAGTCATCGCGCCGCCTGAATACCCGCTTTATTTGTGAATGTGTCTACTCTAAACTAATGTTTAACTCAAAGTAACGAAAGAGATGTTTATGGGCATAGCTCATACGACAAAATGTACAATCAAAATTAATGTCATAAATGTATTTGTGTATTTATGTATTATATTCGTACCATAATTGATATTTTTTGTAAAATGATGAAATTATAAATTATTAAAAATCATTTATTGTTAAAAATATTTGCTCTTGTGCATGACTTTATTTTCAAAGCATAATTCTCTCTCTCTCTCTCTCTCTCTCTCTCTCTCTCTCTCTCTCTTTCTCTCTCTCTCTCTCTCTCTCATTCTCTCTCTCCACACCTACCCCTCCCTCCCTCTCTCTCTCTCTCTCCCTCGCTCTCTTTATTCATCTTCTATCTTCTTTATAGTCCTTTCCCCCCCCCCCTTCTGTCTTCATTATCCTATTTGTACACGCACATAATGTCTATCAAGCTCTAATTGAAATAAAAAACAATAGGAATATACATATGGTTGGGGGCAACAGGTCAAATCCATAATCAATCCTCAAGACAAGTATCTAATTATGAGAACATCTAATCAAAAATCTTTGTTTTAAATTTATTTCAAATACTTAAAGAGAGTTCAATCCGCCATTGTTAAGCATATATAAATAATTCAATACTCATTTTTTACAAATACATGTTTGTATACACAAACAACGGTTACAAATATTTTGTAGTGATATCAAACTGTTTTCCTTCTGTCAATTAAGTAGAAGATAGTATTCACAGCTTAACGTCACATTCGTTAGTCCATTTCGCCTCTTTTGCGTTCTGGGAAGAGATTTTCCAATCTATGAATCTGTAAAAGCGCTTCGAGACGGTATTTCGTATTAAGGGCTATATAAATCCTGATTCATTATAACTATTATGTCTGTATTCTGTTGACACACATTGAGTTGTTGCTTTGTTCGCCAATCTTCATGCATGCTTTTTGGTAATGTTAAAAGCACATGTACCACTGTTTGTAAGAAGGATCTAAATAGGATTCCATGACATTTGCTCCGCTGTAAATTTCATACACTAATCGAATGGCTAACTTCAACCCTGGATTCAACACTATACCCTACCCTAAACCTAACCCTAAACCTAACATAAAACCCTATTGAACCCTAACCCTAACCCTACATCTTAGACGAAATAAAGCCCGGAGCAATTGTCGCAGGAGCAAATGTCGTGTCACCCTAAATAGGCCAGAAAATGGTCCATATTGCAAAAACAATGATGAATAACCAAAAAGAGAAAATATTTGTACCGGTAATTGGAAAACGTGGCACATAAGAGGTAATATACACATGTAATTCTTTGAATTATGCCCCCATTAATAATGAAATATCAATTATTTCAAAATCGTGTTTTACCATTGCATACAATTTCTATTATCTTACGTGAATTTTTACATTTGTTTTCCCCAGATTCAATGTTCATCAATCTTCTTTGAGTTTAATGGACCATTTCTAATACATAATAATGTGAACAATATTATTTAATAAAAGATCCCTGTGGAAGGGGGGGGGGGGGAAAGAAAAAGAATTCTATTACATTCTAAGACTAATTGATAAATAATGCGACCACTTTTACAACCAAACCACATGACAAAAATGTTCAGTACTAACCTCTGTATTACTGGGAGGAAAAAACAATAATTCTTCTATCATCACAATAAATACAATAATTCACAAATAACGAAGAGTGATTGATTATCATCACTATTTTTTTTCTTCATATAATTTTCTTTTTTAAAAAGAATCCTACACATTTAAACGTCCGAATCCGAAAACAGACACACAAACTATCACGATATTGATATATTGGCAATTTGTTATTAAATTTTGTTTGTGGACAAGACCATCTTCTCTGCAATCTTTACATATTTTTTGTCTAATATATGTATGTTGTTGCTTTTGAAATTCGGTGATTGCAAGGAGGCTATGGTTATACCCTTGTCTCACTAACGAAACTGACACCAGGGGTTGGTTTCACAAAACCGTCATGAGTACAATTTCACTAACATGCCATTGAAACACATGTTAATTACAATAGTCACAGCGTTCCAATGGGACGTCGATTAACTTGTACTCACAAGGGTTTCGTGATACGCTACTCAGACCGACACCGGCCCCCATCTTGTAAAGAGTTGAGATCGATCCGAATCAATCGCAAGTTTGCTGTTCCTATCTCTTACATACATACTTGCTAGACTTGCGAACGCAATATGTTGCGATTAATCACAACAGTTTATAAAACGGGGCCCATTTTCCATTACCACCTATGGCCAAAAATTAGTCGGTTTGGAGTCGTTGTGGACTCAGTTTGGCTGTGTGAGTCAGGTTTTAAGTCAAACTATTGGCAACAGCATAGGCACAATCAACATGATGAAAATAATTGTACAGATACCCACATTTAAACCATGACAAATGTTGTGTATGGCAGATTAACATATAAACACTGGTTTAAATTCATATCTGAGACAAATGCTATTAAATTTGTATTGGAGCCTTACCCTACTTACTGTAAATTGAAAATTTTAACCATCTATAAATGTGCATAATTTGTGCCTTTCTGTTTATTTGATCAACAACAAGAAAAATTTGTGTTTCTCTTTTGAAATAAAACAAATGAAAATGAGCAGTTGCTCTCAAAATACTATTTTTCATGAGTACTCTGCATCATATCATTATCTTGCATACTACATGAAGACACTATGAAGTATAGTCTGACATTTTCTTGAAAGACTGTAAGAATCCTCCTCTTATTTTCCCTACACAGTCTTGAATTCCTCTTTTTTTTTAAACCATCTTGTTCAACTCCAGCACACATTCTGATCCTTCAATGAACATGCTTTTGCAGGATATTTGAGAATAATTTACATTTTAGCATCACCATACAAAAGAGAAACTGCCTGGAGTATTACAAATTGAGAAAAGAAAATTGCCTGTACACCTTTAATTCTCACAAACTACCCTACATGAACAACACAGATATCATCACTATCCGTGTAATATATTCCAAAAGAAAAACTTGACGTCTGTGCCTGAGGTTTTTCAAATACTAATTGAAAAATGAGACTCAATTTAGGTGAATATAACTGCCATCTTATATCGCTGGGAGGTGGAAACAGGTGCAGTCCCCATTGCCACATGTCTCTGATACACTTAATCCTATACTTGAATTTGTCGGTTCCTTTCGCGGTGCATCACTTTGAAGTAGCTGAGATATACAAGCGGTTGAAGCCCGACACTTGCACATACGCCTGTAAGAAAGTCGGACAAATGTTTGTCCATTCGTGACAGCATTTCGTAGAGTATTTCATCACATCGTTGCACACATTGGTTGCTCCATTACTCAAGGCCTAATATATAGTATGATCCTTGCACCAGAAGGAATATAATGGGTTGCCAGGCAACCAGATACCTGATCCAGTCTAGCAGCTGTCCGAACAACATGTGGGGGCGCTCCCATCTGATGAAAAATGGATTGGTCAAGGAAAATACAAACATTAAAAAGATTTCTGATCCAAACAATCATCACTGCTATGGCTGTAGGCTAGGTTCCACATTCAAAATGTAAATAAGGGAAAGGTAATGTTGTTTATATAAGGCCCCGCTATATCTCTTGCAGCAGAAGCATATTACAGGATTAGGGTATTCTATATTTTACAGGGTCACATACAACTGTGCACCTGCAACAAGATTAATGCTATGCCTTTAGGCAAACCAAAGGCATAGAAGGGAAAGGTCGTTTTTTTTCTCAATATAAGGCCCCTGTGATATATCTCTTGAGGCATAATCATAACAAGATTAGGGTATTCTATATTTTACAGGGTCACATACAACTGTGCACCTGCCACAAGATAGCAGTATTAATGGAAATGGCGTAAATATGATCTACCTCTTTGTAACAAAAAAGGAAATGCATTAAAGTTACACAACATCAATGTTCTTCACTCTTTTATGATCATTTGATTGTGTAAATATTAGGAAAAAGCGAGGTCAACATTACCTTTTGTCCTTATTGGAATGGTATGTTCCCATAACTACACATTATAAGTGACACAAAGCCACATATTTCCTAAAATAAAGCAATTCACCCTTCGCTATTAATGGAAAATATTATTTCATACAGGGATGTAAAAAGTAAAATCACAGTAAATTTCTCTATTGATTGCCTTCAAGTGTATCTATGCAAGGTTTTCCCTTTTATTTTTCAATATTCTTAGCACTGGAAAGGTTAGGTAAGGATTTTATAAATACCAAACATTGTTTGTGCAGGAGGGGATTTTGTGGGAATTGGAAAGACATGTAAAATTTAGCAATCACGTGAAGTCTCCTAAATCACCTTTGATGCTTAGTCTGCAAGCACAGACTTTTCTTTGACACTTAACCGTAATTCCGAAAGCCTTGAGCAGAGCCTTGATCATGGAAAGACCTGTAAGATTTTGCAGTCAAATGATGCCCCCCGAATCACCTTTGATGCTTACTTAGTCTGCAAGCATAGACTCTTATTTGCCACTTTACCGCAATTCCTAAAGCCTTGAGCAGAGCCTCGATCTGCCAGTTTGTCCAGAGCAGCTTTAACATAGAGCATATTGTAGTCTCATTTTGCAGACATTGTTAGGCACAGCCACTGACAAGGGGTTTGTGCTTGCAAACTATTTGATGCTGAAGTCAGATTTGTTGTGGTTGCCCCATCACAATTACGAGATATTTTAAATTGTATCAGTGGTTTACCATGTGGGGGTTAGAGTGGCTGGGGTTTTTCCCTCTCTGGGAAAACAACTCAAAATCCAGATTAATGATGATGAGGATCGTCTAACGGTTATTGAACTTTGTTCATCAATACCACAGGATATAAGAAATAGTCCCCTCTATTTCTATGATTAGTTGATAGATGAGAGGGTGGAATGAGAGCTTGAATTTGGCATTTTAAATTGCCATAATTTATAGAATTTCATATTAAAATCATTATCTTTCATTACCACCACCAATAATCATCGGACATTATCATCAGAGAAATGTGGTTTTCAGTTAGAATTGCAATTGTAGACTGTGCTGGGGCGCAAACCAAAGCCTCAGCCAGCCTTGTTTAAAAAGCACTGTCCAACCATAAAGAATTACACTCATCCTGGAGGGGGTGTACTATGAACTTGCAGGCCACCTTTTTATATATATCATTTGCAGTTTGAGTCACCTTTAAATTATTATTTCTTTAAATTCCAACCAAAAATATGTTCCCCTATCTAGTTCTTCATTAAAAAATATTCCTTTAAAAACTGAAAGAATAATGAGAGGCTCTCCCTATCAAAGTCTTAAGCATTCCATGCAATTCTTATTAAAGGTTTGCTTTGTTTTCTGTGGCAGTCTTTTAAGCCATGATTTACTAATGACCCATTTGATTGGTCATTAGTAATTCTGTTACTTTTTATTTTCAATTTCTCAAACTGTTTTCAGAGGAACCATCTCCATTTGTAATTCAAGGTTCATTCATAGGACATTCCCCAAAATTTTTTCAACACATCATCGATTCCCACTGTTGATGTAAAATACAATCTGACATCTAAATATTAGCTAAAGGTTAAAGATAAACTTGAGTTCTGGTAAACAAAAGAAAATTAATTCTCACAGAATCAAACGAAACTTACACTGAATGTTCAAGATTACAAATAAATGTCATTTGCAAAAACAATTGTGGTAGAAACTGTATACTAGCCGAGTAATGAGCATAAAAAGATAAGGAAATCAAGGTAAGCTAGCCCCGACATTTTTTGAGTGGTCCCATATACATTTTTCTGTGTACAGTGCTTGTTACTTTACCAAGACTAGGCCAAATGATGATGACTCTAGAACCTTGCAGTACACACCAATACCTACATGCTACATGATCATTTTTTTCTGATCCATTCCACACCTTTTCTTTCACAATGCAATCGCATGACCAGAACTCAACTTTATCTTTTAAGAAAAGTCTTTCTCCATCTCTCACTTTCTTTACCTCTGTGTTCAGCATTATTCTGTTTTCTCTTTATCTCCTCTAGGGAGTGTTTCACAAAGACTAAGATCGACTTTAAGTTGGACTTAACAATGGCAGGCCGCTCATGCCACTGTTTGCTCCTAACATTTACTTGCATTGCTTGATCTCTCGAGGGATGTACAAATCATGGTCACAAATCTGCAGAATTTACATTTTTAGATAATTCATTATTGAAGGAAAAAATATTATCTAAAGATCACAATGGTTAGAGCAAACAGTGGCATTAACGACTTCCTGCCATCGTTAAGTCCAACTTAAAGTCGATCTTAGTCTTTGTGAAACACTCCCCTGGGGGCTTGCAAATCCCTAGCAGAGTATTTGAAGAATTAAACATGAATAAATCATACATTATTGCAGCATGCATCATGCATGGCACTATATATCTTTGTATGGTTTTGTGAAAAGGATACGGGTTTTTAAACATTCTTTTTAAGTCCACCTTCTCCTTGCAATAGGGACAGGTCTGTTTCTTGCCGACAATGCACCATCCACGTATGCAAAATTCATGAAACCTGCAATTATAATAGAAATGTAAGAGTGGGAAGCATTGAAGAACCAACCACGTATGCAAAATTCATGAAACCTGCAATTATAATAGAAATATAAGGGTGGGAAGCATTGAAAAGGTATGGTAATCAATCATAAAGAATTACGAGATGTATTTGCACATCATCTGCTGAAACCTAGAATGGAATAGACTTGTAAACATGTACTTGTGCACATACACATTGCCTCTCTAGCTATTAGCTAAAAAAAACATGGGTTTAATAATATCTTGTGCAAGGGACTCAGTCATTCATCAACTATATAGAAGTTACTTTCCTTTACATTTTGTGTAATACATGTAGGTAGTAAAGAGTTGAACATTATTTGACAACTGCAATGAAAGGGGCAATGACAAATTAGTTTTCAAAATTGGTATGGGAAGCCAAAAAATGGAATGTGAAGAAAATGAAAGCATAATTTACGCTACCTAACCAAGAATATCCTGGTACAATGCAGGGGCAATATAAACATAAGGATTTTGTATTGTAGGGGGATAGTGGTCGTTAAAGGTACTATATCCCATTTGCAGCCAACATCAAATTATGTAGAACTTTGCAGGAATTATGAACACGTCACGTATGTCATATATGTGAAATTTAAACTTTAGCAGTGTCATAATATTCAAATTATGCAAGGAAACCCGTTTACTTGCTAGACTTCACTGTCAGACACTATCGAGTGACTAACTGGCTTTTTTTCCTCTTTGGTAATAACAAACATAAAATGAGCTGTAAATGGTACATGAGCATTTGTCTACATCAATAACCCACTTCTTGTAATGGCCAAAATTTAACTAATTGAATTTTTGCGCAGCATAAAACATACGACCATTCGGTACAATGGTCTGAAAAATCAGACTATTACTTACTGGCTCTATAGCTCCTAAGTCGATTCAACAACTATTGTCTTTATTTTCCCACTTAATAACATTTTCAAGCCCCCCATTTATTAGGGAAGTTCTAAATTAGTATCGTCTTTCAAATGCCGTTGGAATTTAACGTTTTCATTTTTTTGGCCTGCAAATGGGACATAGTACCTTTAAGTGTGGGTACCAGTAACATATGGAATAGCACTCAAGTATTGACTGCTTTGAGTTTGAGGGGCACGGTTAAAACTATTGCCCAAGGTGATTTTGAAATTGTACATTTTGACTGGCATATTCTATGAAAAGTTTTTTTATTTTTTAAATGACATGGGGATGCGGTATATACAAAAAAATGTTGACTGCATATTTTAAGGGTCATGTGTAAAAGTGTTATCGCTCCTAGGTGATCCAGAGACTCTAGATCCCCGAGGAGCAATAATAGGGATCTTTGGGAATCAATCCAGGTGCCTATGTCATACAACTTAACATTGATGGTAACTTCCATGGAAACCTTGATTTGAGTTGGCTGTTGAGTGATATTGCCATTGTAATTACTGATGGCAAAGTTACCATTAATGGTAATTTTTATGCAATGGCACCGAGATCTAACAAACAAATGACATTTGTGGGTTTACACTCCCCCTTAAATATCAATCAATCAATCAATGGATAAAAAATACAATAAAATAATCAGAAAAGGAAATATGTTCCATGTTATATCATTTTAGCAGAAACTTAAAATACACCCAATATAAAAAGCATCAATATTTCATAGGTGTACTTGCTGATAGTTGCATTATTTTTATCGAGATTTTCTGAAAACTGACAATATTGATTTTTTTCTCTCCAGAAAATGATCAAATAGAGCAAAAGCTGGATGTAAACCTAATTTTAATCATCCCTTCAGAGCTTGACTAATCCAACAAAAAGATTGAGCAGGTGCACTCAATTGTTGTTGACATCAATGCACATTTTCTCTTCAGAGATTTTATTGATTACCAGGACATGACATTTTGGAGGATTCTCTCTTATACTATACGAAACTAGAGCACACACAACCGGGTATATACATGTATGGGACTGCACATACATGTGGCATGCCTGTTAGCTCTAAACTTTTCAGCTGTATCTTGTCATATTTTTAGTAAGATAGCATTTTCAGAGGAATCCTCCTCAGGGGACTTTTCTTCTAGATGCTTTTCTTCAAAACTGACACAAAAAAGAATGAGAAAACTCACTAATTATTTGTTCATCTAGACAAAATCCTGGATTTAGCTCCTGCTGCAATCAGGAATCCCATGACGTTTACAAACGGATCGCCCATCTGACTATCAAGATATTTATGACTGGAAATCGCAATCAAATTTTGCACTTTCCTAAGGGTTTTCATAACACTACAGTCTATTGGGGAAAACAAGTATGGTAAAACCGGTCACTCAAAGATTTGTTACTTTTTTGAGGCACTGCATGATCATTTTGAAGCGCAATTCTTTTAGGGCTTCAATATAACACCATATCACAGACGCTGATTACACGTAGGGCCATGCAATCCATATTTAACATTGTTAAACAATGCCTTTAAATGAGAGCTGATATGTGAACTGATTTGAAGAGATAAACATCTGCCAGTGACCATGCAGGGAGGTCTAATCCCTCTGGACAAACTAGTGCAGATAGGCTGTAAAGGTGAGACCCACCTGTGATCACACGAGAGCTGATATATCCTTTCTGATCCTTCTTCGTCTTCATCCGGTATTCTCATAGTAAGACCACATACTGCACATATATAAGGCTCTAATGCTCTCCCTGGTAAACCGGTCTTTGTGTAATACTGCAAAGGGAAAGGAAGAAATCGATAGATCATATCAAATGGTTGAATAACTGATATTTAATAGAGTACCGAAGCTGTGATATCATACAAATCTTTTTTTTGAATTTCTCAATTTTTTCTTTATTATCCAAAAAAGCTTCAAAAATATTGTCCAAATGTCGAAAACCAATTGAATATGTTAAGTATTGGCTGAGATATGACCATCTAAATAAAAAGATTGCCTATGGGAACTCAGTGTTATAGTGCTCTGGCTCGTTATGTTATGAACCAGAGCAATATAACACTGAGTTCAAATAGGCAATCTTTTTATTCAGATGGTCATATCTAAGCCAATACTTAACATATTCAATTGGTTTCTGACATTTGGACATTATTTTGGGTGGTCTTTCAGAAAATGAAGAAAAAATTGAGAAATTCCAAAAATACATTTTTGATGACGTCACACTTCACCACTCTATGAAGTAAGAATAATATGCATTTAAAGATAAAGTTGAGTTCTGGTCATGTGATTGCATTGCGAAAGAATCGTGGAATCGATTTGAAAAAGATGATCATCTACATATAAATATTGGTGTGTACTGCAAGGTTCTCAAAAAATTTGGTCCAGTCTTGGTAAAGTTACTGTACACAGAAGGATGTATACAGGACTACATGACTACGTGGTTAAAAATCCGTCCCAATTTTTATGATGCTACATGCCATATTTAGGATATTAATAGGCATGCTTTTCAGGGAACATTTTTTATCTGACGTTCTTCCACACTTGCATAATACAATGATAAATGCTCACAAATTAGTTTTCACCTCTTCCCAGAACTCAACCTTCTCTTTAAAAATTGATTAACAAGCATTCAGGTGGCCGGGAATATTCAGTTTATTACCATGCCTCACATAACTACTTGAACTACATACTGTAGGGGCAATGGTTGGATACTTAAAAGGATTATTTTGTATTAATACTAATATAATAGATAAAGTAAACTCTGCAAAGTTTCCGTAATTCAAGTTTTGGCCTAGTCAAAAGTGAAATGTTAGAACATGCATTGTTAATCATTCAAAACAAAATCCATTCTCTGAACAAATGAAGAATTCACCATGAACCATAACAATGCATTTCGCAACATTCCACTTTTGACTTGGCCCCATATTCATATTCCATGATAACATAATCATTACAAATGGGGCATTATTGTAAAGGGGAACAAACAGGCTTTTCAATGATACCAATGTCAATTGTCGGGTATGATAATATACTAACAAGAAAGATGTCAACACTCAAACCTGAATTGCAGGGCTTTTTTGAGGACTTTAGATTAATTGTTAACCTATTTATTAGTCAAAAACTAGATCAAACGGCTAGCAAGCTAAATAAGACCATGGCCTTCTATCAGAAATTCAAAATTCTAACTATTCTTTATTTTGTTCACACTCCCCATCTCCTAACCAGCGTGGATACGTCACAGGACTGTCGATCACAAGGTCCGCAGTTCGAATCCCGCCGCGGCACTAAAGTCCTTTGGCAAGACATTGATCTACATTTGCCACACTCCACCCAGGTGAAGTAAATAGGTACCGGTAGGAAGGAATTCCTTGAATGCTGTGAGCACCGAAATCGGTAGCCTAGCAGAGCTGGGGTAATACTGGAGCGCTTTGAGCACCTTGCAGGGTGGATATTTGCGCTGTATAAATATCCATTAATATTATTATTATTAAAAGTTGATTTTCTACATTGAGAAATTATTTAAGGGGGGATTGGTACACTTATACATCCTTCCGTCTACGAGTCTGAACAGAGGATATACTCATTGGCACGTTATCCCACTTACACCAATTTTTGAAGCCATCGACTCTGAGCAGATCTCGGCAAAGTCCCTGCCTAGCACGCCGTAGTACAGGCCGTAGAATAGGAACACCATGCCATAGTCCATCGCTATCTCTGGCTTGATCATGAGGATGAGGTTTAAGCCCAGGAACGTGAACATTATGATGGTGTACCCTATGATTCCGAGGCCGTAACTGATCTTGTATATCGTGTAGAACCATCGGTATACTAATCTGTAAAATAAATTTTTTTTTTAAATACATTAAACCAATATTTATGAGTGCATGCTGAAATAAAGAGACAGTACAATTGACAGCCATGTAAATACCAACATACCAACATCTTGCAAAGAAATGATGGTGGACCTATACTGTGAATATGCAGTACATGCAGTCACATCTCATTGAAGAATCAAACAATTGAAGCTGTTCCATTCCTAGATTTTGTACAGGTTTTTGATACAAGCTGTCGATTGCAGTTTTTCATTTATGGTTCCTTTTTCTCCTTTTTTGTTGGTCTTTACATATATTTATTTATCATATTACATGTATTATTATTTCTTAATACGAACAGTGTTTCTTATCTAGCTTTACAATTTATGAACCCATTTTTTTATTCAAAGGAAGAATATGCAGCTCTGGGGGAGGAAAAAAGTGGGGAACCTATGATAGATATACAACTATGAATGTAAATTCAACTGAAAGATTGAGAAAAGCATCCCTTTTTTTTAAAGTTTCACATGTACTTACCTTGGAGTAGTACCAGGCAATGGTTTCCTAGTTGCCTTATAAACAATAATACTGGTGAAAAAAGAGAACAGTGCCCAGATGATCAAGAATCGAGTCCAATGCATCGTCAAGCAGAAATAGACTGGTATGACCCACATACCAAACATTGTTGCCATCTGAAAAAAATGTGAAGGAGAAAAAATAACCAGGAATATTATGAGTTCAAATGGCAGACAAAATACAACTGTATAACACATACATACTCAGGCAATGATAGTTCTGTGGCCAATTTGCATACGTTAATCAAGTTTCTTATTTCAACTCTCGACCGAACTCTACACCTAAGTGTAACCATGAATTACAACTCAATTGAAACCCCTATTCTAACCCCTACCTGACTGAGAAAGTAAAGCGGGTGTCACCGGCACTTTTTTGTATAAAACATGCTCTAGTGAAAATTGCACTACAGTCGACTTCATAGTTAATCCATTAAATTTGTTTGTTTGTTTTATCTGACTGCTAAGAAAGCATGTGTATGCTTGTAAGCAAGGAGATGCGAGTTTAAACTCAATCTTCCTGTTGTAAGTTAGCAACCATGGTACTGACAGTCTAAGTCCTCTCTGAAGGACTTGGTAATGAGGAGTAATGCTAGCCTCTTGTCGATGGCCCTCGCTTTGTTCGAGTCCGTAAATTCTGGCGAGCGAAGCGAGTCAGAGAAACGGAGCGCGAGCGAGGGCCTCTTGACAAGTGATCTGAATTTCTTATGTTTTACATTGTTTGGCGAATATTCCGACCCAAGAGAAGTCGGTGAAAGTCATCCAATCAGAGAGAGCTAATATGACGTAATATCTACCACTCTGTGCGAATTCCCTCCGTGAGAGCGAGACTGGCCGCCTAATTGTAGTCTGCAAGCACAAACCTTGGTCAGTCGTAAAAGAGAGTCTGCACTCTAAGACTACCATAGGCCATGTACATGTACTATAGCTGCTTTTGACCTATATTGGTACAACCAGTAGGTACGAGTAGGTAGCTGTGCTAGGCTTCTCTCAAGGCACAATGATTTTTTGATAAAGTGTCAAATTAGGGTCTGTGCTTGCAGACTAGCCTAGTTGGGCAATCCCGAAACACACACAATAGTTGCGGTCTAGACATGCATAATTCAGTAGGAAATCGGGTCTCATGAATATATAATTCAGATCACTTGTCAAGAGGCCCTCGCTCGCGCTCGGTTTCTCTGACTCCCTTCGCTCGCCAGAATTTACGGACTCCAACAAAGCGAGGGCCATCGACAAGAGGCTAGAGTAATGCCTACTTAAAGGGCACTAGCACATCGGCTTGATGGACCTCTTGGGTACGAGACACTGCTCTACAACTAAGCCATCTCACCTCCTATTTCATACAACTCTGGACTCAACGATGTACCTAACCCTAAAACCTTCCCTGAAACCCTGTCAACATTATCATATACCTTTCTATGATCGAATAAAGAGTGCAGGCGTGCAGCATATGTTGCTGGGGCAAATGTCAGATAACTGGTATTATTAAATACATCTTTTTTTTGACATAATTTTGTCAGATAGGATACGATAAGGCCTAACAAAAAAAGATGTTGTATTGCCCTCTAGGTGCCAAAACATGGGTCGGTTGGCCTCCTTTCTTTTCTTTTTTTAAACTCCCTCTTTGGGCTGATTTTTGTCAGTTTTTAATGTAAATACATTTTTTTTCTAAAAAACGGATAGGAATGCTAGGAATACTGCAAGGTTGAAGCATATTTTATCATTGGTCATTACATGCACTCGATCTGCTATTCATTGAGGGCCCCTCTATTACAAGGATATTAAGTCAGCAGTTAATTGCTCTTTTGCCATGGATTAATATGAACAGACACTTGATCTTATAATACATTGTAAACCTTTCTATAGTCTAACACCCATGTATTCTTTCAACAGGATTACTTAACTCTCACATATTCTTTCAGCAAACCTTGCTCAAATCTACCCTCACCATGAAAGCATTCAAAGATTACGATGTGAACCTTTGTGTTACCAGCACCTCATCAGCAAGATACATGTAACTTGATGTAAGAGATGTTAACAATAGACAAAACCTATTATACATGTATCTTAAATTGTTTATTGCCACATCCTAGTTACATGAAGTTAGGTCATGCCTACATATATGGCTTACAAGCAACAATGGGGATTAAAGATGGGCTTGCACCAAAAAGGAAAACAAAGAGTCTCATTCATTTTGCAACTTAGGACAGACTGACTATAGAAAAAGCACATCCTTTCAACCACACACTTCGGTGATTACAGTGTATGCCATACAAAACTTGGAGTGGGGGCTATATATTTTTTGTCTGCTATACTAAAGTATACAGTGTACTCCTATTAACACACAAAATTAATTTCAAAGCCGCCTAAAAATGCCATCAAAATCAGACAAGCAGTTACTTTCTCACATAAATATGCAAATCATCCACCTACACAGGAATATTTGTTACTAACTACCGTAAGCGTTCTTCTTTGGAATATTAAGTTCTATATGCCCAAACTGCAATAAAAAAATCAGGATTATGAAAAAGAGCACTTCAAACCAATTCATCTATCAATGTTAAGACCGTCAACTACAGTGTAATTGGTTATTTACTGCCCTAAGTTTCTGTTTAATGTATTATCTAATGTATTATACCCATCTGTCTTAAAATTAACATTAAATCAACTTCCATTTCAAATAAGAACTAAAAAGAGGGACGCGTTGTTCAGAATTTTTTTAATGATTGTACTGCGTAGCTGTCTGTATTCCATTACCATCTCTTGGTAGAGTTTGATACTGTAGTGTGTTCATTGTGAAAATCGATGCATGATACAAACAGTTGACTGTCACTGTTCAATGTGTATGCACCAAATAGAGTCTATATATATGGTCTTGAATAAAAGAATGAATCAAACCTGGTACGATTTGAAATGTCTCTGCTTCCACTGGACGAGTAAGATCTGAGCTACAAATAGAGTCGCTATCAAGATGAGGATCATCTCTGCGTGCATTGCCTCATGACCTTTGTGCTTCTCGTGCATCCTCTGGTGCTGAATCCTGTAGGAGAAAGAAAAAAATATAATAATGTGGGAATGTGGACTAGTTTATGTTTTATGTAGATCGCGGACTTGTCCGATTATGCAAATTAGTTCGCTACGCGTGTTGCACATGATTTTGCGGATGAATGATTTATTGTGTGGTACGCCGCCCACGTTAAGGTGTTAACATACATGTTAGTATTGAATCACATTCATGTCACGTTCAATTGCGGAGAGGACGTTGTTGCTGTGCCTGTAGCTATGTATTACAGAGTCACGCGGTTTCCTTGTTTTAACGAGGGTTTTGGTTCAACTGTTTGGCAGTATTTTCGAGTAAGTTATGCTTATTGAAATAGATATTTGGTTTAATCCTGTATCATAGTGAGTGATAATGCATAGTTTGAGGTGGATATAGATGTCTGTTTGAAGTAATTATGATGATAAGAATGCCTGTTTATGATGTTGAACAGAAGTTTTGGTTAGGGCATTAATTTGGTCATATTACGCTGTTTATAGATAAAATGTCAGAGACATTTGTGCTAAAATTGTTTTATGCAACTTTTTCTTTCATCATATTTCGGAAAAGATATTTTGAGGGATTGCAAAGATAATTTAAGGATTAATTTTCCCATTTTGTATTTCACACACATGTGAAGTAAAAATGTATCTTGACGTTGAGGGCAGTAAGATGTAAATAAGCTAGCAAGATGGCGGCGCCCATAGTTGATTCCTAGATGTGAGTTGATGATAGTTTTATACACCTTGGGTGTATGATATGAAGAATATTGTTGATATTTTCCTGTGGTGTTTATGTCTCGCTATTTACTATTAGCTGTAGATGATATGAGAATTTACATTAGTGTGATTTAGAGAGCAAATACTTGTAACTGTTATTGTTGTTACATTATTATAGGGGCAAGATCAGGACTTGCATGTTGCAGCTTCTGTTGCTGAGCTGAGCTGAGTTGATTGCTGGTAGTTTCTTGGTGTCTCCCTTTTCCCCTTCACTTCCTTCTCCACTGTAGTTGAGAGCTTCAGTGGTTTATTGCTGAAGACTTTGGGTATGTTTTAATGATATTCTGGTAAAGTTTGCAACAGACTTTGTGTAACTTTACTCAGTCTAATATTGCAGTGTGTTTAACAATTTATATGTATATTGATGTTATGGGACAATTTTATATTTGTTCCATCGTATTATAAATACTTACAGATAAATACATGTATTCTTGTTTGTCTGATGCAAGTATGATGCTCTGATTACTGTTTGAGATTCTTACAGCTGATTTGATGTTTAGATATAATTATGTCATTCCAGTTAATGATTATAATATTTGATTTCAGTGATTTTACAAGAGAATCAAGATGAAACAGATTTGATTTGGAGATCAAGTTGTAATTACTTAATATGACATTTAATCAAGAGGATATACAATATCTCTGTTTAGTAATTACTTTGATTTATTTCATTGATATAATCATGTATTTGTGAAGATGACATTTGTAATTGTTTGAAATACTAAAACATGTTTTGTTTTATTATTCTGCCAATTGCAGGGTTTTTTCCCGTTTCTGCGTGCATGAATCACCGAGAATCAACGGTTTATGAATTAAAGCACCGGTTACGCTAACACACGTTTCCCGAGTTTCATTTATCGTCTCACACGTACTACGACAAATTGGCGACGAGGATGGGATGAAGTCAGCGCAGACAATGAGGGAAACCCCACGGTCTTGGATGAGCAACCCCACTGCGTGGTCTGAGAGGACCGGCCTAGACGATCTTCGCAGATAACCGAGCTTGCAGACAGCTCGGGTAGATAATCTTTGGTGGTGACTTACTGAGCATAGAACTTCGAACTTATGATTACTGCTCGGATAGATGGAAGAGCGGTATTGAGAATGAACTATCCACGAGGACCATAGACTGATAGAGACTGAATTGACTGGAACTGAGAATGTTTTTTTTTTTTGGTTACCAACCAGGGTAACAAGGATTTGTTGTAAGTCCCAAGTGTTCAGTATTTAATACTGTAGATTCAGTTATATCTATTCAGTACATGTTTTGATAGTAGAGTAAGGTGTAACTTACCTGTTTTTCCCCTACTATACTTGTTACAGCCTTTGTAGCGATGGCTGAAACAGTGACAGAGATGTTGGAGACCCTGACTAGTGTTCTTCAAGGACTGAATGTGCAGAAGGCGCCACCGCCAGTGAAGTTGAGCAAGTTCAAGGGTTCACCACAGGTAGCTGGTGATTTGTCCCTGCAGGAGTGGCTGGAGAACTTTGACAGTTATTGTCGACACTACCAGCTTAAAGATGTTGCAAAGGCCCAGTCCTTAGTGGATCATTTGGGAGGAGTGGCCAAGGAGGAAGTTTTGTGCAGGGAGGAGAGAATCCTCAAGGACTTTGACCAGCTTGTTGCTGTGCTGCGATCATTGTTTGGTGCAGTGGACACTGTTCAGTCATTAACGGCTGAATTCCATAGTAGGAGGCAGCATGGTGGTGAGACACTCGCCGATTATAGTAGGATTTTAATGCGAATCTACACGAGGATGGAGAAAGCTGCATCGAGCAGTGATGAGAAGCAAGCTTTGACTCAACTTAGAGACACATCCTTGAAGGAGAGATTTGTCACAGGTAGCAGCCAGGTGTGGATGCAACGAGAGCTGCGCAGAATGGAGCTGGCAGCGAAGGGCAAGACCTTCTTACAGTTGAGGGAGGATGTGCTGGAATTCTTCAGGGGTCAAGAGACCAAGGCGATTCCAGTTAAGGAAGTGAGTAGCTCTGTCGATGTTCATGTGGCAACTACCAAGAATGCAGATGCTGAGTGGAAGGGTGAGATGAATTCCCTTAAGGAAGATGTGGCATCACTCAGAAGGTGTGTGGAAGCCTTGGTGGATAGCAAGGTGAATGCTGGAAGAGCTCCACAGAAGAAGAATCGATGTTTCAACTGTGGTAAGACAGGGCACATGAGGAATGAGTGCGAGGAGGAGACGTTGTGTTTCACCTGTAAAGGGCGAGGACACATTAGCCGGCAGTGTCCACAGAAGTTACAGTCGATTACCCAGCCTCCTTCACCAACGATGGCATCTCCTCAGCCTGGAGCAAAGAGAGGGACGATGGACACACGTCATCAGGTTCCATCAGAGTTTGCTAAGCGCTTTGTGGCACCATGTCCGAAAGGAACAGTCCATATCGCGGGATTAGATATTGGATGTATTTTTGATTCTGGAGCAGAGGCTTCCGTTATCCCAGCATCAGTGTACCATCGATGTTTGAAGGAGAGACTGGGAGGACCTCAGCAGGAGCCAGGAGTTTTTCTCAATGTTGTAGGCGTTGGTGAAATTGAAGTGCCTATAGAGGGTTTTGTTGAAGTTCCCATCAAGGTCAGAGGGCAGTCACTACAAGGAGGATTCCTGGTAGTAGTTGACAGAGAATGCAGTGGCACTGAATCGGAGTATCCTATTCTACTAGGTTGTAACATTTTGCAGAATTTGGATGGATATGACATCGAATTTGGTTTTCGATCTAAGGCACCCACAACCATGGAGAGCAACGGTTGCCCATCACCAGTAAGGACAGGAAGATTGGAGGTATTCCCTCCCTATACAGTTAGAAGGGTGATGTGCCATGTGGAGAGGAACACCATTACGCCAGGAGCTGAGATCTTGGTGAGAGAGTCAGATGAGGAGCCAAGTTCGACGCTGAGTGCAGTTGAAGGTTGTCAGCAGTTGAAGGGGGATGATGTTGAATTGTTTATGTCCAACACATCTGGACAAGAGGTTCATCTACTGCCTGACACCCGTGTTGCTGAAGCTCTGGCTGTGAAAAGAACAGGACAACTCTACTTAGATCTGCACGATGAACAGTTAAGAGTATCAATGTGTGATGTCGTGATAGAGGGAGTCGACTCACCAGTGAGGATGTCTCCGGAGTCGGTAGAGGCTGTTTCCTGTCTTCCGCCAGGTGTGAAGTTGGAAGGTCTAACAGAGGATCAAACAGAGAAAGTGAGAGAACTTCTTCAGAAGCATGCTGATGTTTTCTCTGCAGGTGCATTTGATCTTGGGGAGTGCAATGTGGTACCTCATCACATTCAGCTGGTAGATGGACCAACAGTTAGACTTCCATACAGGCGTATCCCTCCAGCTTTGATTCCTGAGGTTAAGCAGATGTTGCAAGAGATGGTGGAACGGGGGATAATTCGCCCATCCAAGAGCCCGTTCGCCAGTCCGATTGTCTTGGTGAAGAAAAAGAATGGATCTTTGAGACTATGTATAGATTATAGGAAGGTCAATGCTCGCACGGTGAAGGATTCTTTTCCGTTGCCCAGAATAGAGGAGACCCTGGATGCACTTCGAGATGCGAAGTACTTCTCAACACTAGATCTGGCACATGGATATTTTCAAGTCGTGATGGACCCATCCTCCATCGATGTGACTGCCTTCAGAGTGCCTTGGGGGTTGTATGAGTTCACTCGGATGCCGCAGGGACTAGTCAACAGTCCTGGCACGTTCCAGAGGACAATGGAGTACATCCTAGGAGATCTCAACTTGAGTCAGATTGTCTTGTATTTGGATGACATCTTGGTGTATTCTGCAACATTTGAAGAGCACTTGATGAGGCTTGAGGTAGTGCTGACTAGACTTGCAGAGAATGGATTGAAGGTACAAGGCAAGAAGTGTCATTTTGTTCAACAAGAAGTTAACTACCTAGGACATGTAGTGAGTGAAGATGGAGTTAGTGTTGACCAAGGCAAGGTAGAGAAAATTCAGACGTGGCCGCGACCTCAGAATGGGAGAGAAGTGAGTTCGTTCCTGGGGTTGGCTTCCTATTACCGTCGATTTATTGATGGGTTTTCTCGAATCGCTGGCCCTTTGCACCAAGTTGCTGCTAAAGGGAAAGGAAGCAAGACTGAGTTTGTGTGGGGAACAACACAAGAAGAGGCCTTCGAGATTTTGAAGTCGAAGCTTACAAGTGCACCAGTTTTAGCATATCCGAAGTTCGATGAGGAGTTCATTCTGGAAGTGGATGCATCCAAGAAGGGACTCGGTGCTTGCTTGATGCAGAAAGGAGATGATGGTAGGGTACACCCTATTTCTTATGCCAGTCGAAGTCTGCGAGGTTCAGAGAAGAACTACCCTGATTTCAGTAGCTTCAAGATTGAACTGCTTGCTCTGAAATGGGCAGTTACTGAGAAATTTGCACCCTACCTCATGGGAGCACATTGCATAGTATTAACAGATCACAACCCGCTGAAGTATCTGTCTACAGCAAAGTTGGGAGCTACAGAGTTCCGATGGGTTGCCCAGCTGGCACCGTTTGATCTGGAAGTCAGATACAGAACAGGCAAGAGTAACAAGAGTGCGGATGCATTGAGTAGGAGACCAGCTGACATGCTCCAAGAAGAAGTTGCTGCAGTGATTGATGAGGTGCTGGAGTCAACAGAGTTTCCTCAGGACAAGCAGCCTACATCACATGATGACTTCAACATTGCTATTCGAAGGGTCACGAACGAGAAGGTTTCGAATGTTTTGCCTTCATATAGTTATGAAGAATTAGCCAAACTGCAGGAAGAGGATGACGACTTGAAAGAAATACGTCACCTGAAGGAAGCGAGAATTCCTGGACCAGAGCCAGGTGCCAAAGTGACAGATTTGCATGGATGGCTACGAGAGTATGCAAGCTTCGAGATGTACCATGATGTGCTGTATCGAGAAGTAGAAGACCCAGTGTTGGGCAAGATTCATCAGTTGCTGGTACCTAGGGTGTTGAGAGAGTCGATGCTAGAGATGACGCATGACAAATGGGGTCATCAGGGAGTTGATAGGACCCTGAACTTGTTACGAGAACGATGTTATTGGCCTGGAATGACACGAGAAGCAAGAAGGTACATCAAGAAGTGCTTTAGATGCATCACTTCAAAGTTGCCTACACCTACGGTTCGCCCTCCACAACGGCATTTGATTGCATTTAGACCTTTGGAGATTGTAGCTGTGGATTTCTTGAAGCTTGACAGAGGAAGAGGCGGATTTGAAGATGTATTGGTGCTTACCGATGTGTTCAGCAAGTTTTGCCAAGCCATCCCATGCAAGGATCAAACTGCTGTGACGGTAGCAAAGGTGTTACGGGATGCTTGGTTCACACGGTACGGCATACCGTCAAGAATTCACTCGGATCAAGGACGGTCATTCGAGTGCACCCTTGTGGCTGAGCTTTGTAAGCTGTATAACATACAAAAGTCACGGACGACAGCATACCATCCGGCTGGAAATGGCCAGTGTGAACGGTTCAACAAGACGCTGTGTGGATTGCTGAGATCGCTGGATCCTAGAGATAGGAATAGATGGCCTGAGTTAATCCAGCATGTGGTATATGTGTACAATTCTACACCGCACAGGATAACGAGAGTGACTCCACATTTTCTAATGTTCGGTCGCAGACCTACGTTGCCAGTGGATCATTTGATAAACAGTCTCCATTCTGATTGTACGGATGATTACGCTCAAGCACAGCAGAGATTGATGGAGAGAGCCTACAAGATAGTTTGTGATAGACAGAGAGAAGCAGCAAAGAAAGAGGAAGAGAGACAGGCCAAAGGAAGAGGTGATTTGTCTACCCTGGAAGTTGGAGAGAGAGTGTTGCTCAAGAACGAGGCATTTACAGGGAGGCACAAATTACACGACAAGTTTGACGAGAAACCCTTCATCATTTTAGCCAAGAACGAGGAGGGTGATTTATATAACATTCAACCTGCCCTTGGAGGGGTTACCAAGTGGGTAAATAGACGCAGAATTATTGCAGATCCTCGTCAGGAAAATGATGGCCTTGATGGTATTTTACCCTACCCAGATGTAGCAGAGCTTGGGCGTGGTATTAACATTGGAAATGACGTTATCCATCAAAGTAGTGATGATGACGACGACGACGACGATGACGATGAGGAGGATGATCATGAGAACGGTTACACTCTTTCATGGAAGGAGTTACCTCATCACGTTATTGACGCAGGTGTGACGGAGCCCAGACGGTCAAGTAGAATTAACAAGGGAGTGAATCCTAATCCTGGTCGACTGCCGATGTCGGCGATCACCGGATTACCCCCCTGATGGAGTTAAGTGATGTGCGCATCGAAAGCGGCGAAGAGGAACCGTTTAGTTGCATCAGTTGGGAAGGGATATATATATATATATTTTCGACAATTTTTTAGATAGAGTATTTCAGCATGAAATAAGCGGGGAAGATTGCCTGGATATTCATGATTTTCTTTGTTTTTGTTCTAAAAAAAAAAAAAAAAAAGAGGGAAAAGAATAGGCTACAAACAGAATTTGTTTAGGAACTTGTATTTGAAGGAGAATTAGGAAATTCAAGTCTTATAAGTGGCATAAATATATGTTATGTATAACAAGGCTTCAACAGTTTTTGATAAGGCAAGCTAAATGATGTTGACTTATTTTTATGTAAATAGTTCAGATTGGCTTGTTATGCAGGAAATAAGGTTTATATTTTCGTCATTGGAGCCAGATTAGTATGCAGTGATCTCATTTGATAGTACTCATTGGAGATTTGTATACTATAGTTGGTATACAGTAGTGAGGTGTATAGAAAGGATTTTTTTTTTTAAATCATACTGTTGTACATTATGATTAAGGATATATTTGATGTTGAAGAAAGGAAAAAAAGAAATTGTGTATAGTCTATAGGATAATGTTCTTTTTGTGTTACAGAAAAGATATTACAGTATAATGGTCTATAGGTTCTTTTTCAATTGAAGTTTGATTGAATGTTTATCGATGAGGAATTTTATGTTACATAGGTACACATTGGCGCTTTCGGGACGAAAGCTGTTTAAGCGGGGAAACTGTGGGAATGTGGACTAGTTTATGTTTTATGTAGATCGCGGACTTGTCCGATTATGCAAATTAGTTCGCTACGCGTGTTGCACATGATTTTGCGGATGAATGATTTATTGTGTGGTACGCCGCCCACGTTAAGGTGTTAACATACATGTTAGTATTGAATCACATTCATGTCACGTTCAATTGCGGAGAGGACGTTGTTGCTGTGCCTGTAGCTATGTATTACAGAGTCACGCGGTTTCCTTGTTTTAACGAGGGTTTTGGTTCAACTGTTTGGCAGTATTTTCGAGTAAGTTATGCTTATTGAAATAGATATTTGGTTTAATCCTGTATCATAGTGAGTGATAATGCATAGTTTGAGGTGGATATAGATGTCTGTTTGAAGTAATTATGATGATAAGAATGCCTGTTTATGATGTTGAACAGAAGTTTTGGTTAGGGCATTAATTTGGTCATATTACGCTGTTTATAGATAAAATGTCAGAGACATTTGTGCTAAAATTGTTTTATGCAACTTTTTCTTTCATCATATTTCGGAAAAGATATTTTGAGGGATTGCAAAGATAATTTAAGGATTAATTTTCCCATTTTGTATTTCACACACATGTGAAGTAAAAATGTATCTTGACGTTGAGGGCAGTAAGATGTAAATAAGCTAGCAAGATGGCGGCGCCCATAGTTGATTCCTAGATGTGAGTTGATGATAGTTTTATACACCTTGGGTGTATGATATGAAGAATATTGTTGATATTTTCCTGTGGTGTTTATGTCTCGCTATTTACTATTAGCTGTAGATGATATGAGAATTTACATTAGTGTGATTTAGAGAGCAAATACTTGTAACTGTTATTGTTGTTACATTATTATAGGGGCAAGATCAGGACTTGCATGTTGCAGCTTCTGTTGCTGAGCTGAGCTGAGTTGATTGCTGGTAGTTTCTTGGTGTCTCCCTTTTCCCCTTCACTTCCTTCTCCACTGTAGTTGAGAGCTTCAGTGGTTTATTGCTGAAGACTTTGGGTATGTTTTAAATGATATTCTGGTAAAGTTTGCAACAGACTTTGTGTAACTTTACTCAGTCTAATATTGCAGTGTGTTTAACAATTTATATGTATATTGATGTTATGGGACAATTTTATATTTGTTCCATCGTATTATAAATACTTACAGATAAATACATGTATTCTTGTTTGTCTGATGCAAGTATGATGCTCTGATTACTGTTTGAGATTCTTACAGCTGATTTGATGTTTAGATATAATTATGTCATTCCAGTTAATGATTATAATATTTGATTTCAGTGATTTTACAAGAGAATCAAGATGAAACAGATTTGATTTGGAGATCAAGTTGTAATTACTTAATATGACATTTAATCAAGAGGATATACAATATCTCTGTTTAGTAATTACTTTGATTTATTTCATTGATATAATCATGTATTTGTGAAGATGACATTTGTAATTGTTTGAAATACTAAAACATGTTTTGTTTTATTATTCTGCCAATTGCAGGGTTTTTTCCCGTTTCTGCGTGCATGAATCACCGAGAATCAACGGTTTATGAATTAAAGCACCGGTTACGCTAACACACGTTTCCCGAGTTTCATTTATCGTCTCACACGTACTACGACAATAATAACTATTTAAAATACATTGAAATGTGTGATATTATAAAGACCACTCAGAGGAGACTAGGAAAATATGCATGTTGTTTTCATAACATTTTGCATACCGGTAGATTATTTTAGCACATGTTTTCATAATAAATCTACTCAAGTAAATCAAAAATATGGTCTCTATTCATTGGTGGTCTTTCAAAATGGCTAATCTCTAAGGCAGGCAAGCCCCCAAAGAACTGACTACGGTATTTAAAAAAACAGAAACCTAGAACTCTGAATTTCAAGAATGGTTCGCAGACTCTAGATTTACATCAGTTTCCCTAGATGCACTACTTAGAAAATTAGTGAAGATGGATCACATCAGTGCAGTTTGTGGAATTTTCTTAAAACAAAAAAAACAGCAAGACATGCATAAAGATTTTCTGGTGTTACAATTCACTTAATTATGAAAAAATGAGAATCAAACTACAATGTATCAACTACATGTTAGTGTAATATTCAAACATTACAAAGAATACATTTTCATTATTAATTTTTTGAAAAGGCAATTATTAGCGATAATTTCTACATATAGGAAGAAATTTAGCAAAATAAAAATTTCTTGCACATGAAAGTCTTGTGTTTATGCAACATGCAACATTTTTTGATGTTCTCATTAAATTAGAAATTAGATCAACGTACATCAGTTGTCCATGTAGAATCTAGTCTTTTTTAATCCTCCCATGACGTTGTTACTTACCGTATTCTTTCTTGTTCTGGTAACTTGGACAGATCCAGCGTCTAAAAGGAAGAGGATTAAAATAATCAAATACATAAAAAATGGTTCTGTTTAATGTGATACCTACTCTCTACAGGTAATTCACATGAGGAGTAGAACTATTCTTTGCACCAATCACGAAGACCCTAATTCAAAAATTAATAAATTAATAAACAGTGTGTCGTCTACTACTAAAAATATATACATGTAAACTCAACTTTATACATCAATCAACTCCCAAGAGTCCCAACTCAAATTTTACCTGGGATTTTATATCATTATACCATTCTATCTGGCCTTTTGAGACGATGAAAGCTCATCTTTAAGGGACGGGAGGGGTGTTAATTTGCAACAAATGGAGTTAATAACTGCACTTGTGGCTATGGCCTATGCCCAGCTAGGCCACACACTGCTGTAATACTTCTTCCTTATTTTTTTTACTAAGAAAAAAAGTATAGACTATAGACCTAGATCTAGTCCCTGGAATAAATGTTAGACATAATAATAAATTATAGATTATAATTCATGCAAATTAGATACCTATTTGTATATTCATTAAAGACCATGTTGAAAGTGAAAAATGAATTATAATTCATATATGAAAGGAAAGCTAACAAGTCTATATGCTCCTAATAGTGCCTGTCAACGAGTATGAGAAACAGCTTTCTGAAAACTCGAAATCTAAAGCTTTGAAAATCGAGAGTTGTCAACCTAAAAACTAGCTACCGGTATTACATTGATGATATCATCTAGACCTATTCGACGCATATTCACAATGACTTTGCAGTTTGCATTAATTAAGCACAGCTCATCGCCTCAGCTTTAGACAAGCCGATCGGGTGCACATATTATGTCCTTCCCTGTATTCTGTAACTGCATCAAATTTGACCCCTGTTTAAGTAATGACTAATGTGGAGAGGTGCAGAAAATAAGGTTTTAATTCGCTTTTGTGCAATGGGCCTACTGAAACAGTGAAAGTGAAAATATTTTGAATTCCTCGTTCATTCAGCTTTCCATCATTGATATTACAAAGTTGTAGGTTATGCCTTGGTCATTAATAATTCATATTAGAAATACCGAGTCTGCCATTGTCTTGGGGTCTTGGCATGGGCCCTGGTGCCGATAACTGGACCCGGTGCGGGGGCCCCGGCCTGCGCGCGACACGTACCCTGGCCTTGCTTTTGATGGCTTTTGGCCTTTGCTTGCATTGCCATTGACATTGGACTTGGGTCACACGTCATCACGTTCGTTCGTACACTGCTGTCACGTCACTTTCATAATCCATCAATATTTAACTCATAACCAGCGAATTTTATACAGAAAAGGGTCAATTACCAACAGACAATAGTATTTGGATGACAAATGATAATTATTTACCGGCTTCGGCGGTGGAGGAACCATCACTTTGGTTTCGTTCAAGGGAACTTTTATCTCCATGGGCGCGTCCATTTTGGATTATTTTTCAAGACGTGTCTGGTAGGCCCTCTACGGTAAAAAGTATAAAATTCGATCTAATCCCTACGCTACGCTGCATGTTCAAATTTGAAGATACAGCTAGTATAACTGCAAAGATAGTGAATGTAGAAACAAACTCGACAGGCTGAAATTTTATATTACTTTATAATATTTCAGGAAGAGAAGTAGAAAAGGTATTTGTTCAACCGAGGATTCAGTTCAAACTGTTGCATACACAAATCTTTATGGTTTCAGAAAAATGGGTTGTGCTTATTTTGCAAAAGTGAAAGTGAAACTTATCGACATATATTCTTTGAATGTATTGTGCAGATATACTTAATTTACCAATTCTGAAGAAATTGTCTTAGAAAGGAATTCATCACGGGAATAGATGACAGTACCAAAAATAGAGCAATTTATTGACCCATATTTTGATTTTGATTAAATATATGATTATCAACAGTAGAGAGAAGGGAAACCCTCCAAAAAGCAAAAGAAATAGAAAATGGATTAAGAAATGGAAAGAAAAAACTTTCAGCTGAAAGGGATACCCTTTACATTTATTTAGCTAAAAGGAAAGCCTTGGAAAGTTTTGAATAAATGATTGTTTGTTTGTTTTTTCGATATACAGCTTTTTCCTTTCTCCTTTGTTTTTCTTTTCTTTTCGTGTGTTTGTTCGTTATGTCAGTGTTTAAAAAAAATGTTATAATACTGTTGTACTTGTTACCGTGTGTTTTAATGTTGTGTTGGGCGGGGGCAGTAGGTGTCTTCTTTCTCTCTTTTTTTTTTTAAATCTGTTTTTTTTTTCTTTTATCATATCACTTCTTCTTTCTTTCTTTCTTTCATAACCCTTTTTTTTCTCTCTGAAGGAAAAAATATTGTGGAAAAGAAAAAAAATGGAAATTTTTAAGCAAGCTGGTCGAAAAAATTATGTGCGATTTATTGAAAATGCGAAACTACGATTTTGTTTATGTGAATATTTTTCTTCTAATAAAAACCTATGAAAACAAAATTGACCGAGGATAACTTTGTACTCTAATTAAGTGTCGAGTTGATATCATATCAGTGCTTGGTTCTACTGCGTCTTCCCATTCAAAATTGCACTTGTATCAAGAAGTTACCAGCCACTGCTGGTAACTTCTTGCTTTTAATAAAAGCGTTTGTAAATTGTATTTTAATTTTAAAATGTTTTAGCTACGTTTATTTGATATTCCTTATCGGATCGATAGTAATTATTGCAGAGGTAGTATCAGGATGGTATACTACTAGTATGAACATAACATAATTATAAAAGATGAATTATGTTGAGAAATTTGTCGTGTTTATGAGAAACTTGTCCTATATTTTTCCAAGAAGGCAGCCATGCAAATTGTATAGCTGGCCAATCCTATTCATTCAGATATTGTATTTGTGCTATGCGAGTATATTTGTGCAATGTATGCCAAATCAAATCATGTGTATCAGAATCATGAGACCATCGAAGAAACCAGGCCAATACAAACGGAATCCATATGTACATACATATCATTTTTCATCAATGTGCATTATAACCCATCTAATGAACCATATTTGTTATGAATATATTATATTTCAGTTTTCAATTTTACGAAATTACATTTTGGAAATATGATCAAACCAAGCTATGTCATACAATTATTTCACTACCGAGTTACTAAACATTTCTTTCTTGAATATTTGGTGGCTCTAAAAAGAGCCGGTTTTGTTGGTGATTTAGAAGAGTAACTTCTTATCCTCCGAATCCGTAGAGGGTACGTCCCTGTCGCTTCAGGGCGTAGACGACGTCCATGGCGGTGACGGTCTTCCTCTTGGCGTGCTCGCAATAGGTGACGGCATCACGGATGACGTTCTCAAGGAAGACCTTGAGGACTCCACGGGTCTCTTCGTAGATGAGACCACTGATACGCTTGACTCCTCCACGTCGAGCAAGACGACGGATAGCTGGCTTGGTGATTCCCTGGATGTTATCACGCAAGACCTTGCGATGACGCTTGGCGCCTCCCTTTCCGAGTCCCTTTCCTCCTTTACCACGTCCAGACATGTTGATGATTTGTTTGAGAAAATAATCAAACTGATACTTCAGACCGGTTTTCCGCTGGTATTTATACCCTTTGTGCGAACGCGAGTGGACACGCTATACCAATTCTTTGTTCCGCAAACCCAGCGACCCGTCACACGTATATCGGCTTTTCAGTTTACCGCCAGAAGCGAACTGACGATTTTATGCATAATGCATTAGGGTTCGAATCTGACTGCTTTACATTATTTTGACTCTACAGCACTTTTCCTTCGCAAAAAAAAAGAAAACATTGTTACATATTGATGCTATATAAAATTTAACATGCTCTTACAGTATTTTAATACCATATGAACAAATATCATTATGAATATTTTCATAAAAAGACACAAGACATTCGTTTACGGAGGGTTCGTTAGGGTTCGCTAACTTATGAATTATTCATGAGACTGGCGATCCTTCCGTAACTGTTGATGATTGCATTGTCGTCTATATTTTCATTAAAGAGAACATTTTTAACAAATTTTTAGTAATCAGTCACTTTAAAATGATGATTTTGTGTGTTTTAGTTATAACGAATTAAAACATTGACCCCAAAAATGTAGATTATGCTTATTTTTAGGTCTAGTTTAATTTACGCCGACGAGCAGGTGTGCCGTAAGATCGATGCATAATGCATGAATCAGTTTGCCGTAGAACAAGATTGACCAATTACCAGCGGGTAAATTCTGGCCAATCAGCGTCTGGTAGACAGTGGTATATAAACCCAGCGCGGCCGTTTCAAATCTATCAGTTGTATCCTATCAACAATCAACAATGGCACGTACCAAGCAGACCGCTCGCAAATCTACCGGAGGAAAGGCTCCTCGCAAGCAGCTGGCCACCAAGGCAGCTCGCAAGTCCGCCCCAGCCACCGGCGGAGTCAAGAAGCCCCATCGTTACAGGCCCGGTACCGTCGCTCTCCGTGAGATCCGTCGTTACCAGAAGAGCACCGAGCTTCTCATCCGCAAGCTCCCCTTCCAGCGTCTGGTCCGTGAGATCGCTCAGGACTTCAAGACCGAGCTCCGATTCCAGAGCTCTGCCGTTATGGCTCTTCAGGAGGCTAGCGAAGCTTACTTGGTCGGTCTCTTCGAGGACACCAACCTGTGCGCCATCCACGCCAAGCGTGTCACCATCATGCCAAAGGACATCCAGCTGGCCCGCCGTATCCGTGGCGAACGTGCTTAAATATATTGTCTTCCTTTGACGGTATCAAACGGCTCTTTTTAGAGCCACCACATATCCAAGAAAGAACCAGTAGATCATTATCTGATTTCTTAATTGCATGTAAATATATTTTGTTTTCCTGTAGTGAACATGCATTTAAAGAGGTCTTTTCGACTCTTTTGTCGACATCCCCGGCCCGGCCCCATGTATAAATTAAAAAACAAATACACAAAAAGTAACTCGTAATAACCCAATCAGTTTGACAATAATTATTACAAATGCATAACCATGATAAAGCGTTAAAACATCCAATATAGGCCTACCAACAGCATGGTCCGAGGAAAATTAATCACTTTTTGAATAAAGCTTTCTTTCCTCAGTCGATCCTGTCACGCGTTAGGCAAAATGTGCATTTAACAAGAGATTCCCGCTGACACAATCGGATGCCTACACACCCAACATAACAAAGAAAACCGTTTCATTTTGGCGGGCTCTGACTCACATTGACATTGTCTTCGTGCCCTTTATTGGATTTCCCCCTTCCTCTCGCCCCATTAGTTTTTGTTTGTTACTTTGAGTACTTTTCTTGGAACAAGACGATCGACCCTCCCTTGCATTCATATAGCCATAGCATTAAATAACCTTCTTTTTCAAAATTAAATGAAAGAATTCTCCTTCATTATGCGATATCTTTTCATTGAATGTCAGACTGCAAAACCAAATTTGCCACCTATTATCCCCTCCTGTAGCCTGAGAGTATTACATGTCTTAACGTTGTGCAAATGTAAGCAAAAAATTTGCATACAATTATTGTTAAACATAGCTTCATAGCTTCATAGCTTCAAAACTCCCAGCCCCCCCCCCCCCCCCCCCCACCTCCCATGTGTTTCCATCACTGTGACGTTCTTGTCAACAGATGGCAGCAAAGCAGTCTCCGCGTCGGAACCTTATGTACATAAATTAGTTTAGGCCAGGTTTAGCCAAGAAGTTCTTGGTTTTGCCAGGGAGAGCTTTTTTCGACGAGCTAGATTTGTTCATGATCATAGCTGACAAAGTGCCATCTCTGTTTATTTTAATTTTTCTGATCTTTTTCTCTCCTCAAGAAAGTCATCTTTCATAATTATATTCTATACAAAAATACCAAACTTTCACATAACCAAAATATACATAAATAAAAAAATATATATAAATAAATAAGCCTTTCTCTTTTCATGTCTTTCATTCGCCATGGAATACCAACTCTAGAAACAAAACAAACAGACAAATCTAGAATTTTGAACTCTGTATATTGTTTCACATCTAAATGCATTATTACAACTCCTTTGTAGCCTAATGTCATTTAAAATATTATCGCTACTAACTTCTTGGATTTTTACAAAAATCAATTAAATTCACAATTTAAAAATGACATCTTTCTCATCAATCTTTTCTCCGTATACTACGATGTATAAGTTTTCCTTTACGTCCCCGATTCTCTCTTTCTCTCTCTCTATCCCTACCGTTTTTTAAATCTCTCTACCCCTATTTATCTATCTCGCCCACTTTCCTAATTTCTCTCTCTCTCTCTCTCTTTCTCCCCATCTCTCTCCCTCTCTCTGTCTCTCACCCTCTCTATATCTATCTCTCTATCTATCTACGCTCTCTACCCCTATCTTGATGTAAGTGCAATATTTTGAGTAAACTATTTGACATTTGTCATAATGAATATTAATAGTAACAATATTGTATATAAATTATTGTAATCATAATAATGATACTAAAATAGTTTTTAAAATAATGATAATAATAATAATATGATAATAACAATTGTAATAAGGCTGTAGTGCTGTAGTCAACAAAATAATGCTGTATGGCACTGCATGTATGAAAATAATTGCGTTGGTTAAATTATTACATGTAATTACCAATTTTGTTTCGTGTAATTTTGATGTTTGCCTTTTTTATTGTACGATCCTGTAATTCAGCTTTCGAGCGGCTATTGATTTTCATTTCAATAAACCATTACTACGACTACTACTACTCTCCTTCGCCGCCCCTCTCTCCCTCTCCCTCTCTCTCTCTCTCTCTCTCAGGCTCTCTACCCCTATCTCTCTCTCTCTCTAATTTTATATCCCTATCTCTCTCTATCCATATCTCTCTCTCTCTCTCTCTCTCTCTCTCTCTCTTTCTCTCTCTCTCTCTCTCTATACCCCTGTCTCATTCTCTCTCTTTCTCTCTCTCTCTCTCTCTCTCTCTCTCTCTCTCTCTCTCCCCACCTCCTTTTTTCTGTCCTGTACCCTGTTCTCTTTGAGCTATTTCTCATGGGTTATCTCGCAAAAAGCTGTGACTTTGCTTATCGGTGATCATAAAATCATTGTACTTTATACCTCTTTGGTTGCGTTTATCTAGGAAATTTTTGGCTAGAATCAGGTTTCTCAAACGTCTTTCAGGCAAATTTAGAAGTAGATAAACGCAAAGCCTTTTTCAAACGTCTTTAGATATGGGCATATCAAAAGACGCAAAAAGGTGCGTTTTGTATGTGACATACAGCCAGAATCACGTTTCTGAGAGGTCGATAAACGCAAAGCTGTTTTGAACGTCACATACAAATAGGACCACACAGGTGTTGTGTACAAGCATGTGTGTGAATTTGACCTCCGAGAAACTGTCTGCTTCCCGGGTCAAAACAGCTGGGCAGACACAAGGCCTTTATTTTGAATCGTGAAGAGTAGATAAACGCGACATCTCGAAAATCACGATCGTATAGTGGGGTATGATAGTGGGGTTCGATAGTGGGGTACGATATGTACATATCTAGTGGCAAGCCTAGATAAACGCGCTCTTTGAGATAAGCTGTAATGGGCCCGTGGTATTGATTGCATGCATTCCATAGCAACGTGTAACTTATCTCTGTTTATTTTTCAAACACATTTTTAATCATTGTACGAATTCCTCTTTCCAAAGGAGAACAATTACCAACCATTATCTCAAAAATTTTAGCCTCGGATTGTTTGCCTTGACTTTCAACTCATATTACAAGTTCAACGCATAGTAACTGACTGTTTGGTAAGGAATGCACGCCTAGCCACAGTGCATGTATCGTTTTAATAGACGAACCAAATCTCTAAATCCAAAGTCCAACATTATATTATATTGATAAGATGTTAGCATGTGCAGTTTATGAATGTATTCTTGCAAGCACGGAGATCGGATCGGCCTAGAACTCTGCGTCAACTAGAGATTAAAATACTTGGATGACTTGCGGGAGACCGGGATGATCTCGGATGGTCGTCGTTCGAGCTTTCGTCATCGTCTTCGTCGAGCGTGTCGATCACTAAATTTAGGCAAAGCTAGGCATTTTATGTGAACTCATATACATAGGCGTACGTGGTATGGCTAGAAGTAAACTGAACTATCTTGGTTCTTAAGTTTATCACTTTATTCAAATAGAGGTGGGAGAATATCCACATTTTTTTCCAGCTAGTATTGAGGAAAAATAATTACAAGTTGCTTTGCTCTCGTATAACGGTTTTTGTATGATCTGACTGCAGAATGGAACACTAATTTAAAATGGTGATTAAAAGAACATTCTGAACTAGGCCTATTCCAAGCACAAAGCCAGACAATTCAAGATGCCGCGAAAGAAGCGCCAAGTTGCCATGAACCCGTCCCGCGCCCTCCAATCCTTACGGCGCATCAAGAACATCCAGCCCGACGAGCTCGGCGACCTCGGCTTCATACTCTCGTCAGAGACGAGTCCCCTGGTGCGATGTCACAACCACTCCTTCACTGTCGCCATGCAAAAACAGATGGACATTTGGTATCGGCATCACGTGACCACGATGCGTAAGCTTTCTCATGGTCAGCAGTCGGAGTATCGGAACCTTATGAAGGTCAAGGTAAACGTCAAAGTCAAATGATTATTATCTATTAATTTCATCTAGCTATATTCTTCTCTCTTTCTTTCTTTTTTCTTTCTTTTTTGCTTGTTTCGTCCCCAAAATGGGGCCGTGTTTTGTTTGTACCATAGCAATTAACACGGACGATTGATTTTATTATACGATATTATGTCAAGATACAGATCTAAACGATTTATTGCCATTCTGGTCGAATTCTCCCTTTGTCACATATCATAGACAATAACTGTACTGTCAATTGATTTCAAAATGTCCGCACATTAAATAGAACTTAATCCAAGGAGTTAGAATTCTAACGCCTAGCTTAAAGGGATAGTTGAGTTCTGTTGCAGAGGGCGCTACACAAAATATTTTTTGTGAGATAATGAAAAACTGAGTGTCAAATTTGAAAGAACATAATATTTAAATGACAAAATCATCTTTGTTTGATCAAAATCGGTTCAGAGACGGCTGAAATATAACGATTTCTAATACTTGTGTACCACCACAAATATTAGATATTTTGAAAAATTTGAAAAAAACCGTTGGAAAAAACGAAATAACGCCTTTTACGTCATATTTCAGCCAATGGCGATGTTGGCTTTTTTTGTTGGCATGTTCGTGTTGCTTATATTACCCACAGTTAGCTGGCTCATGTATTGTTATCTTTAATTAAATAATTAATTAACGGTCACCGTGTTTTTTTTTAAGTGGAGCTAAATTGGTATGATCGTATTGGCTAAATTTCACACATTTTGGGGTCTAAAATTACCTTCATATCAATTTTAGGTTCTAAAAGGGCACTATAAATGTCATAGATAAGAATAAGAGCAATAACCATGCACTTTGAAAGCATTTGCGGTCTAAAAACAGAACTCAGCTATCCCTTTAAATACACTCCAATGCGAATATAGCTGAAATAAATACGCCTCTGTCATGTTTTTTTTCCCTGTGTGCAATAAAAAATAATAAACCCCACATTATACATTAAAAAAATCTTTGTAATAGCCATACATGTAGTACACATTGGTAAACATTTAATTTGATATCAAACTCTACACCGTTGCCTTTAAAGTTGGAATAATGTTTTTCTTACCTCTTTCCATTCAATGTGACAATGTGATTTTTGTCATGATAAATTAAGTTTTGAACTTCTCAGGACATTATTGATCAAACTTTGTTGATCAATCTTTATTGGTCAATTACGTTCTTAGAAAATATAAATTCTATCTATCAAAAATAATTCATTGTCAAATTATTCTATGAATAGAGGAAAGCAACAGAATGCAATGGCCAGTAAAGCCATTTGCCTCGTTTGTATACTTTGCGAGAAAGTGTCTTCTCGGTCTAATTCTCACAAATAAAATTATATCAAGTAGGTTTATGCCTTCTCAGAAAACAATGAAATTATCTATGCATAACAGCGTATTTTAAATGCTATCGCAGGAGACAACAATTCATTTCATTATTGCTTCCCCTTTTCTTCACAGAACGATAAACGAAGAAAATTAAAACAATGAAATTATCTATGCATAACAGCTAATTTTAATGAATTAAGCTATCGCATGAGACGACAATTCATTTCATTATTGCTTCCCCTTTTCTTCACAGAACGATAAACGAAGGATGTATCGTTCGGGTGTGATGCGACAGCGAGACGAGGACGAGTTCGACATCCGTATGAAGATAGAGCGAGATCGTAACGAAGCTGAAGTCAAATTGTTGAACCTGACGTTGGATGATTACAGGACCGACATCGACGTCAATGTCGACCTTCAACGGAAAGAATCCGATAGAAGTAGGTTTTTTTTAATCTTAAAAGGATCCGGAAACTTTCTCTCAGATTTTGAAACAAAATTCTGGATTTAGCTCATACTGCAATGATAATTATAAACCTTTAGGTCAGTCAGGAACCCCATGACTTTTACAAGCCGATCGCCTGTCTGATTATCAAGATATTTATGATTGGAAATCGAAACCAAATTTTGCGTTTTCATAACACTACAGTCTATTGGGGAAAACAAGTATGGTAAAACCGGTCACTCAATGATTTTTACTTTTTGAGGCACTTCTTGATCATTTTGAAGCGCGATTATTTTTTTCGGACTTCAATAATAAACAATATCACAGACACTGACAACACGTAGGGCCGTGCATCTCAGATTTAACATTGTAAAACGATGCCTTTAAGAATGCATACTGGCCTACAAAACAATCATTTGTAAAAACGTTTGATGACCCCTTTGATATCTCTCTCTCTCTCTCTCTCTCTCTTCTTAATTGATGCCTTTTTCGACCAATGATTAAGACCCCAACAAACAGACCAACAAACATACAACAAACAGTGATACGAAGTTGCACGTTTTACGAATGAGAAGTATACAATCTGAATTTGGTTCATCTGAATTCAGTTTTTTATTTTACATGGTTATTTTAATTCTAAGATTTATTTTTAAAGTTCCTGTTTCAACTATAAAAACAATTATGTGCCTGGGATTCGTTTACAATTAGGAACATAATTAATAATGTACTGACAATCAAACAAAATAAATCATAGTGCTAGTCTGCATTTCTGTCGTTTTCTAATTCCAATCCACTCTCATTATCCGCTCTTTCTTTTTCTTTTTCTCTTTCTCTAGGTGGATGGTTGCGACTCAGGAAACGAGACCCGATGAATTCCAGCGATCTCCTCCCAACAATTTATGACATTGATGATGTCCAACATCAAGACACGCCAACATCCGAACTGGTCAATGATTGGGAAGATCCATCATCGGGTAGAGACAACGATGGCGACTACGACGACCATAGCAAACATTTCGAATTAAAAAGCAATGATAACTTTGCCAATGATATGAACAATGCAACCTTAAGCTCCGATGTCACTCATAAACACAACGGACTCGTGGACGACGACGGCGATGCTGACATCATGCGAGACAACTTGCGGACTACTGACCGATTAGTTCGTACGTCAAACGATGACGACGCAGAGCAGGACCAAACTGAACACGTAGCTGCTGAAACCCAACAAGACTATGTACATGTAGATGACAAACAATCAAAGAAAGACATCTCTGACAGTCATAGACGTGGACGAAATCAACTGTTTAGCCGTGTAGATAGCGGCATCAAACGTACCAATCCTCATGAACCCGATGGGAAGCTGCTTCCCGACCATGGTGTCCTAGATATGAAAACTCCTGCTATAGTTCTGAAGGACTCTGGAGATCACCACAGGGAGACTAACGATTCTCAGAGAGATTCACATGCTGTTTCAAACAACGCGAGGAAGACCGCTCTGAACATGAAAGCTATACACCCAGTAACGCAAATGGTGACGAAAGGAGACGTCGGACGTGTTGGATGTTTGAACGAGGGGTCAGGTTTAAAACAAAAGGGAATCGATGATAAGAATGGGATCGAGATCATAGAGAAGCATGCATGGGGTACGACTAAACGCGTCCAGAAACTTCCAAGTCTTCACCTGCAGCCAATCCATCAGGTTATTCGGTAAGTGATCATCTATTTATCTTCTTTAATTTTCTCGAGGTTTACGTCACAACTGAACTGGGGGGGGGGGGGCTTCAGGCAAGTATCGGAGTATGGACATAAGACATTAATCTAACACGCTCTACTCTCATTTTTCATGAAATTGAATTGCTCCAATCTCTTTTTAATTACAAAAGTTGATTAGTTATTTCAAGAAATCAAATTTCTATGAAGTAAAGCGGATGTGGAATGTTCCTTTCTGGTAAAGGAGAAGAGCGCCCTCAGCCGACCTGATCATGCTCTCTGAAAGAGCATAGGTTGGAATAATTAGAAGCCCAAATGTGTATGCTTTGTATATTTTTTTAAAAACAAATGCTTCATACAAAATTTAGATTAGTGCAGATACATGTAATGTCAAAGACATTTCCATGTCTTTGTTTAATAACAACATTTAGTAACGAAGATTTGTTTTCCCCTCTTTTTCTTTTAGCTACCAGCGTCAGGAAACAGCAGGCAGAGGTCTGGTGGGAACCGTCATCGCTGTCAAACCATCTGTCGAGAAGTTTCCAATGCCCTCTAAGAAGTCACAGTATCACAGGAGAAAGGCGTTACAATGGCACGTGGAAGAGGCTCCAGCACTGCACAACAAGATACAACAGTTTCTCTCAGGTAAATGGATTGTTCCGAGGCCAAGATTTTAAATGTATATGACGGAGCTAACTTTCAGGAGCTAAAGTTAAAAACTCAATTACTCACACTCTTATAACTTTTAATTAATATGTGAACAATTGATTTGTCCCGATTTATGTTACTTGAGAGCGTTATATTTTAAAGCTTACATCTAAAAGTATTCAACAAAGGTGTTAGTTTAACCAATCCACCTTTCATTCTTTAGTTACGAAAAAATAAAATCATCAACTCTACGATGAGTATGAATAATTAGTTGTTAACTGTATCTTTCTACGGAGGTTAAGATAATCACAATGATCACGGTCCGAAAGGTATTATTCTTTATTTACACAGCCATTGTTTGATTACCCATTTCGGGGACTTTTTTTTCGAGCGTTTCTTCTAAAATGATTTGCGATTACCCAATCGGGGGGGGGGGGGTTAGCACATGAACACATACTCCAAAGGTAGATGTAAGGTTTGCCCAATTGGTTGGCTGTTGCCGTTTATATGCCTCTCTCTTCTATCTTCCCACAACACATATCCGCCAATGATTATTCGAAGAAAAAAAAATAACTTGATGAAATTTTGAACGAAACGTTTTTTAAATAGCAATCATCTTCTTTCCTATCTCAGAATGTGACGCCGTACCTCGACCAGCGCCAAGCCTTAACACTCGACCCGTCTTCTTCTTCTCCCGTCACAATCCAATAGTCGCAACGTCGACCGATACCGTCATCACCGAACACCGAGTGGAAGAGATGACGAACAGGAGCAATGAAGTGATAGATGATGTCAAGACGATGAAACGAGAAGGGGCGACCTCTGTCATCCGTGGTCACAGCCACAGCGTCGCCATCACGAAGGAGATGATGAACCGCAAACATAGAGTTGTGACACCTCATAAATGAAGGGAAAAGTGTTATCGAATGTGTTTTATCTTCCTCAGCCAGGGGAAGAAATTAATAATGACATTTGTGTTTTGCAAGAAACTCGGTGTTTTATATTTTACTAACACATTCTCTGAGAGTGTGCAGGAAACTTACTTACTGAAATAATTTATCAATTGGAGCTGGATGTTTTGTCGAAATTGGATGTCCGTACACAAATATAGATGTTCTCTATATATATCTTAAGATAACATGTGTCTGGTTTCGAAAATAAAAGAGAATGCACACTTTTACTTTGTATCTTCTTTTCAAAAAGTGTAACACAAAATCCAAATTATGCGATTCTTTGCTTCAGATGATTTTGATTGAGTTCAAAGTACGACGGGCTAATCCCCATCCTAAGGTCATCATAGGGGCGGATTTAAAAAAAATAGTGCTCACTACCCCCCCCCCCCCCCCTCCTGCTTTCTTTGGCCGGCATGCTGAGTCGCTAAATATTTTCTCGCGAAAAAAAAGAAAGTGCTCACTACCCCCCCCCCCCCCCCCCCTCGCTTATTCGGCCGTTCGGCTGAGTCGCTGCTACATATTTCCTCACGAATTGGGCCCCTCCCTTGCCGCCGGCTGGACCCGCCCCTGGGTCATCATGTATAGCTTTGTTATTACTAACGACCTCCTTGGAAGAAGAAAAATGTACGACGATTGGAAGAGAATTTAAGACAAGTATCTTTATCCCCTCCCTCATTACACACACATTCTCTCTCTCTCTCTCTCTCTACCTCCCTTAATCCCCCACACCCACCTTCAACTTCCTCTCTCTTCTTTCATTATGGAGGTTAAATTGACTTTCTTTTTTTTTACCTTTGTCGAAACCGTGGACAAAATCTCGGCAAATACCTTAAAAGCATACAAGTGTGTAACGCCAGAAAGGGGCATATTGCCCCCAAATTGAATGGGAAAAGGAGAGAGAGGGGGGATAGGAGAGCAAAGGGAAGGAGAAAGAGAGAGAGAGTGCGGGAGAGGGAGAGAGAGAGAGAGAGAGAGAAAGGAAGTAGAAGAAGAAGAAGAAGAAGAAGAAGAAGAAGAAGAAGAAGAAGAAGAAGAAGAAGAAGAAGAAGAAAGGGAAGAAGGAGGAGGAGGAGGAGGAGAAGATGATTAGGATGATGAGGATAATGATGATGATGATGATGATGATGACGATAGAAATGTCAAGAAACACGAAAAATCACCTTGAAATACTCTACAACTAGGATTAGTCCACGCAGAGCAACAAATGCCTCCTTGCCGCATCTGCCCGTAGCTTATGTTTTCAATATACTTGTTTTAACTTCATTTCGTGGATTATGGATATAAGACTTTTGTAATAGTCTCACCTCCCTGGTTTAATCGACGTGCCCGAATCAATTAGCTTGATTTGTCAATTCGGCCGACCCAAAAGCTTGCCAGAATACACAGGTTTACTAACCTCAAATGTTATGCAAAATTTTTAAAAACCTGAAATATTGCCCGAGGCTTGCCCGGCACAGCAACATGTAATGTATGCAGGCTGGATTCCAAGTATTGTAGTTCATTCACCAATAACAAGTTAATGGAATAAGTCGTCACTAGGTCCCCAGGAAAGAAACATGCATAAATTTGAATATATTAGTAAACCGGTCTCATTGCAACAGCTAATGTATAGGTGGATTACGGATAAATTGAATTGTTCGTCACCGGTCGTCCATATCAGAACCATGCATACATTTGAATACATCAGTTGATGGGTCTTTTGAACGGAATTCCAGAGAAAGAATAGCATAGAACAGCTCTTTTCAGGAGGCACACTCATTGATACATTGTATTGGCATTAAATGTAACAATGACTCGATTTGAGTCTGCCAACTCGACAATGCTCGGGCTGGGATAATCATGATAATGAAGTTGCGACGAAGTTGTGGCGAAGACGCCCGTGCAGTCGGCATTGACGGGAAAAGGCTATTCGGAACACCTGTGTATAAAGCGAGGTAATGAATTTTGTTTATCTACATGTATGATTAGAAAGCAATCATTCCAATGATAACCTGGCATATATGTGAATGATACCACATATACCACAAGTTGACAATAAACTTAAAGAAAACAAATTATATGCTCATTAAGGGACAAAGGCAATCATGTGAAATTAGGGGTATTTTAAAACTCAGTGATACAGTGATAGATAGAGTCAGTGTAGCATCTTTCGTAGGAATTCAAATTGATGAAACCTTGATGTGGAAGGAGCAAATTCAGAACGTTAATAAGTGTATACGGAGGAAGATTGGACTGCTGTGTAAGTTGAGGCACTATGTGCCTAAGCACATTCTCATGCTCTTGTATAAATCCTTTATCCAACCGCACATACTTTATGGTATTGAAGTTTGGGGAAGTTGCTATAAAAGTCATTTAAATTGCATACTATTGGCACAGAAAATGGCCATGCGTGTGATAACATTTTCCCCATTTAGAACGAGTTCGAAGGCACTGTTCGTACGTCTACAGGTATTAGATGTGCATAATCTGTTCGAGCATTCAGTATCGACATTTGTATATGATCTGCAAAAAGGACATCTACCACATTCGTTGATGGATTACTTTGTTTTAATGAATCACATGTATAGAACAAGAGGGAGAGAACATTTAATGCTACGATTGCCTAAGTGTAGTAAGACACGTGGGACTTTTTCAATTTCTTTCATTGGAGCAAAGCTGTGGAATAATTTGCCCATAAATATAAGAGAAGAAAAAACAAGATCATCATTTCGTCAAAATCTCAGAATTAAACTCCTTAGCAGAGATGAATCATAAGGATCAAATAATATGATATTAGGAAAAAATAAATGTTAATATGACTTTGCATACAGTTTTAGATATTCGGAGAACCAATCCCGACTAGCACTCGTGCTAACTTTTGGTTCTCCCTTTAACAACATTTTTTAAGTTACTTTTTAAGATTAAGAATATCCTTTATTTGAATCACTTATACGTTATTGGAACTCTGTGAATTTCAATTCCAGCCACAAATCTCTACATATTATTAAGTTATAGCTAATTCACAGGTTTGATATGACATGATATATGATTAACTTAATTTGTATGGTTCAACTATAGATATTTTCTTTTTCTTTGTAACCCATGTACATGGATATGTATACAACATGTTATTTTTGTTACCCACTTGAATACATTTTGTAACATTGTGTTATGTTGTTGTTAATAAATTCAAATTCAAAAAAAAAAAAAAAAAAAATACCCGTGCATGGATGTCGGATAAGATCATACTTATGTTTTCAATTTTTATCTCCACAGAAACCTGTAAAATATCGACGAAGACAAGGGTGACGACCATGACGGCAAGTGTTGGATATGTCTAAACATGCTGAAAGGAAGAAGGCGTCATTTGTCTTGCAGAAGTGCCTCGGCTGAGAGCAAGTGTGGAAAACAACTTCAAATCTACAGTTCCTGTGTTATTTCCCTGTTTTTCTACCCTGAGTTTTGCGGTGATGTATGAAATTTCTCATCTATATTTGATATTTCTTTATGTTATAGTATTGGGACCGGGGCAGACCAACATAAGTGTAGTAGAACAATTTACTAACACGAATAATGAATTAATATTTATGTTTCGTTCTGATGGCCCAACATCTACGAAAATGTTAAAATGTGTTAATCATTATTATGTTCCATGCTAATGATGCCTTGAAATGTCTTTGTACGATGATACACTATGAACATGACAGACAATGAAAGCGGACAAAATATACAGTTCCTCGGGTAGACAAAGGAACATCAATTCACTGCTATTATGTAAAAATGTGTAGAACAGGTGAATATGCATGTGACACCTGTTCTACACATTTTTACATAATAGCAGTGAAGGGATGTCCCTTTGTCTACCTGAGGAACTGTATATTTTGTCCGCTTTCATTGTCTGTCATGTTCATAGTGATAAGACTTCGTATAATTATGTCACATTGTTGGGAATAAAGGTGAAAATAACCGGTGCACACACCGCTTACATGCCCTACCTGACCCTCACTGTGTCCTCAGACTGTTCTTGTGTCTATATCATTGAGTGATGATTATATTATGTATGAAAGGCTCGTGTGAAGTAATTATTATGTGATGATGATAATGATGATGCTGTGCAGATGATGATGATCTTTATACAAATCATGAATGTATGGTTTAAGTTAATGCTTATAATGACTTTTTAAGGTATACAATTTATCTATAACTGTCTTTAAAAAAAGCAGGGGTTGTCCCATTTAATGCCACGCTCTTTTGTCAGGAAAACATTTTTGTAATAAAAAGATAAAAGAGAGTAAAACAATTACAATTTTTAAAAAGAAAACTGTCGTAAGATAAGAAAATTGCCCAAATAAAATTAATTTATAAAAAATAACTATTGATATAGATTCTAATATAAGTGTATATTAGGGTAAACTATACACAAATTAATTTGGATGTGACACAGTCTCACAATCCCCTCCACCCAATTCCACCTTAGCAATGATCACCCTCCCCCTCCCCCAAGTAGCCTGCAGGAATTTTGAATGTAGAAGAATTGTTGCGCCAAATGCATCTTCAAAATCATAGTCCGTCTTGCAATAAGCGAAGCCAGAGGTAATTAATAGACAATGGCATTGATGTCGATGACAAAGCTTCATTTATATATGTCTTCAATATTGCGATTTTTGTATCAAAGAGTGTGACTGGCATGATACAATTATAAGCCTTTCAGAGTGTCGATCAAATGAAATAGTTGATGGCAATAAGGTGTTGAGAGCTGTGATATTGATTAAACAGAGGTCTGGGCTTTCATTTTTGTTAATACACATGGGGAAAATGAAAAATCGGCTCTTAACTAGCAAATAATTTCAGGCGCTATGAATTCGTTAGGACATTTTTGTTATTGATTCAAAATAACTCATAGCATAAGAATAATAATTATACTCTTTATGGGATTATGAATTTAGAAGAAAAAAAGAGAGAGCTAGGGAGGGGGTATCTTTACGAAACCGCAAGAGCTGTAAAACGACTTTATTTTCTCAATGGGACTGGTGGATGTGTATTATAGCCGATTTCAGCAGTTGATGCGTGGAAACGCCGCTGGATCCCGGCCCCCCTACTCAGTGTTATTTAGGGTACGCATATGCTCGTACCCTATTTTTAAAAGCACCCCCTATCTGAGGACTGCCAACATTTCCGAACCCCCCTTTCGCGGGCTTTTTGCGGGCTTTTTCTGCCTTGGAGACCCCCCTAAATCAGGAAAAATGCTCAATGTACCCCCCTAAATTCGGAATAATTTCTCAGGAGTCCAAAGAGATGAGAGAGAAAAAAAGAAAAACACCCCCTTTTTAAAGAAATCTCCGGGTGAAAAGTCAAATACACCCCTTTTTTTACAATTCTCGGGCCGGACTTTGTCGCACGAAAAGCACCCCTTTACCGGACATTTTGGCAACACGCATGCGGTCATTTCGACCTCTGAGTGGGGGGGGGGGGGGGGGGGGGCGGGAGCTGGATATCTAAGTTTTCAAGTGTGACGAATGATGGGGGCGTGCGTGGAAGGGGAGGGGGAGGGGGAGGGGGATCACATTAAGCAGGATTTATACTCCATAAGGTGCCCTATTAATTCTGGTATTGTTTCTAGTATCTGACTTAAAAACGACAAAATGTTGCTGAAGGAACTTCGATTTGGCTGCTGCACAGACGATCAAAACTGGGGATCACGCTGACGCTGATGGCGCTTTTTGTAACGGGGCAAATTAACATGATAAACCGATAGATTGGTTGACTAACGTATTTATTTATTTATTTATTTCTAATCTTTTGACAGGGTAGCCCATTCGCCAACAAGTAGTGGTATTCCATGGGGCCCTGAATAAACATGAACATATTTACATCGTTTATAACGTTTATACAAAACAGTTTAGAAAAATAATACTCATTTGCAAAATAAACATATATCATTAACCTAGTAAACAGTAATGTCAATATGAAAATAATTATGTGAATAAGTCATGTTAATATTACAGAACATGCACGTAGTGTATGTTCGGCTGAGCCATTCACAAATTACAACTTTGTTTAAACGATCTCTCAAATTGTGTGCGTACTTTTTATACAAAGGTTGTACTTGAAAACCTGAAAGCTTGCCTGACAAAGCAAAAAATAATTTATAGAGACTGGATTCCGAGTATTGTAGTTCATTCATTACTAATACTTAATGGAATAACTCATTAGGTCTCCAGGAAAGAAACACCCATACCACGGTTTTAATATGTTACTAAGCCGGTCAATTGGATGAATAGGACAGTGCTATTAAAGATGGCCTTGAAATTTTCAAAATAATTTCTCTATTTATTTTAGGGAATAAATAAGTGATGAATAGGCCTACTTAAAGACAACAAGGCGTGTTGAAATTGAAATGTTTTGCAAACGAACGGCGCATATTTTAGCAAATTCGACAGAAAATGTTGCCGAGTCACTCGATCTTTGCATTGAAATAATTCAAACTCTTTAACTTTCAACTCAACATTTCAAAAAACCGTTAAGGAAGGAAAACCTGTGATGAAAAAAGAAATAGTCGAGAGGCCATTTACTACAGTCATTTACCAGTACGATGCGACTGTCATTATAAGACTAATCCGTGCTCACCTCTGACCCTTTTGTGAGAACTGGAGGAGTGTGATCTCAATAAGGATCGATTTGTTTGGGGAACGTTTTCAGATGGAGTAAATAAAGATGAAAGCCAAAAATCGATCTGCTCTTCGACAAAAAGATTGTATTGAAACTCGGCAAGGGGTTGGGAAAATGATGCTATCAATATAATAGCTTTCAAAAAAGGAACGGTTCCCTGGTACATGTCAACGATCTACCAGTGGATTTCTTTTTTAAAATAACAACCTACTTGATTAAATATGTATTAAACCACCCGTCTTTCTTTTATTGTATTTTCCGATGTCTTTTTTGTTGTTGTTGCTGTTGTCTTGTTTATGATTATATTGTGTTTTTTATTCAGTCATTTGCCGGCTCTCTCTCTCTCACTCTCTCTTTCGCTCTCTCTCTCTCTCTCTCTCTCTCTCTCTCCCTCTCTCTCGCCCATCTTGCGTTCTCTTTTTTTTCTCTGTTTATCTGTTAATCTTAACATTTCTTCATCCTTTTTCTCCATCTCTCTTCTTTTTAAATCTCTCTTCCTTTTTTAATCTCTATTTCCCTCTCCCCGTATTGTATTCTCGTTTTGTTATCTCCGTCTCTCACACTTGGAGCGTAGATTTTTTTAAATTTTTTTTTGTTTTGGGGGGAGCAACCCCTCCCTCCAGAATCGCCTTCCCTGTATGACCCACGTTCCCGCACGTTTTGCTTGGTTTCTGTAGACCAGTTAAAACTTTTTAGTGTAGTGTCCTTCCAAGTGTCTAAGAATAAGACGCATAAATAAATAGGCATAATATTGAAGTGTTCACGAGCATCGAAATTTCATTCTTTAAAACTGATTGTTTTCTTTTAAAAAAAATTCAAAGGAAGAGAGTACATATTTTGTTTTAAAGTCCCTTAAAATGTACCTGGATATTCAAAAGACCCCCCCCCCCCCCCCCATTCTTGGCTAATTTTCAAAACGATCTGGGTCAAATTCCAATCGAAATTGATTCGGGGAAATATATTAATAATCAATGTACTGTGAGAGAGTTTTTGGCGTCAATAGTATATTACAAATTAGAAATTTACAATGACAAACCGCAAAATAAAATACCTTTGAATGATAGGTTTAATCGTCTAGTATTTAATTTCCCTTCCTCTATTATGCAGCTTCAATAACATTGTTTTCATGCTCATACGAATGGGAAACTTGAGAAAAGTCGATTGAAAACCGAGCCAGACAGGCTTTGTCAATGTATGTTTCGTCGTCTTTTATGGCCGCTATTGTTAGTCGGTTATTTCGGTTGCCCCCTATGAACTCACGCCATACGCACGGGTCTTTTATCGAACCCCGTACAAAACCGATCAAAAACATAACAGATGTATCTCTGATTGCCTTTTATGCAAAAGCCATGTATCGATTTCGTTAAGAAGGTCATTCGAAACGCTTTACAAGTTAGAATTACAACATTGTCTGGTCTTCGGATGCAGTTTTTAGTGAGGTGAATGTTTAAACTTGTCACCTCGGTTTTCATGTAGACAGACCCAGGGTATTGATTACTACAATCGTCTGTCTACCGACATTACAAATGATGCCTTATTTTGTACACAGCACTATGCAAGTAAAAGACAACAGGTGGAAAGGATTATACCGTCACAACAGGATTTATGTTTTGCATTATTAGTTTTATTCTCTGTCGCATGCATGACGAGATGATTAAGAGATGTAGGAAATTGTTTTAAGAAATATTAAGTACAAGTAATTAATTGGTTAGCTAAAAGAATAACAACAAAAACTTGTCTAAATAATATTGCATTACTCACGTTGTCGTAATATCAAGAATTTCCTTTTAGAAAATAATTCATATTTATACATGTATATTATATTGACAGCAACTGTAATAAATCAAATGTCAACTCTGTTTTGATCTTCCATAGAAATATCCCCTGTAATCTATACTAAGCTAAATTGAATATCACTATCAAATTACGTTACATTATGATACGATTCCAAAAAGTACTTGCTTTAAACGCCCATATTAAATGTATCAGGACGCGTAATGCAGTAGCAACCATCGGCAGCTACACAGTAGCAAAGATCAATTAACATTTCACTTGAAACCTATCAACGACTGCATTTACACAAGTTTTTTTTTAAAGTGGGCAAGAGTCCACATACATGAATAAGAGATAGACAAACGAACACTCGAAACGAAAACGGAGGAAATCGAAAGGACTCCTCTTGAGCATGTTTGCACAAGGTCTATGCTATTGACATAGCCGTTTACACTGTCAATTAGCTAGGCAACCTGACATGAAATTGATGGAAAATCAATGGAAGATTTGCAAATAGACGAATTTTAGCGGGTCATTGCTGATAAATATCCCATTTTCTGCATACGGGTGATTCATTAGAAAGCTATCGTTATTTTATGGGTGTAATCCATTGCCTGTACCGCTATTACTTGAATTGGACAATTTAGATCACATTTTTTTTTCTCATAACATCGTTTGTTACAGGTAAAGCAGCATATACATAATTCCCATTTACATTCGTCATCTAATAGTGAATATCCTAATTTATTTTAATCATTCAACGAGAAGACCTGCATCTTGTTAACTGATTGTCACTTGGAAACCGTTAATCAACAAACTTGATCTTTTATGAGGTGTCACATCGAATCTGAAGTACATTGATGTTATCAATTGATTTTTGTATATGATTAGGCTAAACATGTTTTAACAATGAGTTTGACGGTTCAGAGTCCGCTTTTCTCACCTTTCGTATATTAGACAAATATGAAATCAAAGATATGTTAGACATAATCAAATAGAGTTGTTTATCGTCAATATTGCTTCAACGCAATACATCTATGTCAAATGGAGACGTGCAAAAGGCACCCTTCTCAAAATGTTGCTTTACACTAAACTTCTACTATCACGATGCTTTGTTACTGTTGCTAGGAACAAGCAACAGGCGTCATTCAAAAACAAAATAGCAATAATAAAACGGTAACGTTTGGTCGATGTACTTTGTATTCTCTCTACAGGGTTAATCAGAATTATTCTTCTTGCCAGGGTCCTGAGGCAAAGGAGATTAAAACATTTGTAAGTTTTCGTTTCGGAGCATATAAGTAATCCTCGTTATCCATGCATGTAAGCTACATAAAGGGTTCGAGCAATGACAAACATGTAACATTTTAAGGCTTCTCTAGTGGACCAAAGGACCAAACTTATTTTCTCAAAGAACGCACTAACAATCTCCTTGAGCTGAGATTTCAAGGATAAAACAGTCTGGTGTCTAGTTGCATATGTCTGTTCGATCAAGGATGATGACTATTTTTAGACAAACTTAGATTATCTGATTTTATGATGATATTTATCATTAAGAGTTTACGACTGGTTTCATATTCCTGAAAATTTAGGATCGCACACAACAACAATTTGAATATTGGCTATTGTTAATCTTCATAATTACATTTAACAACTAAATTATTTGTACCCTTGACAACGGTGTAAAGCTATCTTTTTTCCCCATGTCAGGTTGCCACGTATGAACTCCCATTTATTTGATGCCCATTAATCCGAGTCTGTGTCCGAATCATAACCCTGCCATGCTGATGTTGGTATAGAAACATGACTCTCATGCTTGGCAAGTCCTCCAGTCGTACTTGTCCTTGACGCCAATCCGTACGCCATCGACGTCGGATGAAGCGGGGTGTACGGATCGTGCTCGTACTCATCATACTTCCGGTTAACATCACGGAAGGTGATCGTGTTCGCTCCCAGGTTCCCCAGGCTCCGTTTCGCTAGATCAACGTCGTAATCGGAGTCTGGCATATCCCTGATCCGCTCGACGGTCTTCTGCGTACCTGAGATCGACGATTCTTCGAGCAACCGCGCCATGTAGTAATCAACAAACTGATCAGGGTCTGTCTTGACGCTGTCAAGGCTGTTCACATATTCCTGGATCCGTGTCCCGTGCTTGGCGCGCTGGTGCCTCGCTTCGTCAACATCCATGATCGTCAAAGGCTTTTCATCACTGAATATACTCACTGCGCTCTTTTTCCGTTTCGACTTTGCGGCGGACTTGCAACGTCCTGTCTTTGATTGGGGTGAACCTAGACGATGGCTAACATTCGAGGTGGACTCATTGTCGGATTGATCACTGCGTTCTTGTTCGGATACCTTTAGTGAGGTCCGAGGTCTCGAAAATTTGGCAGATGTTTTCCGCTTCTCTGATCTGGAACTGGTACCACTTGCAGTTTTAGGTCTCAAGGTTGATTTCTTTGGCACGCTTATGGAGGCTTTTGCAGAATTATTAACTTGTTCACTTTCCTTGTCGGTCGTGATTTCCCCGGGCAAAGTCTTGTCATTTTGAGTTGTTTCAACAGAATTCGTGTTTGTTTCAGGATTGATTTGATTATTGTTTTCATCCTCTTGGCCATTTTCTTTTCTCTGCGCGTTATCATCCTCTGCTTCCGTTATTTTTATGATAATTTGTTGTGACTCATGTTTATCATGGGGACTTATCTTCTGAGTTCCATCCTTGAGGTCTTTTCCATCTCGTAGGAAGTTATTTTCAGGTATTGATCGCATTTTGTCCGCCACCTCTGAGGTGCTCAGAGGAGCAAGTCTTTTGGTGACACTCGGTAATATTACCTTAGTTCTAGTTCTGTCTACACCGGCTGTACTGGGCCGAACCTTGTTGGCTTGCCCCGTGGCTAGTAGCTTAGCATGGGTGATCCGTTCGATAGCCGTCATTGGTCGAATTGCTTTGCTAGACTTTTTATCTGTTGTAGACGGCTGAGTTTCGTCGCCTGGCAGGTCAGGCCTCGTTGACGATTGCGCGGGAGTCGGGGTTACGTTCCGGTACGTCATCATCCGATCCTGCGACTGTCGATGAAGCGCTCGCTTCTTCGACAGGTCCTTCTCTCTCTGCTTATTGAGGACATCAACAGACGAGGTATTCGTGTTGAAGTTATAGTTATCCTTGGTGATGAGTTTCTTGAGCATCTCCCTGTCACCCTTCATCCTGGCGTGGAAGACTTTGGAATGATGCAGTTTCGTCTGGAAGCGTTTTTGAGCGACCACTTGGTCCATTGCGATGCGGTGTTCTACTCGATGTTTTGAGACATCCAACATGTTTAGCTCTTTATCTAACATTGCATCCAACTTCCAGTTGGCTGAATACACCGAGTGGGATTTCTCACCCACCAATCCCGATTTCTTCTCACCTTTCGAACCCATGGTTGGTTCCTACTTCACAATTTGATCCAGTTTACATCAATGCAGGTTAACATCACAATTTATTTGAAATTCCAGACTTTACTCTCAGAATGTGATGATCCACTTAAAAATATCATAATCCCTTGGCAATATAACAGATGTTTATATTTCCGAAAACTTTGGCACTTTTCATTGGTCTCTTTGTGGCACTATAGCAGTGCAATACAACATAGATGACAGCATCAGAGGGGGCGTTTCGAGGAATATCAGCTTTCTGCGTTGTTCACTTATCTAAAGTTATCTCCTATATTAGACCCCGGTAACAATCGCCTCATAATGTCGATATCCGTTTCACATACTCCGCATAGACGTACGTCATGAGGTTCTTGAAATGTCAAGTGCAACTCCGTAACTGTCCTCTGAGGAGTTCCGTTGTACCCAGGAGATGAAAGATTGCCAGCCCTGGAATAATTATTGATGATCCTCTGTAAACGCATCTGTCATAAAGTACAAAGTCCAAAACATTAGAGCATTATTAATGTTATCGACTTTCTTCTATTAAGTACAAAGTCAAAATTATTACAACTTATTATTTTATTGATATTATCAGCTTTCTTCTAAAGTACTCAATCAAAATTAATTGAGCATTGCTATATTATATATGACATGCATATCTTTTATCGACTTTCTTTTGCTATTTTATTCAAAATTTATTGACCATAATTGCCAAGTTTATTCCAGCTTATTCTTTTAGATATTCTAGCTATATAAAAGCAACAGGTAGATTGGTATTCTTTGTCATATTAACTTACACAGAACATGCAGAATAAATGTTGTTGAAAAAAAAAAATAATTGGAATACATGTAGGCTATAATAGCGAACATCTAATTTTAGAGGCGGCCGACTCATGATCAGTTAAACGTAAGTAGTTTAGATATGTCTCCTCTGCCCTATATCCCCATTTTCATCTCTTTGGTTATGGCAAGCGTTGTGGTATTTGATAACTATATGACCTACTTGAATAGTAATTTATTATTAATCAAGCTTGTGATAATGACTGAGAAAGATGCCGTTGATGAGTAACCTTTGTCGTCAAAACTAATGAACTTTATGCGTCAACTAGTGCACAGTTGTATTTTCTTTTTCTTTGAATATTATATAGACGACATATTATTTACAAAAGGTTGATATTTGAGTTGAGCATGAATACACGTCGAGAGTCCATAATGTCATGGCTACTCGAATAACAAGTGCCTAAATTAAGATGTCGTTAATCATTGTGATCGTTACAGGATGCCAAAATGTACAAAGCGTCTGGGTATATCCGGGTAAACCCATATGATATTCTTAACGCATCTATCGCCCCCCCCCCCCCACAAAAAGAAGGAAAGATATAATAATCATTCTAATAATAATTTTTAAAATCGTCACTAATAGTTTTGTCTATTTCATGACGAATCTCTATTTTACACTTACATGTATTAAAAACACTTATCAAACTCGTTGCTCCATGGTATAAGCATATTGAAAAACAAATGTCCAAAATAAATGTCCTGATGCTCTAATAATTAGTTCAAATAAGCTAGATATTCTGCAGTTTAATAATAAATCACTTCCCTTTTGCTAAGGTTTACTTTAAAATAATTAGTGAAGCATAGAAAATCAAACTCTTTTCAACCATGTACACACTTTTATACATTGTTAGAATTAATTATGAACATATTGCCGAATACATCTAATATAAGTCCAACTAAGATTTTTTAATTCAGGTCTATTGAAAGAAAATTCTTCGTAAAACCAGTCCAAAACTAATACAAACAAGGATTACATTGCTTCAATTTTCAAACATATATATATATATATATATATATATATATATATATATATATATAAAAGAATCCAATAAATTAACAAATATTAACAAGAAACAAAAAGTGAGATTATTAACGAAGGAGAATTCTTCAACATATTGCACTTCAAATTGATAATAAACATAAACTTATAAAACAAATTCAATCATAAAGCAAAGAGAGAAAAGGAGAAATGAAAATGGACAAGCTGGTGAAGACGAAAAAAAAGGGAAAAGAGGGATTTGATGAGGAAAGGAGAGAAAAAAATAAGAGTGTACTCACCGATAATTCATTATAATCGCCCCCAGATCTCCGCGACAGTTATCAATAATATTGACTACCGCTGAATGTAATGTCTCTCTTGCAGAGTAATTATGCTACCACTCCAGCGAAGTTGTTTCGGCTTTTGTATGCGGCTGGTATCAGCGTGTTTTCTCTCGAGAGTGTCGAAACTCAATAGCCCGAGTCCGCTAGAGGCAAGCTAATGAAAAGAGACAATGACGTGAGCAAAATGCATCCTTATTACTACAGCCCCACCTATTGTTATGGCTGTATTGTCTGTCAATTTTCAGCGTGGAGCTGACTGAATCGAAACTTTTGGTCATAGCTGAATGCCTCTCGGCTCTCCCATAGCGACGGGTAGTGTCAACAGGCCCGGGTTGGTCTCTGCCCAGGGGATGTTTGACTTCGTCGGGGATTCCCTGGACCATTGATCTGTGGGGACACACTTAATGATTGGGTGGGACTGAAAAGAATATTTTTTTCAATGTTCACGTACCGTGTCTTCTAAAATGACTCATACATTTGAACTTAACTTTCGTGAAGATTAGACAAACAAATCTGTATTGATTAGTAGCAAAAATAGGTTATATCCTTTCGCTGTTCTTTTGTTGACGAATATGGCGTACAAGGGTAAACAGAGTGACAAACCTAGATAGTGAGTATTATAAATGCAAACTCGATCGTGAAGTCATTCAATAAATCAACTTAAGGACAATTTTAATAGCCAATTTTATTGCGCCTAAGAATCATTATGCCTAATATTTGTATTAATTGTCCATGATAATAGGCACACAGTAGATATAAACAAAGCATCTACATTCATGACTGAAAACAATTAAAAGAGGGAAGCTTAATTGCATTTATGGCGAGTCTTTGTAACTTCGTCATCTCTCAAGAATTTTAAAGAAAAACTATACCCCATTATTTTGGTTTAGGACCAAATAAACAGAAAGAACGAAGGAAAGAAAGAAAGAAAGAAAGAAAGAAAGAAATGAATAAAAGGCCTTGACAATTTGTGTCATTTTTTATAAGCATCATGAGATCATGGTAATCAACATCACTTATCATTACCATTGGCTTTATCATCATCACCACTGAAAACTTACATCATTGCCATCATCATTATCATCATCATCATTATTATCATCATCATCATCATCATCATCATCATCATTATCATCATCATCATCATCATCATCTTAAACATTTCCGTCATCATCACCACCATTATCATCATCGTCATTATGATGATGATCATCATTATCAATGTCATCATCATCATCATCCTCACCATTATCATCATCATCGTCATTATAATGATGATCATCATCATTACCAATGCCATCAGCATCATTATAATCATCATCATCATCATCATCATCATCGTAATTATCATCATTACTATCGTCATCATTATTATCATCGTCAGCATCATCATCATCATCATCATCACCATACCAATAACTTCATTATCACCACCATTATCACTATCATCGACTTTATCATCATCATCATCATCATCATCGTCATCATCATCATCATCATCATCATCATCATCATCATCATCATCATAAATCAGTGGGTTAATTAAGGTGAATCAGTTTGAACATAGTCAACCTTCATGAATACGAGTAAGGATATAACTGCATAATCAATAGCGCCTTCATTATATCTTTCAGGCCCTACGTATTCTTCCGGTCCATTAATACGTTCATTAGGGATGCCATCCCTGATTAACGTCGCCGTTATTATCATATCACACTCATAAAGAACGCTGTCACTCCGGTGTTTTTCCATACCACCACAACCTCCATCATCACTACCACCGTCATTACTCTCTACACACGCTAACATTTTGAAAGATTCACATTAGAGATTGCTTGGAATTAGTATTGGTGAACGATGATTAGGGTCATTCAACCACTACTCTAGGCACTGTTTCATAAAACTTGCTATTAATAACAAATAATACATTTCTATATCCCAATTTGCTCTCAGCCATCAGATGCCACGATTTCAGTAGCTTATAACAGTTATTGTAATTTGTTATTTATAACATGTTTGATGAAACAGAACTTGAAAGTGGATTCCACTGTAATTTGTTGGGAGTCAATGTCAAGAAAGCAATCCCTTAAATGCGAGTCCTAAAGAGAATATTTCCACATGTCCACATTAAGAGAGTATCGTCACTGCAATCACAATCCTCGTCAATTCTTACAATATCCATCAAAAGAATTACACAAAAAGCCTTCAATGACATATTAGTACACTCAGTTTTATTTTATTTTACAGATGTGAAGCGTACATAGCACCCAAAACGTTACCATAACTTTACATTAAATGAATTATTTACATTTATGTCGTTTTGGGTAATTTTTTATACTCTATCATACCAAAATTAATGCATTATCTTAAAAGCATAGAATTAAGAAGAAAACTATCTTGATTTTTTTCCAAAATATCAAACGCATATTCAATACAAGATCTCTTTTTTTCAAATTTTAAATTGAGTTAGAAATCGACACGTGATGATTATTTCTATTCATTCAATTATTAACAAAAAACGCTGTTAAAGTATCACCGGGCAAATATCATACACGTTAATACATTGTTCCTTTATTTTGTAACTACATGTACTAAAAAGGTTCGCCATAGCAGCTCTTTGATAAAAGCAGTATTTAACCCAATATGAAAAAAAGTTATATATTTCGCACCATCAAAGGTGTTCTATTAAACTTCCATCATGATGTTAACATTGTTATTATCTCACCTACAAGGGTGTATAATGAAAAAATACTTTAAATGGTTTAATATTGCACCCCTACGTCAAAACAATATCTAAAGTTTAACATTACCGGTACATGTATTCCTTAGTGTGTAAGATAAAATTAATACACTTATTATTTCCCGATGTTCAAATTTGTTAGGGTCTACTTCAGCTCATAGTTCACAACTAAGAATTAGCAAAAGAATTATAGTAATGTGCGAAGATTTTCTTTTCATCTGGGTTTCCTTAAATTAAACAATATTAGAAGAAGGACATTATTTGATAAACGTCATCTTACGAACAAACAAAAGTTATAAAGATGAATGCGATGGATTTTTTTGTTCTTGATCGTCACAACTCCATTAATTATTAACCATTTAAGGTGGGATGCGAACGGCGAATCCAGAATTTGAAGTCCGCACTATTGGAATTGTCCAAAGTATAGGCCGGGGAAAGTGCTAGATTTTATACTATGGAAGTAGCCCCACCGTCTAATTTAAAGTTTAAATTTAATTTTAATAATCTCCACCACCGTGATCATCCTCTACTAGCTGAAAGCCGACGATCCCCGAACTTCGACGTCCGGAGAAAGACTAGGGGTACCATCGACATTATCGACTCGCACGGATTTCCTTGGATCCCACCATCTTCGGCTTGCAGCAGGTAGAGGATGGGAGAGATCACAATCGCGAAATAAAATAAAAACCGTCCAGATTCTGGACAACCCCAAAACAATGCGAACGCACTCACACCCTCACACCCCCCACCCGCCCGATCCGTGCCCCTTGCGACAATAATGAAAAAGTAATATGTTACCTTGATTACAATTGTCAATTTCATGGATACAAATATGCGAATCCCGCATCATGCGCAGCCTTAATTTATTCTGACATGTCATAAAGTATAGTGCATCCATCTCATAATTGCTTCTTCGAATCCGTTGCTTTGAATGTAAATCTCAATGATTAAGCTATGTTGAATACAAATGTCAGTGAATGCATTATTTTGAATGCAAAATCCAATGAATGCATTTATTGCAATGTTTTGAATGTATATTACAATGAATGCATTGTTTTGAATGCATTTTGCAATGACTACATTGTTTTGAATGCATATCGCAATGAATGCATTGTTTTGAATGAATATAACAATGAATGCATTCTTTTGAATGTATATTGCACTGAATGCATTGTGTTGAATGCATATTACAATGAATACATTGCTATGTGTGTGTGTTCAACGTTGAATTTCTTTACTTTGTTTTCGTACACACAGTCCCGTCACATAATGCGTGGTAGCTGCATGCTACAATAATGAATTTCCAATGATAAAGCATGAATTCAGCATAACTTGACTAAAACAGTGAAGACAAAGTATAATTCGAAAATACAAAACAAGACAACATCCTTTTTACATTATCTTTAGGCCGGGTGTAGTGTCGATAAGAGCATATTATACTTGTAACAAAACATAGGATATAATAGATTCATTTCAAACAGCAGTATTATAATCCTGTCACATTTACAACTATTTACACATAATAAGAATGGAAGTATATATGTTTCAATGCAAGTGTTCTATGTACACATTATTCGGTGTTAGGCTTTTCTCTTTCAGGAAAAACCAAAGATAAATTATCTGGTAAAAAGTTTGCTAACTATGTACATTGTAATACTCACATACTCTACCGTGAACCTATTACGTAATCATTTACTCATATGAAATACAACATATTGTTTGCAGCCACAAAAGCCAAAATGCCATCATCTTCTTGCATCGAATTTTAGGATATCTTGCAAATAACTAAGATCGTGCACACTTCGTCATATTCTTTTTCATAGAACAGGGATTATGCATTTCAATTTCATGGACTAAGATTTCCAAACGTGCTCACATTTTCAGATCTTCTTACAAGAAATAAACTATTAAGCAACTTGGTTCCACTGAGATGATTTTAAAGGGGGTTATTACACCTCATATCGCTCGTTGTTAGGATGCACAGTCCTGACAAACATAATATTCCTCACGACTGCTAAAGTCGTTCTTTTTGAGGCTCTCTACAATACAAAGCATCATTATTATTTCACATTTACCTGTTTAGAATTATGCAGGCATGTGTACTGCAGTTTTATATGAATATTCACTCACGGCAAATGAACAAATTCGTTCAAGAAACAAGTATTCTACATTTTCTTTTCTTTTTTGACGTAGTGTATACTGACAGATGAAACGTTTAAATAAATGTTTATATACTAAATTTTCCTAACTAAAATACTCCTTGAACATGCAGTTCATTTTGGCCATCATAACCAGCCTGAAATTCTTTTCACACAGTCTTTCTTTCGCGAATCTAATCACTATGAGACGCGCGAGGTCCGTTTGTGGTTTACAGTGAGGGTTACAAGTGGCACTCCATATATAGTCGTCACATTTCCGCAATACTTTTTGAAAACAGCTCATTATGTTCGTAATACCAGCTCTCCATATATACTAGGAACTGATACATGCTTTCAAACCATGAAGTTATTTTTTTTCATTAGAAATTAAATTAACATTCAAAGAATATCTCAAATGTTCTTGAAATACTCGAAATTATATTTGTAAATACTAAGTACAACCAGTTCGTAACAGGCAATTTTCTGAAATTTCTTCATTAATTTTAAAATGAAATCATTACCATTGGTTACATAACGAAAAATGAATGCTACGTGGGCAGTCTCGCAAACGTAATTCCATGATATAAATAATCATTGGTAAAAGTGATGTCATTATCATCGAGGTTAATGGTATAATACTCTAATTCATGCACGTCAAGTCAATTTGAAACCACAAGTCGTACATGCCGGTGAATTTTATACATGGTAATGCCGAAAACACTGATGACAAGCAACTTTTTTTTCATCGTTCCTTACAACTTTAAGGTCTGGTCTTGGACGTTGCACGCTATGCTGCACGCTACGCTGTTTCGATTTCCGCGTCGATGCCCGCTGCGATGTACATATCGTCGATGTCGTTGAATACGATATGGTGTCATCACGCTTAGAATATTTTCGCGAGCAACAAATGCGAAAATGTATTGGAATCCTCCTCGTCTGACATTTCATAATCTTCAGCTTAAATAAGGTAAAAACTGCATCTTTTTCTTTCAGAATTTTGCTGCCATGCTTCTGCATCATGTGCGGGCGCTATTCAATGCGCTTCGTAAGAGCAATTGATTGGGAGAGTTTGACCAACCCTGTTCGAGTTTGGCACGATATGGCGAATATTGCTTTGTTGGGCAAGCACAAAACAAGGAAAGTATACGCCATGTTGTGACCAAGTGAAACTTAGTTGGCCAAACTCTGTATATAGATGGCTCTGCGCTTCGATGATTTGATCTACCGATGTGGCAGCTTATAGTTGATTGTTCTCGCTTTCTTTTCCAAATATCAAGAGATATCTCTGCTCTCCGTGAATATAATTGTAGGGATACCTAGGATAACTTGCGTACAACGAGGTTCTTATTGAAAGACCTTTATCATATCTCCCCATGTAAGACATGAATTCACACAAGGGTCCATCCAAAGTAGACAATTTATTGAGAAGTTCTTTTCCTCTAGCTTCCATATGGCACAGACCAACAGCGATACACTAAAGCTTGTAAATCGTTGCCACACTTCGAATTAGCACACCTACTTTTCTGTGGTATTAACACATCTATTGCAAATGTGCATCCAATTCTTCAGAAATTCATGTCTAATCCATCAATTCGGAAATACAACTGCTCCTCGCTATTGTTTGATTGTTTTTGGCCATAGCGTTCATTCTCATTACAAAATTTAGTCCAGACCTCACATCTTCAATTGATCATTTCTTCAGAAGTACTGTTTTTATAGGATTGATGAAACGATCATATCAAACTCTGTTTCCAACCAAGCTGTGGCAGCTTTCGAAGATTCCATGTTCAACCGTCGGCATATCGTCGTCTATTTCTCCCTTTTTCATCAATGGGTGCGTAGTGCACTGAAATCTAAATTCCTCCATAGTTGTCGGGTTTACGGAGGCTTTTTCACGTCGCTCGTTATAACTTGTGGGATAACGATATCCTTGTCAGTGAAGTCATTATACAAACGAAAATGGCAAGTGGTCAATGCGAAACATCAACATTTTAAAACAACGGTTCTGTCGTTTCACACTGCATCACACAGCAATTTGTGCTTCTGAAGTTCTTTCCCTATCGGCTGCAGTTTGGCTAGTTTCGGCGGCCAAGAGCGTGCTCTTTTTCTGCGATCGGCTTCCTCCGGGACCGTTTCGGAAACCTGACGAGTAAGCCGGTCGACCGTTGACATTTGACATGACCCGACTCCCAACTTCTTCCGGGGCGTAGCCATGGATTATGCTGAAGACCTAGGGGATGAAAATGGGAAAACATGACGATTTTTTTCTTCTTCAAACGTGTATGAACGTCATGCCAGACGGACCTGGGCCCCGTTGCATAAAATTTACCATTGATGGTAAAGTTACCATCAATGGTAAGTTTTGTGCGACGGTGCCCTGGTGCGATTATTATTATTGTTATTACACAGGATAATCTCTAAATAATCTTAGATTTATAAAAAAAATTATAATGTTTTTTTTTTCTTTTTCAATGAAGAAAACATTGATGAAAGACCTCTTAATTTTAAAGTTAATGAATATATCATCTTCACGCATCTTAAAATTGAATATAAAGAAAGGAAAATAAATAGTTTCGATGAGCTTCACATATCATGTGTTTTTTCAAAATCCGTAACAAAGTCGTCATCAAAATGCACCATGTATTTTGATGACAACTTTGTTGCGGTAGCATCATACTAACATCTGAATCTATACATATAGGACAGAGAACTGTCCCAGTGGAATTAAAGTATTAACCATTACGGATTTCACAATAATTATTATAACGGGGAAAGATATAAAACTCCCTATATTCAGGAAGGTATAATATAAACAGACAATCAGATGTTAATATTTTACAATATGGTCACAAATGTTGTCCATGTGACGTGTTACTCGCCAACATGACACATTTTGATTTTTTGTTTCAGATTTTGAATCGGGGGGGGGGGGTGTGAGTGCCCTAACCCCGCCACTTACCCCCCCCCCCCCCCCCCTGGGTAACGGCTACAAACTTACTTTTGGCAGAAAGAGCAGAGCAAGGGTTAGCGTTGTACAGAAGAGGATGAGGCCTGCTATGATGGCGTAGCTATAACTGCTATTCTCGGCTAAGAGGAAGGAGAGAGGCACACCTAGCGCGCTGAAAATTACTACCGTGTAGATCGATACCCCGATATACCGGCTATCGTTCAAGGCAGGAATGCTCACGTTCCTGTAGATGAAAGGAAATAAAAGATACCATTTCACAAATCAAGGACTTAATTGAAAGAAGTTGAAAGAAGATCCAAGACATTATTAGGAATGACAGGAATAAAAACGTCTCTGACATATTTCTTTGGCTCGTTGCTGGTTAAATTTTTATTTCGGAAGCCCGTTACTTTAACCCGCCCAGATAAACATTCATGACAAAAACATATTACATTCCGCCCTTCACATTTTAAACAAATTGTAAGATGTCAGTGTAGATTTGAATACCTGAGAGCAAAACGTTTTGAGGGAACAACAATGCAGGATAGCCGGGTTATTTGTCTAATTCGATTTCCCATCAAGAAATGCTGTCTAGTGCGTTGGCAATTTTCAAGGAAATGTCTTATTCTTGTCTCACTTTTCATCAGGTTACAAAACGTGATCATACGAGTCGTGCACATGACATGTCGGCCCGTATGTTTTATTTAATTTGTAAAATGGATGTCGACAAGCACTTTCGGTAATGGAGCAACGTCCGAATTTGGGGAAACTTTCTGCTAGCTACAAAACGTGTTATGTATTGTTCGTGTTTGCGATGTAATAAATACAGTGGCGGAAGAACAAAAAGAATACTTAAAATAGATCCTCAGAGTACAAACATACGTTTAATATTATTTTGTAGTCATGTTTCAATGATGAGAAATAGCGGATTAACATAAAATTTCCCTTGTATTTCAGTATGTAGTTGAGAAATATTGATCAATATAAGTTTTCGTAATTTGTTGAGCGGGTGGTCAAGATATTCACATCTGTGTGACAACCACTCTGTCGTATAAAGGGACTCTATTACTAGAGACGGTCCCATTGATTAGGATATTTTGACCAACCCGGTTCGCGTTGGGCACAATATGGCAAAAATTGCTTCGTTGTGCACACATCAAAAATAAAATTATAAAATAAGTAAATAACATTTAAAAAAACACGCCTTGTTGTGACCAGCTGAAACTAAGTCGGCAAAACTCTGTGTAATAGAAAGCTATGACTGAAGATTATGTCCCTATAAAGTGACACAAGCTGAAGATATGGTCTACCGCCATCTACGGTAGTCGGGTGGAATCAGATGAATGCGGTGCGTACTGGTCAGCCTTCAGCGAGAACGAACAATGGTTGAGGGTCGTTGTCATGCCTGGTTGGTGGTCGATGGTGTGGATGGTATTGGCCATCGGGAGCGCGAAGTCGTCACTGCAACATTGTTATGAATGACAAAAGCCATGTTACAGTGCCGACGTCAAGCCCCAAATCGCCCTTGTTTCGAAGTCATCATCCTCTTCAACATCGTCATTCTCCCTTTCTCTCCGGTCAGATCACTTCTTGGACTTATCCATGTCAACATCGCAGGGTCTCCTCCTTCTCCCTATTCTTTGTCTATCCTGGCCCGGGACTTTTATCTGTCTTCCATTTCTTCCTATGTGCTGTTCTTATTTTTTTCATTCTAAATCTTGGATTGTCTTAGAACAAAATAACGAAATTGTCATCACACATTACGATGTCCTTTTCTACTCTATTGTTCCTTAAATTTGAATTCAGCATGTTCAGGGAAATTGTCAACTGTTTACATTTTTACATTTATCACACTTATATTTAAACTTGTTTCAAGAAATATAATGTACTACTGACTGTCCAGCACAAGAAATAATATCAGACAGATTAAGTTTCTGAAAAGTAAATAAATCCCGTACTTCCAGAATCCAAACAGAAAGTTTTTACTCTGTTTTTTTGTATTCATTACGCTACGAAACCATCTTCTTAACCGCCATCCCCTTTTATTTCAGCCTTATTCCCTCCACATATCATCGGTGTTCATCTCACTAAAAGGCTTTAAGGGTCATGGTATGCGATATCATTTTTCTTTTTTAGGAAGCTTGCATCCTGAATACACACTCTGCTCGGGGTGCATGGCACAATATTTTAACTGCCCCGTACTCTCTGCTTTAACTGGGACATTTGTTTTACGCCGACAAAGAAGCTGAGTATATCCAAACATCTAACATGTCTGCAAACAATATTAGACAAAAGGAGATTCGATTCAACTTGACATTTTGTATCAAGGGCACCATAGGTGAAACTATCTTGCAAATGATGCAATTGAAACACTTCAAAACAGCTCCCTAGGCAAATGACGGCTCAGATCCAAAGTTTTAAAGGGCAAGAGGTTTTCCCTCCTGTGTGTTATGAAAACACAGGACTCTAAACGAATAGGCAACCCTGTTTATTTTCGATCTTCAAAAGAAACTCTTTTTGTTCTTACTTCTTTGAATTTGAATAGATATAGCTCTTTTTTTTTAATTTTCAAAAATGCATTCCAAACATATTATTTCAGGTGTTTCAACTTTTTGTGTCAAGAACAAACGTAGTGACAATGACTATTTTCATATTGTGATGTGCTTCACGTTAAAATGGCCCCGCCACATGACATCACTAATGGCACCGTTTTAAATGTGCCGGTGCCAAACGGATTATGTTATGTTTGATGACAAGTTGGTCCACTGGGAATCATGCGGGTGTTCATTCATTTTCATTAATTCATTTCATTTATTTCAAACACGGTCAGAAATATAAACAAATCTGCAACTAGACTGGGTTACAAATGGGCTGTGAAACTAATACAATGGAATATGGAGTACAAATACAAATACATTACAAAATACAAAAAGTACATATAAATGTATGAACATTATGTACACCTGTATGTACAAATTGGTGTGAGTACGTGTGTGTGTGTGTGTGTTTTGTAGCCATCTTTAATGCAAGAATCAGCTATATCAATAATAATCGACAAATAATGGTGTATGGTTGTTTTAAAAAAATAGCTTCTTAGGGAGCTATAGTAAACGAATGTAAAATAGAATGTAGCAGTCTAAAATAGAGTCAATCATACTGAACAAAAATTTGTTTATTAAAAATAGTGCGTTAGATCATTTCGGAAAGACAATCATCATACTTCATTTTTATTGATCTCACCATTTTCTTCTAAAAAGAACAGTCAAAGAGGTGCATGAGTAAGAGTAGGAGTATAGCATACTTTACCTTCGTGGAAAATCTAGAAACATAACAAAACAATTCTGACCTCACTATTCTTCTACAACCATATGAAAAAAGCAACTAGATGTAGGAGTTTAAAATCAAGAATGGGTTTTGTTTGAATAATAACAGAAACAAGTAAAAACCACTTGAAACAGAAACAATGGCGCCGCTAAAATGGCGCCTCTTTCATGACGCCGCTTAAAATGGCGCCTCTTTCGTGACGCCGCGTTGCTTACCTTGTCTGCCACGTGATAAATGTACCAAAGATGAGTAAGAGACCTTTGTAGATGAAAAGCGTCCAGATAAAATACTGCTCATATCTACTGTCGCACGTGTGCTGCTCTGTTTTGAAGATTAAATTCGGTCTATCTGGATCAGCCTATATGTGAGAGTGAAGGAAACAGAGAGAAAGAGTGTGTGAGACAGAGAGAAAGAGAGAGAGAAAAAAAAAAGAGAGAGAGACAGACAGACAGACGGACAGACAGATAGAGACACAGAGAGAGACAGAGGGAGAGACATAATAATAATAATAATAATAATAGCTCACATTTATAATGCGCCTAACACTTTGTTTCTACAGACAGACAGAGAGGTGCATGGGGAGAGTGAGAAAGAGAGAGAAAGAGAGAGAGAAAGAGAAAGAGAAAGAGAGAGAGAGAGAGAGAGAGAGAGAGAGAGAGAGTGGAGAGAGATTTAGCAAGAGTAATACAAATAACGTTTGCATGATTCTAAAGATAACTTTAATAGTTGTTGTAGAATTTTCCAAAACGATTTTTCAATATATTTCGTATCGTGTGTGAAGAAAAACTTTCGTTTAAACATGCAACGACGAACTTGGAAAGTATATAAAAAAAGTGCCATAAAAAACATTGATTCCCGAACATCATTGTCCCATAAAATATAAGTAATAATATTCTGCATCCATAAAGTTGTCCCAATAACGATTCAGATTCTTTAATGATATTTAATACGGAGAAGACGAAAATATAAGTCCTATGATCTTTACAATTACTCATACGCTGATGGATTTTTTCCAAGTATGCATCAAGAATACCCTTGAATGGAATGCGGTTTCGAAAAGGTCAGAAGCGATTTAGGTCGTCATTGAGAGCAAATATCCTTACTAACTGGAGAGGGACGTATTATAATTAATCATGTCATTCCAACATTCATTTTGTAAGTACAGGGCGACGATACATTGTCCCTAAGCAAAGCATAGCTCGTGGAAATTCCGTATAATCCGCCTCTAATTTCCAGCTCATGAAGATGAGACGGTGCGAAGGGAATATGAGCTTCCTCCGCAGACTAAACAGATTTGAATCACAAAGATAAAGATAAAGTAAAGTTTAACAGATGATGAAGAAATACAGAAGACGGGGGGGGGGCGGGGGGCGACGAAATGCCGCCGCATGGAGCGATTAAGTTTAAATCCCGTGATGTGACGGGCAGATTAAATACGTCTTAGACTAATTCAGGTCGGGAGAAACTACGTGCTCCGCTTGTGCTTTGATTAATTGAAACAAACTGAATCCCCGATGAAAAGAGTTCATCTACGGCTCATCTATCAAGCAAAGAGAAAAGAAAATGATCAAAATAATTCCCTACTCTCTAACGATGGCCTACTAATCCGGAACGAGTAGAAGGAGCTGACAACAATATTAGTTAGAGACATTATTTTAAGGAGAGAATGTGCACGATTCTTCCGTTCCAAACCGAAGCCTTAGGCTAGACTTGGATTAATGTCTGTGCCCCGAAATGGCTGTTAACCTTGATATATCGTTTGCATATTTCGGCAGACGGTAATGTGGTAAATTAGGTTGATATCGGGAAATATCGAATAGCAGCGCCACGGAACAACAGGCCATTAAACACTACACGATTAATGCGATGAGTAAAAAAAACTTCTTCGAATTAACTGGATTTGAGGGGAAATATGTTTCGAGTTGCCACATTTCTTTAAATTGCTGCACATATCTATAGCAATGACCGATTCATGGGTGTGACAGACACGTGTATTTTGGGCCTTCGGAGAAATTCAATATTAAACTAGACGCCAAAGCCTACATTATCTCTGCAATAAGCCTTGGGAATCGAGCGATTGAAAATGAGTAGTTTTACGACGAAGCATTGCTTTTGTATTAGAATGACGATAGATCTGTGCCACATTTCATGTTACCTCCGGGGATACATAGCTGCATCCATCAATAATGTGCAGTATATATTGCAGAAGATACAGTTACATAGATTTAAAGACATGTTAGTAGAACAAATCCGAAGAATTTGGGTCACATGGGGTGTCGCTAGAAATTATACACCTTTTGGCAGTCCCACCCCCCCCCCCGCCCCAATACCCCGAGCAGATTTTCCAGATATCTATTCTGTTTGCTTGTGAATAGCAACAAGAAATACCGCGAATTAAAAGCTGCCCCATTATGTTTCATGGTATATTAAACGGAAGAAATGAGCGAATGTAATGTGAATACTAAATGCCCAGGAGGAGGGTAATGCAGTGAATAATAATTTGAATTTGTCTGTATTACATTGAGGAGTAATGTTTGATCTCATAATCATCATTCCTTCAGCTTTCGCTTTCCTAATACCGGACGTGCTGAATTGCGGATAAAAATTGTTTCAGGCGTTATACTTATCATGGATGCAATGTCTATTTTAGATTCAGTTAATGCTAACTGGACCGATAATTGCCATGTAGAAAAGAAAACACGAAAAACAAAACAAAGCAAAGAAAGAAAGAAAATTTATGGGAAAAAGAGGACAGTTTCGTTTACTTAGAAAACCAATTTCTTCCTGCAATCTAAAACTCCTCTCAGTCTGATGACTTTTGGCAAAAAGCTACGGTCCAGGGGGTGTTTCACAAAGACTAAGACCGACTTAAGTTGGACTTGAACTATGGCAGGCGATTTATGCCATTAAAAAGTCTTGAACCAGATGTAAAATTAGAGGAAAAAAACTTAACAATTATGGTATTTAGTTTATGTTTTTTCTTTCAACAATAAACTATCAAAAAATAGGAATTCTGTAGATTTATGACGTCCCTTGAGAGACTAATGGTGAGAGCAACCAGTGGCATGAATGGCCTGCCATAGTTCAAGTCCAACTTAAGTCGTTCTTAGTCTTTGTGAAACACCCCCAGTACAGACACGAGACCACTCACCCTGACTTCGATGATCTCTACTTGGACTTGTAGGGGATCGATGATCTGCCATACCATGAGGACGGTGATGTCGATGAGGAGTAGAATGCCCACCATGGCGAATAGACGATAATCCTTGATTACCTATAGGTGAAGAGGATGAGAGGGCGTGGTCAGATGGAGGGTGTTGGAGAGTGATAAGAGAGAGAGACACGATAGAAAGAGAGAGAGAGGGAGAGAGGAGGTGGGAGGGGGTGGGTTTGTAAAGAAAAAGAGAAAGAAAGACACACTCACTATGTATCTCTATCTCTCTCTCTCTTTCTCTATCTCTCTATCTCTCTCTTTCTCTCTCTGGTAAAACACAGATAGCACGTTATTGCTGGTAGGCCCACTTTATTATACAACGCTGTCATTAATTTAAAATCCTGATAGTTTTAATGTTATCAGTATCATATGTTATTTAGAAGAGATTCTTTCCAAAAATGAATTTCTTAAAATGCAAACTTTTGACAGATCGATACATGTTCGTTCTATACCAATCATGACAAATACAGGGGGGGGGGTGTGAATGTGTTTGTGTTCGCTGTTTTCAGAGATAAACAAAGTTTTGAATTTCTCTGTTCTTAAGTAAGTAATGTTATTAAGAACCTTGGTAAAATAAGAAATCAATTCACTTGATGTGTGCATTTAGCAATCTAAGACCACAATGGAAATTAAATTCAATCGTCCTAAACTGAATGCCTTGGCAAGTAGAACGCTGTTGTGGTCAGCATATCGCTTTCTTCCGACGACAACAATGATTGATTTAGTTGGGCGCTGGGGGCGGAAAACGAAAATTGCATTCCGACTGATTGATACAAAATCAGCAATGTTTCCCACGAGGGAAATACAATCAATGTAATTCTCATAAACTCTCAGACTGATTCTTTGACCAACAGTTTCAATCATCATTTTGAAAGAACAAAGGACGACTAATTTTACTTAAGGAGTAGCACGTAGGAACTTAGTACGAAAACCAAATTGCTATTCCTTTTATATATATATATATATATATTTTTTTTTTTTTTTTTTTTTTGGGGGGGGGGGGGTCCACCTCTTCTTTTGAATAATATTCTTCTGGTTAGTACAGTGTACGATGAGAGCATCGAAATTTTGAGACTCTCTCATGCACCGTTCCCCTCTTTCCTTAATGTCAAGAGGGGCTCCAGTTATTGAATACAGAGTGGATTTTTTTTTGTTTAATGCAAAGTGTTCAGTCTTCGAATATTTTACTATTTGCGCGTAAGTGTTACATAATTCTGCCTTTTTCTTTGAGGACCGGTTGAATTTCCAGTTATCCTATAGGCCAAAAGGCCATCGAGGGCCCTGGAGAAGGAACGCGGAGGAGGCCTGCGGAACGTTGCCGCAGTGATCTTCATTCAGCCATTATGTAGTGCTGTAGCGGGACTGTAGCTCCGAGGCAAATAAGGTTTACTTATCGAGAAAAAATGGTCACGGCTACTTTGTGCACTGCATGTCTTCTGTCGTCATGACATTCTCTCTCTCTCTCTCTCTCTCTCTCTCTCTCTCTCTCTCTCTCTCTCTCTTCGCCCTCTTGTTCAGCGTGGGCTTTCGGGACTATTATTGAGAGAACTCCTCACGAAACAAATATTTTTTCAGACAGGATGAAAAATAGGATTTTTTCAAAATAGTGTAAAAATAGATGTAACACTTTTTCCAGTTGATGGATTACCTTTGTGATTTGCTTGGCACGCTTGGCCTTGTTTTTTTTACGGAGGTAAAGGCCAGTGTTTTTATACTCGTACTTTAACATGGTAAAGACCAAAATCAGGAAAACGGGGGCGCTACCCCCATCATAGCCTCGGGGTAGCGTATTAGGTCTACCTTTGCAGGGGAGGGGTGGAAGTCGGGAATGCCATAGAGGGGGTATGACCCCCTCTTGATATAAGTATAATTATCTACCCTGCCTCCCTCACTCTCCCCTACCCTCTCTCTCTCTCACTCTCTCTCTCTCTCTCTTCCACTCCTCTTTTTGTCTGCCCCTGAATTGGAGCGGCGTTGGGGGGGGGGGGAGCAAGTCCCCCTTCTAATAAAGTCTGTTCAGGAAAACGACAAATGATATAAAGCTGGTATCAGGTTTTTCATACAAATATATGATTTACTTCCCTTATTCTTCGTGATATATTAAAATCGATTTTTAAAGCACGGTTTATAGTGATATAAAACAAGCTGTGAAACAGTTTAAGAAAATAAATCATGTACACGCGATAGATTAGAATGCGAAAAAGATAGAGAATTATAAGTATAAACGAATGAATGGAAGTGCTTTCAGAAAATTACAATACAATAATAACTATCCTACTTTCCGCGGTCTCAGTCAACATGTTAATACAGTATAAATCAGATTGTGATGCACAAATAGAATAATAAAGTAAAATAATTTCATAAATAAAGGTGGGGAAATGAATCAAAAGGAAGGGTCAACGAAAGTGGGGACAAATTCGAACTCTGAACAACAGGCTTCCAGGAAGAATATATAGATAAAGACCTGAATGTACAGGATAGCTGAAAATAACAGGAAATGTAAAATATCTTTTGAAGAAACAGGATTTCCAGTTATTGTCAGTTCAGAGAGAAACGAGTGGAAATATCATCGAATATTGGGAGAGGAAATTATCTCTAGTGGAATTCTTTTATTTCAAAACGACATCAAATGCGCTAATGGGAATAGCAAGGTGTTTCGAGATCATCCGGCGATATAATTGCAAATAGATGTAAATCAACAGAATATTATGTATTTCGCCGGAGGCAGCCTTCAAACAAATTCATCTTTTTTTTCTCTCAATTGCGTTTATACATGTAGAAGGGTCTGAGGACTTACATTATGTATGGGGGAACCGTAAGAGCTACTCTAGCTAAAAGTGAGTGATCTCCTCTACAAATGGGAATATTATATGGGGTGGGTCTTCTCTGGCTGAAGGCATTTTATCTGAAGATAATTTCAAACAGGATTAAATTTATCCCTTTCGTGCCGATAGAGATATGATACTCCTTCAATGTCGCGAAGTGTTTCAGATAATAGGTAAAATGTGATACTGCTTCAATGTCTAGAAGTGTTTCTGTAACAGCTAAATGTTCTATCACCGAATACACTGCTTTAGTGATAAATATTTAAAAGGTTACAATCAATAATTTTCCACTAAATATGCAACCATATTTTTTTTAAAGAATATGAGCGTTTTTGATCATTTTTATTTCTTACCCTTTTCTGCAGTTTCTTGTTTGTGAATATGCTGTATACTCTCCATGTTTTAGAAAACATTGCTCCAAATGATAGTGTGAAACCTATAGAAAATATCCACGTTCTGGCCTGTAAGAAAAATAGTAAAAAGAAGTTGTTATTGAATCAAGTATTTCAATGCCGCGGTATCCTTTTCTATACATCTTTATTTTGTCAAAGATATTCTGTGACTAAACATGTGGGCATGGTGTTTACATGTGTGGAATAAGAGTTCCCTTGCCTTTTTATATAAAGACACAAACGGATTGGAAAGGAATAAAAGTTCATGATTTTGAAACAGAGATTTCCTCGATTCACCATTTTTCAAAAGTCTTTACTCGTTTTGCGGTTTCAAAAATATACAAACATTACATTACATATACGAGGCATTTCAAGCGTAAAATACTAGGTACATTATTATTCTTTACTTATTCATTCAAATATACAGGAATACAAAATCAGAATGTTACTGTTTCACATCTTGTTCCTAATAGTGAATCATACAAAATAAGAAGAACAAAATTACGCTGTTGACTATATGAACTCGTTAAGGAACAACAAAACCCACTAAAAAGGTCTGTTTTCGACCCCCGCGTTTCTAATCAGTTGTTATCGCTTATCGATAGATTTTCTGTGTCACGGCGTGATCACCCAATCTGAATGATCATCCCACTGATAAAATTATGTCCGGATGTTCACATTCGGGAACAAGTTTTATCTAATAACTTTCATAATATATAACATCGGGAGTCCCAAAGAGAAACTCCGATCTCTTATCCAACTATTGTTTTCTTAACTAATCGAAGTGAATTGATTTTAGTTTCAGAATGTTACTGTTTCCCTTCTTGTTCCTGATAATGAATCATAAAAAAATAATAAGAGCAAAGATAGACTGTTGACTATATGAACTCGTTAAGAAAAACCAAACCCCCAAAAGTATGTTTTGGACGCCTACGTTTCTAATCAGTTTGTATCACTTATCGATAGATTTTCTGTGTTACCACATGATCACCCAATTTGAATCATTACACTGATGAAATTATGTCCGAATGTTTACATTCGGGAACAAGTTTCATCTAATAGCTTTCAAAATACAGAACAATTGGGAGTCCCAAAGGGAAACTCCAATTTCTTATCCAACTATTGTTTTCTCGGCTAATTGAAGTGAATTGATTTTAGTTTCGGTGTTCCACCAAAAGAACTGAATAACAAGATTAAAAACTTTTGCCAGTGCTTTGTATAAGTTAAACATAGGCACAAGGGACTGTGACTGACCGCCCCCACCCCCCCCCCCCACTCGAAAATGTTGTAATTTCCATTATTCGGACTTTCACTGCCTCATACATGAATAATAGGGCAGTTGTCATTGTATGTTTGCTGTATTCACATCTAATTTTGTATTTTGATGACAAGATTAGATAGTCGCTGCAATAAATTGTCAATGCCCGCTAGCGAGGTTTTAGAAAGTGAAAGTTGATATTCAAGAAAGATACGTCAACCACCCCACCCCCTTACAAATTTGGCCCATGGCTTATTCTTCTAAAGACCATGTAGATAATTGTAAATAATTATATTACAGAAAACACGAAGAACTAACTTGGAACGAATTGATCAAAATCACATGATTTAATAAGGGGACATTTTATTACGACGAGCACTTGACGTGAATATTTTTCACAACTTATCTTCATCGTCACTCTACCCGGGAATGAAATGATATTACGCTGTCGGTTAGAATAGAAGCCTGGCACTTTGACATTCATCTATCAAAGGAAAACAAATAATGTCCTATTTTACTTTGATATCTTTTTCTTTCCGTGAGTTTCAACCCCCCCCCCCCCCCCCCCCCCCGCCGTCCCCGTTCACCAGAGCATTTTCTCGACTTGATTGTAAATGGGCTCGTAAATGGTTAAGGCTCGTTCAATTATAACATGGTAAACCGCGGTGTTTTATTCTTCTTCTTTTTTTCCTTCTAGATGACGTACATGTAATCACCTTTCTGTAGCTTACATCACAGAGCACAGTGAGCGTTAGACCTTTATTGAGCACATTCGCCATTTGCCATTTGTCATTCATTTTATACATGTTGTGAAGACAAAAAACTCCGCGGTTTACCGATTCATATCTGAACGAGCCTGCGAAATGGCGGGTGACTGTCAGTCAGGACAGCGGCCTGGGCCATTCTCCTTCAATTCCACTATAATTACCACGGTTCTCATAGTGGAGCCTCCCCCTCCCCCCCCCCTCTCACCCCCACTCCCTCCAATCTATCTCTCTCATCACACTTGGAAAATGACTTTGACATGAAACTCTGTCGAATGATCAATTCCCCAGCAAATGAAGCAAGTCTGTCGGTCAGGGCAGCGGCCTGGGCCATTCTCCTTCTATTCCACTATAATTATCAAGGTTCTCATCGTGGAACCCCACCCCCCCCCCCCTCACCCCACCCCACCCTCACAAATCGATCTCTCTCATCACACTTGGAAAATGACTTTGACATAAAACTCTGTCAAATGATCAATTCCCCGCCGATGAAGCAAGATTTGGCCGCAATCTTGCACCGCCATGAATATTCGCGGAGACCAGGCGTCACCGCAATTATGGCCAGAATGAAGATGAATCGGCCCCGTAATGGAGGGGAGCGAGGGCAGACTTAATTTGGCGGCAAGGCATTAAGACGTAAGACATTTTTTAAAGGAAAGTCGTGACAGCAAATAACGGGAGCGATCGGATTCTACCTTTCCGCTACATTAAATCTACGGGATACCCCTTTTTAGATTAATCTATTATTATATTTGATGAAGTTCTGGAGGAAGATTAGAAAGGCAAGTCCCAGGTCCATTAATCGAAGATTACCAATCTGTGTGGATCAATTTAATTCATTCATTCGTTCAAAAGTAATGTTCAATATAGGGAGTTCCTCTCCTCCTACCTTTGAACATATCATACCTCAGTCACCGACTCCAAACCGACCAGCTAGTGACCATTGAAAACAAATAATGCTATTTGTTGTAGATCTATTGCCGCTCTGGATCATTGAAAACAAATAATGCTATTTGTTGTAGATAATTGCCGCTCTGGATCATTGAAAACAAATAATGCTATTTGTTGCAGGTCTATTGTCGCTCTAAGCCCCATTTCACGAAATCATCATAAGTAAAAATTTCGTAGATATCTAATTAAAATTAATGTTACTTTCAACATGCAGTTCATTGCAATGTCGCCAAATTTGTTATTAATGAGACTTTCTCGTGAAATTTTGCTCTAGTGTCAAGCTCTTCCTGGTGTGACTTGCGCATTAAACGATAATTACCTATAAAGTCCAATATGAAGGGACGTGTAATGTTTGTTCGTTTCACTGGCAATATCACTTAGTCGATACAGGGCCCTGCTTCACAAAACTTGCTATCGATAACAAGTTACAATAACTGTTACAAGCTACTGACATCGTGGCATTTGATTGGTTGAGAGCAAATTTGCCAGAGAAATTTGGCTCATGTTATTGATAACAAGTTTTATGAAACAGGGCCCAGTGTTTCACCACGGTGAAATCCGTAGGACGTAGCGGCGTGCGCCTGTTATCCAGCTAAAACAATGGCAGTTACAAACTAATTCAGCCGAGGGCGCAGTTTCGAAATTGAGTCACGTCTTTCGGATGTTGACGTTAAAGGTCGGTCCCCAGACGTAAATAATCATATCTGATTGACACACGTCTGTATAAACCCAATTACACGCACATACACACATGATGAAGTATACATACCTGGCACATTATCTTGAGACCGTTTTGATCGAGTAGTCCTATGTCCACACCTAAGATGATAGCTGTGATGTAGGTGAGAATGCAGCCCCCGATTATGATGTTGTTCATGTTTGGACTCGACATCTTTATTAATCTGAAAATTCAAAACCAAGATTTGAAGAAAATAATGAAAGCAGTCAAAATTGCATTAGTGACCACCTGTCTACAGAGACCACATTTTTTGTTTCCCTTGAAAATGATTTCTCATTGAAACATGTACTAAAGGAACCCGTCTACAAAGACGGATTTGTGTGTTTCCCTTGGACGGTCGCTATAAACAGGTTTAACTGGTATTAGATTGGAAAAGATTCATTCAAACATTATGCCTCGCTGAAATCGTGGCTCTATTACTCATTGAAATGCTTAAATTAAGAATATACTTCTTAATGTGGGAGCGGTCACATAAGATCCTGATTTATCGGAAATTATAGCGAAATTGGAATCTAATTTAGTAGATGGAATCCGTATGTGAACAAAACAATTTTGATTCAAAAAATAATGTTAAATCTTTCATGGCATGTGGACGGTGTGCAGATTATATTACGTAAGCGATTATCATCATACATACAGATATCCACATTGTTACCGGCCAACAAGTCTACTATTTCATTCTAATTCAAAATAATAATATATTAATTTCAGGGATCAAAAGTTAGGCGTCAATGTTGTTAATAGAAAAGAAAATATCATGACTTTCCAAACTACGCTTTTATCTGTTTTCATAATACCCAATGAATTGAATTTTTTAGCACTAAATACATATGCAAAATTGCACTGCGCACATATATAGGGCACGGCACTTTTTAACCCGTTGACCACTGACTTTATTAATTGCCATAGGCTTAATACAGAGGCCACCAGGTTACAGGATGCAATGGGTTAATTGGCGGGTTAAACGTGTGCATTGACTTACTTCTCATCCCTGTAGAAGATGTTGAAGAAGAGGAAACCGATAGCGATGACGATGCCGACGATGGAGAAGGTGAGCATACTGATGAAGAGCTCACGTGACACCTGCTCTATCACTATTTGATGACTATCAGCATCTTGAGGTGGGTGCCCGCCATTGGAAGCTGGTAGGAGAAGAAAAAAGAAACATCCATTACGTCATATTTCAATACTAATATTACAGGTTCAAGTTCAAATTTATTGATCATGCACAAAAAAACATGGCATAAAAATCATTTTCCGGCTGTTTCTTCAACTTATATAACATCAATTAACATACCTGTATTATCAATTTATACAAAATCAGGAATAAATACAACGCACAATAAATTGAACATAGTACAAAATGGTAGATGCTTTGGTATAGAAACATAATAACACAAACTAAAACCGTAGACATACTAAAAATCACTGATGGTGTCATCACTTAATTTATATCCTTAATCGCTGATTCCGCAACTAACAATTACCTCCTGAACCTGTCATTGTACAATGTCATGGCACGTATGAAAAATGACCACCTAAATCTATCTAACGGTGTGATTGTTTTTTATGTTGCTTGTTTATTTGTTTATTTAGTTTAGTGAAGTTTAGTTTAGTTTTATTTTGCTATCTTTTCTCTCTTTTTTTTGCTTTCGTTTTCTTTTCTCGTATTAAAAGTTAACTTATTTTCTTCAATTTTTGCTTTTCTTCTTCCTTCCCTTTTCTCTAATGTTTCTACTTTTAGGTTTGCTTTGCTTGCTTTCTTTGCCTTGCTTTGTTTTTGCTTTCTTTCATTTTCCGTTGCATTTGCTCTGCTTTGGCTTTTAAGTCCATGTCTTGTTTGGTCTGCTTTGTATTATCTTAATTTTTATCTTTTTTGTATGTTTTCATTTGTTAATAAGGTTGGTATGCTTTGTTTACTTACTCTCGTTTCAATAGCGCGAAGGATGACCAAAATGGTTGTGCAAAATACAAAGTGCAAATTAACTCAATAACAACTATGTTATAATAATCGTTCCCAATGTACCACGCATTTTCTCAAGAGGTTTAAGTGCTTTGATTGGTTTTCTGCAAAAGGAATAAAGGCTTACAAAACTGTTGTACCATGATCCAGCAAGTGCTACCCTCTCATATATTCAGCTGTTATATAATTGTTTCCAATCCAACGAACAACCCAAAAAACAAACAATCAGAAACAGATCGGAGGAGTTAGCAATATCAAATATCAAACGATGTGACTTGACTATTGATTGAATTGCGTTTTTTTTTTTTTTGATTTTTTTTTTTCTAGAACCATTTAATATTATTTTATATGTATGCACCACGGGCAGTATGCCTCCGAAGTTGAATGTACGTATTTCATTTCGAAGCAAAAGCTGTGAGCGCCTGATATTCTTTTATTTATTTGTTCATATATGTATTCATTTATGTATTCATTTATGCATTTTTCTATCAATATATCTCATTTATCTATTTAATCATTCATTCATCTATTTATCTATTTATCTATTATTCGTTTATTCTATTTGCTCCCCTTGTTTCTAACGGTAACCATAATAGCCTTGGATAATACACGTTTTTCCTTAAAAATCTAGCACTGCCCCAATCTATCCTGATAATGTTAGTTTAGAATTCACCTTTTTTTTCATTATAGTAATTCAACACTATATCACATAAATAACTGATTTTTATTACAGCATCAAAGTGAGGCTGATCAATTTATTTTTCAATTTCATGCACCAATTCTCCATGAATGTTAGATTATCAATCTTTCTTAAGGGAGTGGAATAGGAGGCGCAATTGTCTTCCCATAAAACACACACGAGTTACCTCCATGCTAGTCTGGTTACCAGGACACATAATTTCTTGCTGAACCATTTCAGCCCTCATGCCGACTATCATTGCTAGTCTGATATCTACCCTTTTTCTTTATTCTGTGCATTATGTTAATTATTGCAATGACGACCTTCGTCATTGCCTTGTTTTCGTTCACATTCTGCCCCATTAATATTCTCCTCCTTAGTAGTGTTTTCCTTATCGTCCAAAAATCCCATTCGTTTTGCACATAGTGTTTGTTATTCCTAGTAAGGTGCTTTCCTCATGTCCGTTTCCTTTCAAATTTCATAGGCATAGTCTGTAGCATCTCATCAAGGTCACCTACTTTTTCGATTTTCGAAATTACTCATGCATAACCATCCAGGCGCCATTTTGTCCGTTTCTGGTCCATTTTAATGCCTTTCTTTCTTCCTTCCTATCTCCACTATCCTAGATCCTACAAACTTCTAACAAATTCCTCTAGATAGTCTAAGAGATGTCCTTTCATCTGCGACGGATAACCTGCCCTTCAAAATGCCATCTACATACTCAAAATTCAAATCTGAAACCGTCTCCGTCAACAATCTCTCAAATTCTTGAAAAATTGACCCCTAAATAATCTAAAACTGCCATAACTTTCTCATATAAATTCCGTTTTGTATTTTAATCACACAGTATCTTTATCTCATAATTGCACATAACCTTCTCAAATTTCACGCTCTAATGACTTTGCAAAACATAACTAGCGCCCTCTAAAGTTCTGAGAATTGGCTTTCTTTCTATGGCCGTATCTCCATTATGGCTTGGCAAATCCGTACCCTTTTTTGGATTTAGATACTTGAAGATATGCCCTTTCCAGCTATATACAAAATTATATACCCTTACACTGACTGACTTTGAGAAAAATGCCCTCCAAATTCGCCATTTTCAAGAAAATTCCAAAATAACTTAAACTTGCTCTAAAATGTCGATCTTTATACCTACATCAATGAAACTTGGCACACATATGTATCCATATACGTGACAACTGTCTGCCAAGTTTAATAAATTGTAATGCCCGTGTTGCAAAGTTATCGTCAAAAATGATGAATTTACTATGCATTACGTAATAGCGCGTTTAATGCGTGCAATATATTGCGCGGAGATAACAATGGTGTCAAACTGACCGCAATGGAGTGCCCTTTCGCATGATACCAAGTATAGTATATGTTCACACAGAAAATTGTGAATAAATCGCATTTGAACAAAGGTCACTATACGAATTCCGCCGAGTTTCCGCCCAAATCGAACACGTATCGGCTAGGACATCATTTTTTCAGACTACTTTTCGCCCCTTAAATGTCCTTTTTTTTCCTTGAAAATTTGCAGTGACATGCCGAGTTCCAATACGCAGGGCACCTTGTGACCGGATTTTTAGAATTGGTCGAGGGGGCCATTCAAGACGCCATTTTGTTCTATAAATCTATTTTACATCACGTGTTTCGATAGGATTATCATAGAAAAAAGTGAGTGGTTTACAATAACAACCATGAAATTCTCTTTCTAATGATACCAAATACGGCCCATAAAGAGACCTAAAGAGAGAGAGAAAAAACAATTTAACTCCGGTCATAATACAGATCCTGTTAGTTTTCCGCTCATGCATTACACGCATTGTCTATGGGGCATATCGGGTTCACGCTTTTGACCCCCAGAACGATCTTGATTGCAATGACGAACATGCACCAAATCCCCTTGGTTTTTGCACGCAGTGCTTGCGAGCCCTTTCTACGTCCTTTCCCCTATCCCAATTTCTGTCAAACTTCGTAGGCATAGTCACTACCATCCCATCAAGGTCACTGTTGAGGCCTTTCTTTCGCCCTACCTATCTCCAATATCACAGAAGCTACAGACTTCGTACAAATTGCTCTGGATAGGGCGAGAGAAGCTCGTAGAAACATGTCGTCATTGCACGCACATCGTTGTGACACGATTGCATTTCTAGTATTATCACCTACTACCTCCTTTTTATGTCATATTCTTGATATAATATATTATTATTTATAATAATAATAATAATAATAATAATAGTGGGTTCTTGTATAGCGCTCATGTCTGTCAGACTTGACACTCCTGGTGCTCCCGATTATTACCCTGGCTTTAGTACGGCTGCCATTACGGTGCTCTAGCATTTCAAGGAATATATTCCGACCAGGTACCCATTTACTTCACCTGGGTGGAGTGTGGCAAATGTAGATCAATGTCTTGCCAGAGGACATTAGTGCGGCGGCGGGACTCGAACCGCGGACCTTGTGATCGACAGTCCGGCGACGTATCCACTATTATCACTATTATTATTTGTTGGGATTCACTGCTTTTTATTGCATGCCCCTCAGTTTCAATAGGCTATGCGTATGTGGATAGATAATCACGTGGGTTTGGGGGCACTGTATCTTTTCTTTTTACTTTCTTCGTCTTTGTTTGATGTGTATAATTACATCATATCTTATTGTGTATATACATGTATATATCGTGTTTATGCCTATAAAGGGAAACTGGAAACAAAATCACATCAAATGAAATCTTTATCAATATTCTACGCGCGCTATCAATCCCGGATATAAAGTTACAAACTATTCAGCGACTTTTTTTTCTGTTTTTCCTCTCATGATCCACAATTTCATTTTGTGAAAAACTTTCGGATATTACACGCGATCCCTCTCAATCTCGTAATGGATGAGATGACATTTTAAGAAATCCCACAAAGTTGATACTTTAATATAAATTCCATTTTAGCGCTATTTCGAATAAGGGTGTTCAAACCCTAAAGGATTAAGAGACAAGGCCGTGTATTCATGAGGCAAGGATATATTCCTCCTTACAGTGCATTATTAAAAGGGAAAACAGGATTTGAATTCATGAATTATAAACAATTCGTGAAAACAGCGACGAAATGAAGCTACTTGTCAAGGATGCTTTATCACCCGACTTTATTTTTGTATGTGCTGTTGTTGTTGCTGTTGTTGGTTTATGTTTGTTTTTCCTTTTTTTTTGGGGGGGGGTCGTTGTCATTTTTGTTGTTATTGTTGATTTTAGGTCAAAAAGTGTCATGTCTTCTGAGGAGACTATAAATGGATGAAGAAACTTTAAACTTGAATTTTCATAACAAAGATACATTATTCGTTCGCACATGCTAGGATTAAACCGCTGTCATGTTTACGATTTTGAATGGTTTAGTGATTAAGTAAGGGGATATAATCTAAAATATAATTTCTTTTTTAAACTTCAATAAATTGCCATCAGGAAGAGATTATCTAGCATGTAAGCGAATAATGTCAAGCAGATCAATTCTAATTTCTACCTTTTTATGGTTATTGTTTATGCTTTAGTCGTAGAAGAAAAAACAGAGAGTAAGATGACATTTAGTTTTGTTTTCACCATAATGGCATTTAGCTCTAACATGGGAACTTTTTCTTGCAGATGTATTAAGGATCTGGTAGATGTAATCCTCTTGTAAACATGGTAAAAGAAAAATATTCTTGTCATTTAAATAGGCGTGGTGCTTCAAAAATGGACAAAACAATAAACACTTGGTTTTGTTTTATGGAATTAGTTTGGGAGTGATCATAAGTGCATTTGTATCCGACAGCTTTAACACCAAGTGCTTGCCTATGCATATATATTAAGATTTGAAATGTTTTATCTTGTGAACATAGCAAAAATACATCATTGTTAATCGGCACATGAAATGAGAACGAAATTGGTTCTTATTATGAAAAGCCTTTTATGGTTATTAATTGGGCAATTAGAATGGAAATTACGGGATCTTGTTTCTTACGTTGGCCGGTCACATTGTGGATATCTGTATGATGATAAATCCAACAATTATAATGGAACATTAAGGAAACTTGTTATAACTATTTTTCCATGGGATTGTTCAAACTCCATGCATTATACATGGAGGTTTCTAATATGCTAAATTTTATTTCGTACTCACAGACTAGAGGCTCGGTACTATAACTACCCCAAATCTTGCTAACTAGACGTAGCTGATTGGGGCTGCAAAAACTATGATCTAATACTTGATTTTGTCAAAAGTATAGGGTTAGGGTTAGTATAAGTAGGGTTGCAATTTGGTGTTATGTCAGGTTTAAGGTTATGGTTATAATAAGGGATAGAAATAGTGTTAGGTCCAAGATTAAAGTTAAGAAGGCAGTTAGTGTAGGAACACACCTCAGAGCAGTGTTGCTTGGAGATACGTGTTAGACATCCGTTACACCATTTGGTTCGATGGTATGTTTTACCTGACTGCTAGGAAAGCATGCGTATACTTTTACTGTAAGTACGCAACCAAGGGACCGACGTCTTTAAGTCCTCTTCAAGAAACTTGGTAATGAGGATTAATTTTTCACCAAAGGGCACGTCTGGCGCATCGATTTGGTTTCGAACCCGGGACCTCCCGGTTACGAGACCACTGCTCTACCACTGAGCCATCACGTCTCCCTCGCTTCAAATTATCATTGGCCTAAAATTATAATTGGTCATTCGGGAGTAATGTGGTATTGGTTGTTCGGTCTGTAATTGGTCTGGTGTCGGTTACGTCGGTTTGGCCGACATTTATTGTTATACCACAAAGATAGGTGAAACGTTCACTCTCGATCTTCGTTATTCGATCTTCCACTTTAAAAGAAGCCAGTCAAGCCGCGACCTGGTTTTGGTTCAATTTCTCACTCGAAAAACGTTGATTTATGAAGACTCTTCATCAAAGTGACACCACTATCATCATTCACCGCGAACCGTGGTGGCAATGGTTGGCGCATATACATGCACGTATACAACGTCGGCGCCACATGGCCATAATTGAATTAATAACAGACGAAAACTTCATTATACTTCCATCATAAATTACATCAGCTCAGGCAGTGCATTTCTATAGACTTATAGTTAAGAGGAAATTATGTGTAAACCGTATACGTAAGCCGCTTTTCAATCCATAAAATGTTACACCCGTATCACTTTCTATGTCGGCCATTTTGATCTTAGTAAGATGTGAACTCATGGGAAATAGAACAGTTTCGGTCGGTCTCTCGTAACTTCACAATTCATATTCCAAAAACCATCAACTTTGAAAAGTATATTTGGTTATCACGTGAAATATGTTGAAAGAGGGTATCACTAGGTTATGGTGACCTACAAAACTCTTACATAAGAATTTTTTTTTTTTTTTTTTTAAATCTTTAAAAAAATCAAATGTCCGTATAGTCGCAGTAAGGGTGATCGACCTTTCAACCAAATTCTTATTAAGATGTGCATAAGATGGGTATATTGCATTTGACCGATGATCCAATTCTCATTCGAAATCTTCAAAAAATTAAACTTCGCTCGCGATTGACACCGCATTTGAAATGACAGAATTTGAATTTTAGCAACATTAACAAGCAACATGTTTAAAGCGTTTTCCACAGGTATGCATTAATGGGCGCTATAGAAAGACCGGGAATGAGTGTAATAGCCTAGTACCCAAAAATCAGTTTCCTAATATTATTTGCATCATTTTAGTACCCCTTAGTGCGTTATTATATGTTAATTACATAAATCATGCAACTAAAATGGCCACAATGAATGAATATCCCGGAAATTGTTCAAAAATGAATTATGGTTATTGGCCGCAAGAGAGCCGTTTTGCACCGTCCTCGCATGCTGCATTGCAATGAATAAATGCTAGCGTAATGCATTCGTTACTCTTTCCATGTGAAAAAAATAATAACCAATTCTGATTCCTTATCTATGCTTCCGTGCCCCCCTCCCCCTTCACCCTCCGCTCTTCCCATGCCTCCACTTTGATTCAATAATTCAATAATTATCTTGGTTGGAGCGTACATGGTGCACATGATTATGAATGAATCGGAGAGGTACACTTTTTTCCCGGTGTGACTATAGAAAATTAACGAGAAATCCATGTCAAACACCCTGCTCCTGTGATCATCATCGTCGCTCTTCTTTGAAGTTGCTTTAGATATGATATTCTACTCAGGTTTGATTGTAGTCATTACTCTAACAGGCGTAAACTACACGTATAAATACCGTATGAGGGGGTATATGAGTTGAATGGCCTCAGCATGTACTATCCAGGCCTTTTGTAGCGAGTTAACGACAAATCAATATTACTTTAATCAGGTACACGCTATGTACACGTGTATCATGGGATTTATTTCAGAGTACATTGCTTATTGACGAGGTATGAAGCAGGCATACACTAATACAGGTGTAGATACGCATACCCACTTAAATGTACGGCAGCAGGACATTTTTCGATTTTTGTTTTTAAAAAAGGAAGGACAAAAATAACATTGTATTTGTTTTGTTCTTTTAGAAACATACAGTGTAGGACACTTTGGCTTAGTAAAGGGTACACCTGTTAGTTTAAGAATGTGTATAAGCATGACAGGATGTTGTAGGCATGTTAGTTCGATAGACTGACATTTGAATAACGTAATGGTCTGATTTATGGAACGCTTATGGTGTCGAAATGTCTTTTTCTGTTTTTAATAAGCGAGTTCGTAATTAGGATTTGCGCGTGGGCAGATAAAGGTCATTCGTACCCAAATTGTAAAACCATTGAGACGGATACTCGGATCGTGCTAATGAAAGTTGTGTAATCAGTATTCATTTATGCACCAACAGTACTTTTATCTGATACACAGGTGGAAGTATTATTCTCAAGAGGCAAACAAAAGGTATTCATGAAGCACCTCCATCACTTAGGCAGTGATTATTTTAAAATGCAAAGGTGGGAAGTATCCATCGTGTCTAAGATCGGTGGATATTTTGGGGTCATGCGGTCCAGAGCTATTTACGAACTCGCTTATTGTGACAATAAGCCACTTCAGAGATACTATCTGCGCATGAGCAGATAAAGGTCATTTGTACATAACTGTAAAACCCATCAAGACTACTACTTGATACGTGTTCATGGAAGTTATGTGACTATTGTTCATTTATGCACCGGCGATACATTCTAGGATGCTCAGGTAGAAGTATTCTTGTCAAGAGGGTTAACAAAAGGTATTAATGCAGCACCTCTGTCACTTTGACAATTTTTTATTCCAAAATGCTCAAAGTGGGACATCTCCATGTGTGAGTGATCTGTGGATTTGTGGAGGTCATTTGTACAAGTGCTACCTCCGAAGTGGCTCTTTGTGGAACAAAATTAATAAAGTAAATGTACTTTATCATGAAATCAAAATAATAAATTAATCCTATTGTGCAAATATTTGCCTTTGTTCAGTTACAGAATCATGAAATCATTTTCGAGATGAAGAGGTTCGACGGCAGTTCGCGCTCCATAATCAAGTAGATTTTCTCTTCTCACGCAGTTACTTATAACCTATACTTTGATCTTGTTATACCAGCCACTGAATATAAACCCACCTCCCCGCTTTTCATTTGATTGGACCAAATCTCGAATGAATCCCACCTGAATATGGCAAAGTTATTAACTGCCGAAGCTGATTATGAAGATATAGAGTGTCCCTGAATGCTTAATCCCTGATCGATACTTATAATCACGATATAAATGGGTTGTCATCATAAAGCTTCATCAACTCACCCCATATATTCTCCATCGGCATGTACCATTCGATACGATCATCTCGTCTGTAGTATCGGCCTATGTCTCTTACTGTTCCATCTGTTGTACATGGGAAAAAATAGAAATACAAACATTGTTTAAAGGCGACAAACAACGAGCCCGATGAATCACTAAAATATTTTAAAAAAGGAAACCAAAAAAAAAAGGCACAGGAGTAAAGAAAAAAGACTATTCCAACCTATGATTACGAAGAGGAGACAAAATAATATTATGATAGAGATGACATGATAACAGAAGATGGGAGAGGAGGAAGAGAAGGAGAAGAAACAAACTAAATAGGAGGGGTAGAGGGAAGAAAAAATTAAAGGAGAAAAACGACATCTATGATATCGAGTATTTAAAAAAAAAATGAAAAAGAATAGGAAGATTGGGGTGAAGACGGTAATTTACATGAGATAAGAGAATTTATGAATGCAAATAAATAAATGAATAAATAAAAATATATAAGTAAGCAAGTAAATTAATGAATGAATATATTTATCAATAAAAGAATAGATAGATATATAAACATTAATAAATGAATAAATAGATCAATAAATAAAAGGCGGAAATAAATAGATAGATAACAAATTAAATTAAGTATATACCAAGAAAATGAAATACATTCACGCCAATTAAGATATTATATAAATCGGAATACAACATGAACATTTTTACGCAGAAAAAAAGAAAGCTTCTCTCCCCTTCTTCATCCATATTTTATCAGGATGCATCACCTACATGATATTGTATGGAGAAATATGATTGAAGTTGATGGGGTTTATTCAAATAAATATGATTCAAAGAAACGTGTCACAAGGAACTTTAAACCCTGCAAGTTTTGTGTTGTTTTGATTTTTATATTTAAGATCAGAAAAAGTTGTTCTCATCAGACAGTTGTCTTCCCCAACGGTAGATGAATGAAAATAAACGTAGATATGAACTAATGATGAACGCATATGATGCAGGCGTAGAGTATTATTATTACTAATCCCTGCTGACACCAACGGTCGAACTTATGAACTTGATGAGCGAGTTTGCCTGCTGGCGAGGTGAAAGGAAGGATCCCTCTAGGGAGTCTCAGGTTGCCATCTTCCTGTCATATCACCCATCAATAATAAACATGCCCTCACTCTCTCTTGAAACCTGCCCGAAAATAACCATCTAAGGCTCTACCTTTGAATTTTCGCCACGTCTTTGAATCCCGGTCGAAATTTTGTCGGAAAATACATTAGCATTATCGATTTTGCGTCATGATCCTGAATATTTCACATTTTTTTTGTCATGACTGACATTTCTCCGAGGGATAGAATGTTACTTACAAATCCACTTTCTTATGATATTTCGAATAAGAAAAAAACAAAGGAACATGAAAATTACAGTGAAACAAAAAACCTAGAACACAGTGCGTGCTTGGCGAAAAATAATCTTTTGGGCGCATATTTTGTATTCCCTCAATTCTGTACTATTAGCTATTGTTTTCTTTTTCTCAAGACGATCCGTTCTTTGTCGATAACAAAATATGAAAGGTGGGTACCTAGCAGGAATTAATTACTTTAAATGCTACTTTAAAAGCGCTATAATGGCTGACTGGCAGCCACGCAAAAGGCAGGGGTAATAACTGTGGAACGCCAAGAGTGTCACGTCGGACGGTCATGAGCGGTAAAGAAGGAACCCACTATTAGCATTAGTATCATAATTATGTTTGGACCTAATTGCTATTCTGAAATGGAAAACAGCTGCCACCAATATTTTCCCAGTAGAGGACTCTGTGTCAGGCGATGCAGAGCTTTATAGTTTCGTTATCATTATAGTAAACCATAATTTCTGTTGAATCATCATGGGGCTAATAAAATCTGATTCCCAAGTAACAAAGCTGCCCCCCCCCCCCTATAAAAAAAATTATGCTCCATACTTTCAGGATCTTGAATGCAACCGTCCATATATTGTTAGATGTCATGAGATATCTCTCTCTCTCTCTCTCTCTCTCTCTCTCTTTCTCTCTCCTTCATTGATATACACAATTACTATACATAAATAATTTTTGTTGGTAGTACTGAGCAATGAAAACTCTTTCAATAAAGCCAAAAGGAAGCATTCATTGATTTTTCATTAAAAAATAACGTAACCAAGGTAAATACTCCCCACAGTGACAATAAATATGTTGCCAATCGATTTAGAAGAAATAAAGAATTCATACAGACGCACGCAATTCGAGCACTACGCTTGATAACTCATGAATACCATGAATATTGAATGCTACCTTCAAATAAATCAAACTGCACTTTTTTGCTTTTAGCATTGATATAATTTTGATGAACAATGTACATGCCCATTCATTTCAAAGCGAGAACGATATGTTGAATATTGTGGCATATGTTATGAAGTTTTAATCGACTTACTAATGTTTCTGTTAATGCGTAGAACTCCCATTCTGTCTCCGCTCTCACTGAATACGACCGGCCCCTGTAAGGAAAAAAAAGAGATAAAATGTTATAGATTCTCACATCTTTTCTTCTGTGAACAGCAATCTGCAATATCGATATGGTTCGCGGTGCATGTACTGTTTATAAATAAATATTATATGGTTTATGGTAAGTGTTCGTGGATGTATGATAAAAGAGAACCATTAAGGCGATGGGCGTAGCGTGTATCCGAGCATTGAGGGGCACCGGCATTATGTGGAGGGGGCCCTGACCTTATTCGATGAACAAAAATCAATTTGAGGAAGAAACAAAAACCAATTGGGGTAGGATGCGGGAAGTTTTTAGCATCTTTTGTTCTCTCCCTTCCCCCTTTACTCCTTTCTTTTCTCTCTTTTTTTCTCCTCTGTTTATAATTTTATCGTGGGGCACGTGCCCCCCCCCCTCCTCAAATTAAGCCACTGGATATGACAATATAAACGGCAATTCCAACCTATTAAGGCAAAGAGGCGACTTCGAAAGTCATTAATAGCCGATAACATCATTGTAGATGTCATTGTTGTTATATTTAATTAATCTTAATGCTTGCATTCCTGGTAACAGGCAACATTTCCCAATCTTCCAATTGAAAGTGCATGAACATTGAATGTATAATCATCTATTTAAAAAATTGAATAACAATGATGAGATTAAATATTTAATCATTGTAGAGCTCTCATTTTACATATTAAACGTTTTACTCCACATGTGCCAAACCAGGTTTAAAAAAGCAAATTATCTATACAATCAACTATTGGCTTTTTCATGACGAAATTGGGATCCAAATGCGCTAATGTTTAATAGGCAAAATTAAGGATATGAACATTAATCTGAAATGAGAATTTTGCAAATAAATCAAATTTAGTTATGATTCGAGGTGCGATAGTACAGAAAATGCTTCATTTACAAAATGGCTCTGAAAGAATTGATGTTATAAGGGCAGGGGGTGGGGTGGGCTACTTTGTAATAGGAGGTGGGAGGAATGAAGAGAGTAAGAGAGAGAAAGATATGTTAACCCATTGCTTACTGGAACCTGGTGGTCCCTGTGTAAAGCCTATGGGAATTAGATAATTCAGTAGTCAACGGGTTAAGAGAGTGATGGGAAAAGTGGAAGCGAAGGAAGAAGGTACACAAGGGGGAGACAAAGGATAATGAAAGGATGCTCTAACATTATGCCTCGGCGACATAATTGCCCCGGGATTTATTTCGTTAAAAACGATGGGGTTAGGATAAGGTTTGAAGTTGGTTTATAATGTATAAGATTTATAATTAGGGTATTAAAAGGGTTAATATAGATCTTGGTCTTGGGTTCAAATTAAGACTTCGGTTCGGGTACGGTATAGACCCCGGATATGCCAGACAACCAGAGAAAGTGATACAGATGGAGAGAGAGAGAGAGAGAGAGAGAGAGAGAGAGAGGGGGGAGAGAGAGAGGGGAGAGAGAGAGTTCTTCAGCAGTGAAGGAGGCAGATTATCCTGAAGAAGAAGAAGAAAAAGAAGAGAGAGGGGAGGAGGGATAGGGAGAAAATGAGAGGGAAAGAAAGTGAGGGGGAGATATGTATAGATATATAGAGAGAGAGAAAGGGGAGAGGAAAGGAAGAGAGAGAGAGAGAGAGAGAGAGAGAGAGAGAGAGAGAGAGAGAGAGAGAGGCGGATATCCGAGCCGTAGAGATAAGAGGCTTTCGGGGGGAAACGCTGTATCACATTTACATCTTGGGAAATCAAAGGTCCAATGACCGGAGGATAAGAGTAACTGAATACACAGGGCAGGAAAGGGATACAAAATGGGTCTTATTATACTTCAGACATATTCTCTAATATCTGTACTAAGAGGAACCATTTATGAAGCCCTCTTCACTTACCGTTGTTTACGGGTAAAATTGCAATATCACCCAATATCGTGTCGCATATCCCCAATTATAGGCGCGCTTTCCGTTTAAGCTTTAATGGGGTATCGTTGTTGCAAATCATGTTGATGGGCGGAAAACATTGCGCGCGTCGATGTGTGAAGTTTGTGAACATGGCGAAGTAGCGCGGGAAAACAGAAACTTTTATTTTTTACGTGGTATTTGTATTTTAATCTCAGGTAATATGTTTTGTGCTTTGAAACTAAAATAAGGGATGAAAAAATCGTCGTCATTCAAACATCCTATACCCTTCTTCCCTATGGATTAATATCAAACTTCACTAGTCTAAGAAAATCCTCCCAATGGACAATTATCCCCAATGATATTTGTCCAGGGGTCAGTTGTCCAGGTACGATCAACAGAGACGCATACCCTAAGCAAAAGTTATGCCCATTGCGTCTGATGAGTCATTTGTCTAACTCAAGACTGCGTCAGCTACAGGTACGGGTCTTAACGCATCATCAAGACTGCGTCAGCTACAGGTGCGGGTCTTGACGTATCATCATGTGAGGTTGACAAAAAAGTTAAAATCAACGGTGCAAGCAGTGAGTTGAATTCCTGGCGTATGAGCTAATTCTCCTCATAACGCAGTAGATAAATGAAGCCCAGCAGCGTCAGGCATCACAAACACGTATGTCTTAAGTTCTAAGAATAAATCGCATATCAAATAACGTCACACTGCACACCGCATATTTTCTTAATATTTTGTTTCCTCTATCCTGTCTGATTAGAGGTAGTAATACGTTCCTTTGAGGTTTTCGAAGGGACACATTTTGCATACTGTTGCCGAAGTCTTTAACGAGGTCCCATGGTATCACTTACGAACATTCTAAAGCTTTGGGTTGCGCCAAGGGAAATACAGCTCATCAATTACGATTAAATGACTCGTCTGATCTACATAGTGTGTCCCACTTGGAAAACAAAACCTCATTACATTCCTATACCTAGTCTTAAGGGAATGATTAACATTTATTCTGTCTCATCAACGTAATGTTTGCAGGAGGCATTATGGGGCTCCTCTGAGGAACTAGTTTAAAAAGAAGGTTGAGTATGATGAGTCTCAGGTAGAGCCGAAAACTAATTTATTAGTTTTTCTCTCTTTTTTATTCTCATGCAGGGTACTATTATATATATTATATACGAGCAACGTCAAACGGAAAGTCTTGTTTTTGAAATCATTTACAATTTTTTTTTAAATTCTTTTCACAATTTAATCCGAATTTGTATTCCTATATTCGATTAATGCATTTTTGTATTGAAACTTTTAAACACAAAAGTCATTCTATGATTAAATATAAAGCTGAGAACTGGTTTTGCAATTGCATTGTGAAAGAAATTTCTGGAAGCAAGTGGAATAGTATGATTATGTGTAACAGAATAAATGATCAAGATGATCAAAATGAAGAAAATAAATTATCTCAATCTTCCTGAGATAAAAAAAAAGCACTATACATAGAAATTTGGTATAAAGTGGGACTACATGAGGATAAAAAGTCTGGTGCAGTTCTCGTCATATTTGAAAATGGGAGCATTTGAAAAACAATTCTTACCATGTAACATTTCTTCTATGATATTATTCCATATTGACGGTCGATAATCACTCTCACACGATGCGTCAGATACCCCGCCAGTCGGTAACGCAGCTCTACGCCAGCAAGATGACGCCTCGTGTTAAAAAGACACAGCTTTTGCATGAGGAATAATATTGACGCTTAGAGTCTTCGCCTTTGTTAATATTAACTCATGGGGGATGGGGCGTTAGGACGACGATGAATTGTATTGTTTTAGATTGGTTTTCCTGCTCACAGAGATTTTGGAATATGACATATACATATATAAGCAGCTTCTTACTACTCACCGAGACGCCTAAAAACTGTATCTCAAAAAGCTTCTTGACGAACATCGCCGACATGTTGATTCCGATGCCGCCATAGGTGAATTGCCCGAGCGTGAAGGGCATGTCTTCCAGGGACGCGTTCATGGCAAGGGCAGAGGCCCAGACGGCATCGTAGGCGAAAGGTCCAGGTTTGGTTTCCCGCGTGAAGTCCACGCCGGTCTGACGTAGCATGACGTCACTGTACTCGGACGCCGTCTGTCAAAAAAAACAAAGATATTATATTCATGGATAAGAATGTTACTTGTTTGACGTGAAAATCTAACGATTACTTCTTACTTCAATAATCAATGATTGACGTATGAACAACAACAAATTTGGGATGTCTCGGGATGTACTTTGCTTTATTTTCGACGTTTAGAAGATGCAGCACCCGGAATGAGAGATATGCAGGGTGGGAGAGATAGATAATGAGAGAGAAGTAGAGAGAGAGAGAGAGAGAGAGAGAGAGAAAGGGACAGACAATTCGAATCGATAAAGATAATGGGAGATATCTTTGTTAAACACTCTTAAAGCAGAGGAAGAGCTCTCTTTGTATTAAGCAATCAAGCTATTTTAATGATTTTCCTTTTTAATAGTTTAAGAGTTATTAGTATAGAAAAACTTGTAATGTTTCGAAGTTTGTAATTTGGGTTCACTGTACTTTTTTGTAGCACAGTGTAGAGCGGGTTTTTTTAATTCCCTTTTTATTTCTCCACTCAAAACAGAAGATAAAAACTGTTCACAGTTTTCCACATAATATTTCTCCACAACAAAAATATTATATAACTTCTTTACAATGCAAACAAAATAAGAATACACTATATTAATACAATCATGTGGAAAAAATGCATCATAATCGTTAAACTTTAGGAATGAAATTACAGTAATGTGGAGAGTACCGTTGTTCTGAAAGGAATATGTTTAATAACGGTTTCAGGGCAATTATCCGCTGCAGAAAACGAATAACCACATTCCTTTCAGACTTTTTGATTCATTAAATCAAGCGTAGTTTGCAATTTCCGCGTAAAAGAAAGTATAGTTCAAATTAGGATAAAAATGTTTCATACTTTTTTTTTTAATACTGAAAGTATTTTGAGAAAAAAAAATGATATTACCAATGACATTAAGACAGAAATAATAAAAAGAATTACCACATTCCTTTCAGACTTTTTGATTCATTTAATCAAGCGTAGTTTGCAATTTCCGCGTAAAAGAAAGTGTTATTTGATGTTATATAGTTCAAATTAGGATAAAAATGTTTCATACTTTTTTTTTTAATACTGAAAGTATTTTGAGAAAAAAAAATGATATTGCCAATGACATTAAGACAGAAATAATAAAAAGAATTACCACATTCCTTTCAGACTTTTTGATTCATTTAATCAAGCGTAGTTTGCAATTTCCGCGTAAAAGAAAGTGTTATTTGATGTTATATAGTTCAAATTAGGATAAAAATGTGTCATACCTTTTTTTAACACTGAAAGTATTTTAAGAAAAAAAAATGATATTACCAATGACATTAAGACAGAAATAATAAAAAGAATTACCACATTCCTTTCAGACTTTTTGATTCATTTAATCAAGCGTAGTTTGCAATTTCCGCGTCAAAGAAAGTGTTATTCGATGTTATATAGTTCAAATTAGGATAAAAATGTTTCATACCTTTTTTTAACACTGAAAGTATTTTAAGAAAAAAAAATGATATTACCAATGACATTAAGACAGAAATAATAAAAAGAATTACCACATTCCTTTCAGACTTTTTGATTCATTTAATCAAGCGTAGTTTGCAATTTCCGCGTAAAAGAAAGTGTTATTTGATGTTATATAGTTCAAATTAGGATAAAAATGTTTCATACCTTTTTTTTAACACTGAAAGTATTTTTGAGAAAAAAAATGATATTACCAATGACATTAAGACAGAAATAATAAAAAGAATTACAGAAAAATGAAGTCTGTTATAATGAAAGAGAATTGCTTTTTAAAATATTGAATCATCATCTCATTACGTAACCATGGAAATCATACAGTAAAACACGTCATCTCGCAGGGGATGAATTCCCCCCCCCCTCCAAAAAAAAAAAAATGTTGTCCAGATAACGACAAGAGGTTATTTTCTTATTCTGAGACCTCCCTATTATAATATATACACCCTGCGTGTACCTGTAAGCTTAACCCTTTACATCGCTAACACGGTGACCCAGATATCAGTCATGTCGTCCATTCTATAACCCGATCAAAACACCAAACACGCCAAAAACAAGAGATCGAAGTTATTTTTGACGCACCGAAGTGGGTCAGAATTCGTGCACCATTTGCTGAGCAAACATCCAGCCCATACACTGGGAAATCTGATGCGTGCTAAACACAACAATCTAATCAACATCTCTCTAAAAGGCTGATATGGTTGAAGTGGTGTTGAAATTATGATGATTGCCCACGGCTCTGGAGTTTATTTTGAAACCGCCAAAGTAAAGCACTTTAGGTAAAGCCTCTCGAGGGGGCCGCCGCAGGCAGACGAGTTGGTAAAATGTCTTAATTTTCTCGGTGCATAATCGTCAGAATATTATATGGTGGTTTCGTATTTGTGGAGAAAGCGATGAACTTGTCGATTTTTAAGAAAAGTGGTTGATGATACGGGTGGCAGCTTGTGTTTTTGATTGGGTGTCTAAAGGAGAAAGATGAATAATCTGATGGAGAGAGGGTGAGTTCCAGAGGTTTGTAGATGGTGCAGAGAGAGAGAGAGAGAGAGCGAGGGAAGGAGGACAGAGAAGGGCAGAGTGACAGAGATAGACAGATACTCACAAACACAATATATAGTGTGTGTGTGTTCATGTGTGTGAGAGTTAAAGGAAGAGAGGGAAGAAAAGAAAAAGAGAATCTCAGAGAATGAGAGACAGATACAGAAATGAGGAGATATGGGTAACCACCAGGAGGAATAGAGACAGAGAGAGAGTGAGAGAGAGTGAGAGAGAGAGAAGGGGGGATACCATAAAGGTAACGAGGAGTCGCTAACCGTACATGATTAAGAAAATCAAATATTACAGGAACAAACGTTTTGAAAAACGATATGATGTAGAATAAACTTGCCAATCAACATGATTAAAGCTCTTGAAGTGGCATAAGTGAAAGTAATCCCGCCGCATTTATTATGTTTTTGTGTTTGGTGGAAAAAAGTAATTTAAATGTTTTCATGTTTATTTCTGCTCTTTAGAGTATGGACATATATAGCCTGTTCAGAGGCAACACTTTGCAGGTCGATATTTCATTTTCCAGATTGTATATTCTTCCCGGGGCTCATTTGGGTGTTTTAAGTTGGTTTTACTCAATAATGAATATACATAAAAGGAATAGAAACATTTTGCCATTTACGATGGAGGGGCCATTCCTAAATTGATTTCTTTATGTGGAGACCTGAGCAACGGCAGCTAAAAATATGACAAAAAGAAGGCAGTAAAGAAGAACGACGAATTCATGAATATATCAAACATTTATTCCTCTTATCATATTCCTTTATTATATTATACTCATTTTCTCATGGGATTTGCCAATATTATTGTATCAGAAATCTATGAATTGTTGATATACATGTCACCAATCATGAAACGACGAGTTTAAGGATTCATGAGGGAAAGGGGTTCGGCGAGAGGGAATTTTTGATACTCTAAAATATAAAGTTGAGCTCGGTTCATGCATATTTCAAAAGTAACTGTCGGGATCAATTGGAAAAGTTTGATCAATGCAATACATAAGAAAAGTCATGGTTCATGGCTGGGGGAAAGTTCATGCGAAATGTCATGTATAGAGAGAATGTTTATAGTTTAATGTTGGAGGAAAAGTGTGAAAGGATAGAGGGTTAGGACGGAAAAAGCCTCGAGAAAGGGAAGGCCACGGATAAAGAAAGGTGAAGGACGAAGAAAAGATAACAAGAGAAAGGCTATGACAAATAAAGGCTCGTGATAGAGAAAGCTCAATGGAAAAGAGTTATGAGGAGCAACTGGATACAATAAAGATATGAGATTGATGGCACGAAGATGAGATCGGAATAAAGAGATTGCGGATAAATCACGGTGATTTTGGAAATAATCCAGCCGACAGATAATAATGGAATTCGACGAGAAAGTCAATAACCAAAGAAAAACACCGGCAGAATTCAATTAAATCAGAAGAAAATGCATCACAGGCAGACATTCGTTTTAGTGGAAAAGGAAATAAAAGAGAGAAATGATGGGGATAGGGGAAATAAAGCGGTGGATTTAAATAAGAAGGATTTTGATGAAAGCACCAACAACGTGGAGAAGTTAGAAAACTGAACTAGATTAGTGAGGAGGCGATATATGATTAGAGAAAGAAATAGAGAGGGATGAAGAGGGTGAAGGGAGACATAGATAGGGGAGAGATATGGGGAAGGCTAGCAATAGAGAGTAATGGAGGGAGAGGGTTAAGCGGAAGGGAGAAAGAGAGAGAGAGAGAGAGAGAGAGAGAGAGAGAGAGAGACGGAGAGAAAGAGAAAGAGAGAGAGAGGGGATGGGGAGGGGCGCTGGTGGGAGAGAGAGGAAGTGAAAGCTGGGTAAAGTGAAAGACAGGGGGAACGGGAGGGAAAAGGGAGGGAACCGGAGAGAAGAAAAGAGAAAGAAGAAAAGAGAGAGACAGAGAGAGACAGAGACGGAGAGTGAGAAAGAGAGAATGGAGAGGGAGAGACAGAGACAGGTGAACGGGAGTGGAGAGAGAGAGAGCGGGAAAGAGTTAGAGACAGGGGGAAAGAGAGGAGAGAGGGAGCGGGAAAGAGTGAGAGATAGGGGAACGGTAGGGGAGAGAAGGGTAAGGAAGAGAGAGAGAGAGATGGTGTACTTTTAAACTTTTAGAGACAAAGAGATAAAAGAGAAATGGTGGGGGAAGGACATGCAGGTAGAACATTTCCCTTAATACCACCGGAATTTATTTTGGTCAGGTAATGAATAAACTCACACACGTAAGTCGGAGGGTATAATCCGCTGGGGAGCCCAGCAGGACTAACCTAAAAGGGGAAGCTTGTCACGGGTAATGATTGGTGAGGCGGTGTCATGACAACTGTGCTGGAAAGGGTGGAAAATACCCCAAGAATAAACGGATTTGGCTTGATAGATTCCGCCAGATTGAATATGCAAGGCCGACATTTTCCTGTCGAGCTGGCATTAGGGAGATCTTCTAAATATCATCGGAAACTGCGACGGAGA